TGCCTTCGACCTCTGCTGCTGCGTAGTCGCCACTCTGCCTCCCTGCCTCCATTGCCATTAGAGGTACACATTAACTGCTGACGATGTAACTGTCACTCTTGAAGAATTTGGGTGCTTTTTATTCTGGTGTCTCAGATACAGCCATTCTGCCTTGGCTGACCCTGCTAGGAGACCAGGCAGGTGAGAGAGTGTGGCTTCCTGGCAGCATTGTTCTTGGCATCTCTGAAAATCTCAAGCCCCGTCACCTTGTTAATGTGTGGCTGTTTTGTCTCTGTCAGAAGTCGAAAGTACTTCTGTCTCTGCTCATGGTTTATATCTGTTTGTGAAATAGTGAATTTAATTTTTCAGAAATAAGGTATATACTTGGAAATCAAGAAACTTGAAAAACCAAATTGTCATGCTCTGGGGGCCTTCCTCGGAGTAGCAACTCCAAGGGGAATGTGGAAGGTGACCACAAGGGGGAGGGTTTTTTCAGTGATGGCCTCCCATCTATGGAACAGCGTCCCCTCTGCAGCCCAACTGGTGCTGAACCTGTCACCTTTTGGCACCAGCTTAAGATGGCCCTCTTTTCTGAGGCCTTGAAATACTTGGCTACCCAAGGGCTTCAGGGGAATCACCAGGTGTCTCACAGAATAGTTATTTTATTCTTGCTATTGCGTGTTTTTATCATCTGTTTTTAGCTGTTTTAAACTTTTTAATGATTTTTCTGATTTTATTATTAATGTCTGTTTTCGTGGACTGTGTAAACCACCTAGAGAACTTTAGCTGTGGGGTGGCATAGAAATAAATAAAGCCAAAGGATTTCTTTCTTTCTGCTTTGTTTTTGAGCCTATAGCACGTGTTGCCATATTTTTTGAAAATATATTTGATACTGAGAGCTAGCAACTTTTAAAAGTTGGTTGAGAGTGTGAGCTCTGAATCAAAGTCCTGTTTAAAGTTTTACCTTAGTCTTGAACTGCTTCTGAGGAAATAAGCTTTTAACACATCTTACCTTCACTTTCATCTGAGTTTATGAAAATATGTCAGGTAACATAGTCATTTCTTTGTGGCCACTTGTTGAGGATATTATCACAGAACACACTTATTAATATGAGCAACCTGATCCTATGCATAATTTCTTAGAAGTTAAGTCCAACTGGACTGGATAGAAAGAGATGTTCTATTATAGCCTCTCCTGCTCCTGAATAGATGGGATACCCTAAAATCAGACTGCTTGTGAGGAGGCTTCTACTGCAGATTCAAGAAGAATTGGTGGAAACAGCATATCGCACCCATCTTTGTGACACTGGGATACAAGCTTCTTTATTTAGTGAAACCCATTTTCAAGTAAATATGCATAGAATTTTAACAAAGTATTCTGGTTCCAAATTGAAATTCCATAGGTGTAGTAGGCAAGTCTCTCTTTTTCTCATTGTCTTTGCCTCTGCTGTCTCTGCATGTGCACCTGCATAGGAGGACATATTGCTTTACCTGATAGGGCTGTTGTAAGGATTGCTGAAGTGTACTTAGAGTGGATTTCAAAAATGCTGAATATTATACCATAAAAAATACACTGGGGTCTAAGTAGGAGCTGCACTAGAAGAATGTTGGAATGATTTTACCGTATAATCTTGTATTTCTAGAATCATTACTAAAAAGCTAACAAGGAAAATATAGACTAAATATTAGCATCACTGGGACTTGCATTGGGGCTTTTTTTGAATCCTAGTAGCACTAGTGAAGAGAGTTCAGCTGCGTGGAGGAGACCAGTTGAGTTAAGGCTAGTGCATGCAGATTCAAAGTGAAGAACAAGTTATTCCAAGATTTAATTAGAGATTTTCTTGCTGCCTTAATGACTGTCACATTGAATAAAAGGCCTGTTTGTTAGGCACGTTGTACTTATCAATCTTGTACTGCATTCATTATGAATATCTCCTAGTGAGCTAGTGCGCATCATGTGACCAGACTGACAGAGTGAATGCAGTAATACTCAGCTGCAGACATAGTTGTCATGTGAAATCTTGTCAAATATTTTCCATAACACCGGGCCATAAGTATTCAGAATGGAAAGGGAACCTTCTCAGTGGATATATGACAACCTTGTAGGACATGTTGAGGTTCTACGTGTGATTTGATGCTCTGGGTAGTAGCTGAAAAGTACTCCATCTAGGAAGTACATACTTTGCTTCTGGGAGTCGGTCTTCTCCCATCCTGGTACATTCTGACTGGAGCGCTACCTAGTTTCAATCCAAAATCTCTGGAAGACACAAGGTTGGAGAATGCTCATGCAAACAACAGTTTGAGGAAAGGGCACTCAATTTCTGACCTTCAGGAAAAGCAGAGAGTTGTGGTACGCTCCCTTTGCTGTCTTCAGATAGAAGAAAGAATTAAAGTGAAGCTGGCTACTTGTCCACCAAACCCACATGTCTGTGTTGAGTTAGTTGGAGGGGGGAAGCAAGCAGAGTAATTATGGAGGTGCAAAAACTTTTGTGAAATATTGGTACTAAAATAGTTGTTCATGAATGCCATCAAAGGGCTAGACTGTTTGAAGAACTTTCTGATTAAGCTTTGGTAAACAGTGGTAGTGGTGGGAGAAGAATGCTTTTATATTCAATGTGAACTAAAAGATTTCACAAAATTCCAAGCTATCCAAAATGCTATTCGATAGTTCTGCTTATTAGGCTTGGAACCAAAGAACCAAGAATGAATAAAAGCATTCAGATGTGAGCAATAACCAGCACTTTAGGAAAAAAACATTAAGTTCACCAGCCAAATAAATACTGAAGCTTCCTAGTTAACCTCAGTCTTTTAATGTGATTTGTTATAAACTGCTTCCCTGCAATGTTTTCCTTTGCATCATATTAGTGCACTTACAACTGAGTTACTTCAAGTTTCTCATTATGTTGCAGCATCCTAAAAACTGGGGTGGGGGGGATCTACTTTGAGAATTAAGTTCAAGTGCAGTTTCCTGGGATGTTTTTTAAGGTGCTTTACCATCTCCCTATCTGTTCAATCTGTATGCAGAATATATCATAAGGAAAACTAGATTAGGATCAGAGGAAGGAGTGAAAACTAGTGGAAGATAGGACAATAATTTAAGATATGCAATACCTCCTTACTGGCAAAAAGCACCTCTGAATTGAAACAACTCCTGATGAAAGGGAAAGTAGAAAGTGCAAAAGCAGGACTTCTGCCGAACATTAAGGAAAAAGAAATCATGACTCTGAGTTTGTGAAATTCTTACAATGTCAACAATGAAGAAAATGAAACTGTGAAGGATTCTGCATCCCTCGGCTCAGTCATCCATTCAAAGAGAGATTGCAGCAGAGAAATACAAAGAAGACTGGGAATTGAAAGGGCATCAGTGAGAGAAGTAGAAAAGATAATCAAGTGTAAGGACATCTCGCTGGAGACCAAGGCCAAGACCATCCACATGATTGTATTCTTGACTGCTATTTACGGGTATGAAAGTTGGACAGTGAAGGAAGCTGACAGGACAGAAATTAATGCTTTTGAAGCCATGGTGCTAGAGGAGTGTTTTGTGAATACCCTGGACTGACAGAAAAATGAACACATGGATCCTGCTCTAATCAAGCCAGAATGTTCCCTGGAAGCAAAAGTGACAAAACTGAAGCTGCCGTATTTTGGGCACATCACAAGAAGGCAAGAGTCACTATGGAAGACAATAATGGGAGGAAAAGTTGAAGGCAGAAGGAGAAAAGGAAGACCAAAGATGGATTGATTCTATAAAGGAAGACACAGCCCTTTATGTTTTGGGGGGCATTCATTCATAAGAGTTCATACACAAAGCAACAACAATTAGCAACAAAATAATAAACCCTCCAAAACTTCCTTTAAGTTTATTAAAGTTGTCATGCTTGTTGTGTTGCATACTCCTGCTGGGCCTGATGGAAAGACTGGAGATAGCAGGTTTTAGGAAGAAGTTCACGCAGCCTGTCTGGCACTAGGGCACAAGGTGATTCGGATTCTCAGGACTTTGGTGCTGATAGGTTTTACATCCATCTGTGTTCTCCGTAGGGAATTGATGCTTAATCCTGTGCTGCCTTTGTTATCTGCACTTATGATATGGAGACCTCTGTGTGAGTACAGGCTAATCTTAAATGCCCAAACCATTGTAGAGTATTTAATGCTTCTTCAGCTGTCAAGTCACTTGGATTGGTAGAGTTTGGGTCAAAGTTTAAGGTTTTCAGTGCAAAGGAAGCAAACCTTTGTGCACAGAATAAAGTGTACAAGTGGCCTATAGTTGCATTTTTCTATTAACATCATTTTTGTTTTACATGGATTAGTTTATTCAAAACATTTGGAAGACTTTTGCATGGAGCACGTGTTGCAGCATAGGATAGAAGGGAAATGTAATAGTGGACATTGAAGAAGTGCAGGGAATGGTACAGAAACCCTGGCAGACCTACACTGATCTGTCTGGCATTTTTCAGGTCTTATCTTGCAGCTATGAGGACAGAAAGCTTGTTTGAAGCAAGCTGAGATTGTAGGATTACCAGAGAATGTAGCTGAATGAATTCATCTGCATTGGGGATGTATGTATCCATGGCCTTGCATGTATGAAATATACTAAAGGACAACTGTCTGGTGACTCTCCATTTTTATAACTGCATTCTGGTTTCCTGTATGCATACTTCATGTGGTTTGGATTCAAAAGTTGAATGCAGTTTCTGAAACTCTGAGGGTTCTTCATTGTGTCTCTCTCCAATTCACCCCCGCCCCCAGTAAAATCTTCATAATTTCAAGGAAGGTCAAAGAAATGGCAGTTTGACTGGGTGTCAAAGTTATGGCACTGTCAGTCACTTTAAATCATGAGGCAGGAATTTTTGGACCCGCTCCTTCCCCCTTGTTGCTTTTGCCAATGTTTTCAAGTGCCAGCTGCTAGCTTTCATAATGGGTCTAAATTTAATGCAAATTTAAACCTGAATGCAACATAATGCTACAATATTCTAAGAATATTAGTCTCTTTGATTTGTATTTTCTTTTTTTTTTCTTTTTAGGTATCTCATGCAGTCGCTAAGCTTGTATTAGTTAACTTCCACTGGCAAATCTCAGAAATTTTGGAAAGGTAAGTATGTATGTATAAATTTTGACAGCTTGCCTCATTCTTCCTTGTCAAAAGCAAAGGCTGTTTCTCTTGAAAGGTATCTAAGACAATCTTACATGTTTTGCTCACAAGGGTATGAAGTAAGTTTCAACTTTGTAAATAGTTCTTTGCCTAGACACCTTTGGTGAGTGAGGAATGTCTCCAAATGATCATATTGGAAAGCTTTGCAAAATGTTGGTTCTCCTCTTCTTTCCTCAGACCACAAATTACAAGTGTGCATAGGGGAGTGTAAAGTCTTTGCAAGTAGTAACTTTTGTGAACTTACTTGTAAGGTTGCCCTAATGCAGTGACAGCGAACCTTTTAGAGACCGAGTGCCCGAACTACAACCCAGAACCCACTTATTTATCGCAAAGTGCCAACACTGCAATAAACCTGAATACTGAGGTTTTGGTTTAGAAAAAAAACAACTCATACATTAACATCTTTTGTCTTAAAAGAAAAATACAATAACAGAGAGGAGGAGCCATGTTCACATTCAGCATCCCCAAGTCGGGGGATGCTGGGCTTGCTTGCGCCTGGGCGCGCGCACTCGCTCCCTCCTTCCCTCCTCACCCCCAAACCAGCCACCAGGAATGCCTCAGGAGCTTTGGCAGTGCTTGAAAGTTCACCGGAGGGGCAGAATGTGGATGGGGGTGTGGGGGGAGACCTAAACTAAATGTGAGGAGAGGCTGTCGAGGATCCCTTCCACGCTTCCATTGGGATCTTCCTCGAGGCGTCCCCATGACGCTGCCAAGCCTTGGCAAGTGGGGTTGGGTGGGGAGGGGGGTTCCTGCCACATGCCCACTCCTCTTGCTTCACAGCAGTTCCAGCCTCCACTTTTCCTCATTTTGGCCTCCCTCCCCAGGAAGTGCCATATCGATCCCAGCCGCCCTCTCTCTCCTCCTCCTTGCTGCAGCTGCTGCTCCGCCATCTTGACACCGTAGCTCACTCCCTTCACCCAACTTGCCCCCCCCCCCCGCAGCCACTGGCGTGGGAGCCCGGCCTAGGAGCGGGCAGGTGGGCGCACGGCTGCCTGGCTGCGCCTGCGGCTACCGAGTCGACAGGGTCCCACCACTGCACTAAGAGGGCGGCTTGGGTGGCTGCTAACATGCTGCGGGCTGGGAGGAGGAGGCAGGAGGAGGGCGCCACCGCCAGCGCTCTACACACCTGTTTGCTGCTTGCCCGCTCCCTTCCTGACACACCCACCACAGCTGCTGTGCCTGCCTCTGGCCACCTGTTTGCCACTGCCTCTTGCAGCGAGTCGTGGCTGATGAGTGACATCGTCACCTGGCACCATTACTCTTTCCGAATGTGTGCATGGCTGCTGGGGCGACTTGGCTCGTGTGCCAACAGGGAGGGCTCTGCGTGCCCGCTGTGGCAGGGGTGCCATAGGTTCACCATCACTGCCCTAGTGTATCCCATCATGTGTGATACAACCAGGATAGAATGAATGGCAGTTTCCTGATACATGAGGTATATACTGTTAGTATCAATATTTTTATTACCTCTGGAAATAACTCATTTTTCTGTTTTGAGAGCCTGCTGTATTTCCAGAGCTGCAGTCCTATGATTCCCTGGTATCACATACTGGGACTTTAATGTAGTCAAGTGCTGGGAAGCGTTGTAGGGCTACTTTGACCATATGAAAATGGTTAACAGAGCATGGATTATGAGGGGTATGGTTCACTAGCGTTCTTGGGTCTGAGAAAGGTAGTTTTCCCTGCATCAGTTTCCTGCTTCATTTGTAAGATGGGTGTAATAATGATTTCCTTTGCTTGGTGGTTGTGAGGATGGATAAGTTCATGATTCATGATCAGCATAGATATTTCCCACTAAAATCTGCAGCTGCATTTTGTTAACAATTCTGTAGTCATGGCCCTCTGATTTAAATTCTTCTTTCTGGTTTTCAGGCACAAGTCCAATTCTGTCCAGTTACTAGTGGAAGCACGAGTTCAGCCAGCCTCATCCAAACACGTAAGTAACTGGCTGCTCCAGCACACTTTTTACTAAAACTCCTTCTATGGTCCTCTGAGGGCCAATTCTCTTGTCTCCTGGTCTGTTTTCTGCTGGCTTCTATTTCATTCCTCTCTTTTTCACAAGAGATGAGATTCTTGAGGGTGAAGCTTGTGCACTACTTTTGGGTCTCCTGGTTTTGTGCTAAGATTTTGTGAGAATGTTAGCTATAAAAAGCAGTCACGTGCCCTTGGCACTGCAATTCACACTTTAGCATCGGTGACCATCTTTAGCTGTTGTAAAAATCATTCTTAACTTACACATTAAAGGATTAATTGTAGTTTTCTGGTGTTGTGATAGTGATCTTTGAAAATAGGCAAGGCTGTGATATGTTTTAAGATGGCTAACCAAATTAGCACTGCTTTTTACATTCAAAAAGGCTGCTTTTTACATCCAGAAAGTTCAAGTATATCTAGAATAATAACATTCAGCGATGGGGAAAAATAGACAAATTGACATGGAAAGTAGGTTGCACGTAACTCCCTGTTAGATAAAAACATGGCTATATATTTAAACTTTGTTGTGAGATTGAGGCTTTACTTCTTAGGGATACAAGAATGCTCTAAGCAAAGTGCATGCTTCAAACAGGATGTGCAAATTGGAGAGTTACACTGGACTCTACTAAAGTTATGGATGAGTTTGTGGCAACTCATTGCTCCTCTGCCTTCTTCTGTAGAATCCCCAGTCCTGTGCCGAGCCCCTGGATCAATATTGCACCATTCCCGTTTGTGTCTTGCAGGATCTCTTTCCAAATACTTAATGTGTTTGGCAGCCCTCTATAACATTCTAGATCATATCCTATAGCCGATGGGACAGCTTCCTTCCTGTATCCCCAACAACCAACTTGTAACTCAAGGTGTCAAGCAGTCCACTCTGCTGTTACTTCCACAACCTTTGCCATCTGGCAGTTCATATTTTTGTAGTGTTTCCTTTCCCCTTGTATCCTGCAGTAGCCTGTGGGAAGTGCTGGTTATAATCCTGTGCAGAGTTACTGATTCTTTGTATTGTTTTTATGTTTTAGTTTTACTATTTGTGGCTTGTACACACAGCTTTGCAAATTGCAGGTGTAAGCAGAATATAAATGCTCAAAATTATAGCAACTTGTAAGACAGTACACTAGCAGCTTTCAGTGCAAAAGCCCATTTATATTATCTGCTGTTGGAGATTTGTTTATTGTGCAAGGCAGGTAGCATACAAAAAGGAGTCTTTTTTCATCTGGCCATGGAATGAAGACCAGTTTGTCCTTTCATTCATTGTCTTTCATCTTCACAAAGCAATAGGATATACATTACACCATTTCTCAAAAGAATGATAAACGTGACCAATATGTGAATAATTGTCAGAAACTATTACAAAGGGAAAGTGAAGTGTGACTAGAAGTAGTTAAACTGGTGTATTCTATAAGCCTGATCAAGAAAGCTAAGTATGAGCACAACCTAAGAACATAAATTAGTGTTTTTCATTTCATACTTTTCATGTTACCCTTTCCTACAAAGAATGAAATAAGTTACATGATAACTGGACCAGATATTCTCTCCAAATTGCTATCATCTAAGGACCATAATTTTGCTAAAATGGGTTACTACAACTGATTTTCATACCTGTAAATGTTTCTTTTGTCTTCCAATCAGGCCATGGTACATTCCTCTCAGCACTGCGCAGTATGTATGCAGTTTGTTCGAAAGGAAAACTTGTTGTCTCTGGCTTGTCAGCACCAGTTTTGCCGCAGCTGTTGGGAGCAGCACTGTACAGTACTTGTCAAGGATGGAGTTGGAGTTGGTGAGGAAATAGATTGTTAAGGAGTCTTTTGGGGGGAGTGTACACTGGCACCTCCTTCCTCACTCTCTTTCTCTGTAACTTTATTCTTAGCTGGCAACCCTTTTTTCATAGTCATATATAGGAAGCAAAAATCATATGTTCATATGTTTTTAAGAAAATTGGTGTTCCAAATCTTTCATGAGTTATGGGACTTCAGACTAACTCATACAGCCTCGGCATGGTCTTCTGTTTTTCTCCAACAGATTTATTATCTGCTTTCTATAGAGTCAGCTGTTCTTATTGTTTTACTTTCATTCTCTTTTCCAAAGGCTTGTAAGTGCTTTCTGTTGGCCAAACAGTTTTGGTGACAGTATTGCTGTCCCAAAAATTCCACTGAATTGCATATTAGCAATTTGACAGGGCTGCAGTTTTGGGGGGTTTTGTGAATATCCAGAGGCCTCTAATAATGGATATCCTTAACTTAGAGTAGTTTTTGTGGCTGTCTTTTTACAGGAGTCTCCTGCATGGCTCAGGATTGTCTGCTTCGGACTCCAGAGGATTTTGTGTTTCCATTGCTACCAAGTGAGGAGCTAAAAGACAAATACAGACGCTACCTCTTCAGGGACTACATTGAGGTACTGCTTGTCCTTTCCCATCAAGGGTTTGTGTGTTGTATGCTTTCACACATTTCTGTGAATTTGCTTATGCTTTGCAGACTATGTAAACCAGGATGGCCCACACTACCTCTCCATACCTTTTTAAATGGAGGTTTGCAGTGTGCAGAAAAGGGCAAATCTGGTTTCTTTGTAAGCTATATTTGACTCTTTTTGCACTCTGTAGCTTTTCATTTGCCAGCTTCATTTAAGTGCCAAAAGCTGAAGTGGTTTCAAGCCAATACAAAATATAAATTCCTTCAATCTGTTTATTTCAGCAAGTTTTTCTTACTTGTATTTATTTTTTTTCTTTAAGAAACATTATTTTATGTAAGTATATGTAGCAAATCCATCTCCTCAGAAGAGTTTTAGATTCTATATCTGGTATCCTTTTGATAACTCATCACAGTCATATAGATTAGCTTATTTCTTGAATAGTTTTGCAGACAATCTATCTGTGTGCTTAAGGTGACATTATAGAAAACAAATATAAGCTTAAGTAACTAAGAGGAGAAGACTTTTATACCATCCTGAGACTTTTGTGATAGGATGGTATGAAAAAGCTTTTATTAACTAAATAATATAATGCAGTAGCCAAAAAAAGGGTCTTATTGTTCCAGTACATTTCAGACCATTTCAGAAACATGTTGGATCAATAAACTATTATTTGTTATTCCATTTTCCCTCTTGGTTACTTTTCTTTAGAGATCTAAGAAGATTACTGTGGACAAGGACTTCAAGGTCCCCATCCATTTGCTTGCCAGTGAGATGGATTAGACCATTTGTACATGGGAAATGGGATGTAACTGCTTTTTCCTTCTCTTTGCCTCCACTGCCTTTCAGACCAGTTTCTAATGTGGTTTTTGGTATGTTACTTCACAGAGCCATTTCCAACTGCAGCTTTGTCCTGGCGCAGACTGCCCCATGGTCATTCAGGTACAGGAGCCCAAAGCCCGCAGAGTGCAGTGCAATCGCTGCAATGAAGTTTTCTGGTAAGGAAGTGAAACTGTATTTTGGAGTGAGGGGTTTTCCTTGGCAAGTGGAAAGAGCTGGCTGAAATGCATGCCAGCCTAACCAAGTGCAGACAGATAAAGCCTAGGGAGCTCAAAATGCCTGACTCTCAAGACTGCTTCTTGGATCTAGCAGCTGGAAGTGTGTTCCATGACTGGAGAATCTTACAGATATACTTAAGACAGAGCTCTGAATGGCCATCTTTAATGTATTATAGTGAACTCAAAAGAGCTGCTGCAGTTCTAATAGGCAACTAATCTGCAATGTCACAACAGCTGTTTACTATCAAGCAGCCCAGTTCTGATGGTACAGTTTTCAGTAACCTGTGTTTTGTGTTCTGTCACCACAAGGGTGTGGGATTGCATAACAAGAAGAGGTGTTCATAAGGATCTAGAAGATGAATCTAGAAGATGATATTACTGCTTACTGTAGCATGTGGTTACAGATGGGTAGTTTGTGTATATTCTGCACTGTACAATTGGAAACTGCACCAAACTAGACTTGAACGCAGTTGTTTGTAGGAGTTTTGCAAATTTTATTTTATTTCCTTTTTTCTTTGTTTTCTTTAATTCAAGAATAGGCTAGACATGCACATGGTGGGCATGTTGTGAGCGGAGCCTGCTGGAGCTGGGGGTCAGACTAGATTGCCCGGGAGACCCCTTCTATTTTTAGTTATGAAATGATATATTGTTGTTGATTTGTTTTATTGTTGAATGTTTTAATTATATTTTATATTATTATATTGTTATTTATATTATTTTATCTTCTGTAAGCCATCCTGAGGCTGCTGCAAAGGACAGTATATGAATGTTTAAATAAAATTAAGCCCATGTATATGTTACACATACTTCTGTTTTTTCTAGTATGATGGGAAGGGGATGTGCAAAGAGTTAAGTGGGGTGTTGAAGCCCAGTCACCTGACTTTGGGAGGCTCTACATGGCCCTTCCTCTGACTTCAAGCACAACTTGAAAATAGATTTTTATTTGAATTCAGCATTTAAAAAATAGATTAGCAGAATTCTACAGTCTGTATCCAGTAGCAAATTCCTCTCTTAATTCAAGAGGAATTCGGTTTAATAGCCTATAGGCCATACACCATAATTTAAGAATTTAAAATCACATTATAACAAAAATTTGCCACATCTATGAAACAGTTTTTAGAAAAACTGCTGAGAAGTAGTTTTAGTCTTGCAGCATTAGGAAGAGTTGACTATTTCAACAGCCGTTTCTTTCAAAAACTATCTCTTGCCTGTTCATATTTTGGGCAATATTTTATTTATTTATTTATTTATTAAAACATTTTTATGCCGCCCCATTCGCCGAAGCCTCGGGGCGGCTTACAACATAGATAAAACAAGTTAAAATCCATATAAAATAATCTTAATTAAAACTCACATTATAAAATAAGCCGCCCTGGCCAGATAAAATTCAATTGTATTTAGCATTTAAAATGTTGCTTAAATAAAAAGGTCTTAGCCTGGCGCCGAAAAACAAATAACGACGGCGCCAGGCGGACCTCTCTGGGGATAACATTTGCACCCCAGTTGTACAGAATTGCAGAGTAGAAACAGCACTGTATATGGGTGCTCTTAATTCTTACTTACAAAGAACTATTTAGTTATGTACAATAGGATTGCTGGAAAGTGGACATACCCGTCTCTTTGTTTAAGTTTCAAGTGTCGGCAGATGTACCATGCTCCCACGGATTGTGCCACCATCCGAAAATGGCTCACTAAATGTGCAGATGACTCTGAAACTGCTAACTACATCAGTGCTCACACTAAAGATGTAAGTGTGTATATCCATTCATAATGCAATTTCTGTTAAGAAATTTTGGGGTGTGGGAAAGGTCTGGCAAGGTGCTTTCAAGTTGCTTATATTCTCAAACAAGCTTCCAATAACAAGCCTTTGTGTAGAGTTATAAACAGAGGACTTTGTTGCGGGTTAAATACTCCATGATGATCCAAGCATGTAATGCAACTTAGGTCATACAGAGTAATGTCTCTTGTATTTTTCATAAGGAAGGACTAGATCCAATTAAGTTTTTCCAGGGAGTTATCACACTAAATATTTCATCCTTCTTACAGATGTAAAATAATTATGGCTAGAAGAAATAGAGCAAAAAATTAAAGCAAACGAAGTGTTATGAAAAAGAATTGTCTCTTGAACAGTGAATACATTTCCTCTGCAGTGAAAAATGGCACTGGGATATGGGCTCTGTATAGATGTGCAGCACGAAGAGTAGATAAAATGGAAGCAAGGCCATTGAAGGCTTTAGTTGGTGCTGATGGAGAATATGAAAAGGGAGTTGGAAAGAAGGAGAAACTAATTAAGAAAGATGGATGGGGATGATGGATGATAAAGCCCTGTGCTGAATCAGAATAATGGGTTCATCCAGCCGAATACTAAATAACTGGAGTGACAACACCATTCCAAGCTCAGTTTTTCCTAGCCCTGATCTCGGTGACTTTTTTTTTTTTTTTTACCAGGGATATGAAAACTGAGCTCTCTGATCACCAGCTGGTCAGATGGAGGTCTGGGGAGCGTAGTTCAATGGCAGAACACTTCTGTTGCATGCAGAAGGTTCCAAGATCTATTCCCTCTATTTGTGGGAATCCTGGGAAAGATTCCTGGCTAAAACCCTGGTGTGGATAGTATTAAGCCAAATGGACCGATGGTCTGTCCTGATATCAGACCATCATATTCCTGTGCACCTAAAAAAAAAAGTAAGACAGAGACTAAAATATCCACAGAAGACAAAAAGATAGGAAGAATAGAGAGCTAAAAGGAATAGTCTAACAGAAAAATCAGTCTGACTGAAAAAAATTGAGAGGATCTAATGTTCTCTTTTCTCCCCAGTGTCCCAAGTGCAATATCTGTATTGAAAAGAATGGTGGCTGCAATCACATGGTGAGCAGTTCTTGAACTCGGAATCCTTTAAAAACATTGCTTGATTTTAAGCCAAATCTTTCCTAACTTGTGTGTTGTTAATGTTGTCTCTCTGTTCCTCTTCCCCTCCAGCAATGTTCCAAATGCAAGCATGGTAAGTGAAGAGTATCAGGTGGTCTTATGTTGTTGTGGTTGGGTAAAAGTTTTTTCTCTTGCTTTAGGGACTGTCTTGCTGATCTGTTAAAACACTTTCAGTAAAAAATACAGGGTGAGCCCTTCAATAGGATTTCACCCTGTAGAGCAATTGCTCTTGTCTTTAAAGCTGTTGCGTGCACAGTAACTCTTACTCCTCTTATCCCCTGTAGACTTCTGCTGGATGTGTCTGGGGGACTGGAAGACTCATGGCAGCGAGTACTACGAATGCAGTCGGTACAAAGAGAATCCTGATATTGTAAACCAGAGTCAGCAAGCACAGGCCAGGGAGGCTCTTAAGAAGTACTTGTTCTATTTTGAGAGGGTAGGAGACACCTTCTTGGCCAGAGCTAACTGTGTAGCCTTTTCCATGCACCCTGCCTTGTATAAAGGTCACTGCCAACATGACTGTATGAAGAACCACTCTTCCAGCAATGCATAATGTGGCTTCTGAAAATGCTGTGGCCACATTTAGATCCTTCCTCAAGGTTATATATGTGGTATGAGAATGGATCAGTTATGCTCTCCAAAATAGACTTTGTAGATGAGATGTATGTCTGTATGTTCCACACTGCCTACTTTAGTCTGAACTGTACGGCCATTTGCAGTTTCAGCCAGTATACAGTGTACTTCTTGCACATAGCTCTCTGGGTGCCATCAGCTGCAGCTGGCTGCAGAACTGCAGGATTTTTGGCGGAAATCTCATCAAGTCCTTTGTACTTGGATTCATTTAAAAACCAACCATTTTAATTCCTGAGCTGTCTCAGCAAGGTGTGGCAATTTACCATCCTTCTAGCTTTTATTCTAAGTGAATGATTGAATTTTACAGATGTTTATCAGCACAAGAGGTGTGCTAAATGAATAAACTAAAACTGCTTTTCTAAAATATGAGTGCTTCTGCCACTGGAAAGAGTGAAATGATTGCCTCAGGCATCAGATGTTGGGGTGCAGTGCTAGCACTTTCAGCATCTCTTTCACCTGAGCTCTTTGCCATCCTCCCCTGTTGGAGGATGTAGCTGTGTTTGTTTTGGGTCCCTAAGGATAGCCGTGGGTGTAATGGAGGAAGGGGATGCTGTGCTCAAGTAAAATTCCACTTCCAGTCCAGTTACCATCTATGCAGGAAGCGAAAGTTCTACAGCTGGCACCGAGGAGGAGAGAACTTAACCTGCTGCAGGGAGGGAGTGTGGTGATTAATGAGCAATGAGGGGGAAGCTGCTGAAAAACAGTTATCTACACTGGTTTTCTATACTTAGGTGTCTGTATTGTATTCAGAACTGCATAGAATCAGGAAACATTTGGATAAATGAAGGAACAGGGAACCACAAAGGGAATTGTGAGACAGACTGCTCTGGTTGCCATCTAGGAGCATTTGGTAAACCTAAGTTTAAATACAGTCCCAGCTCATTATTGGAGCCTCTTCATTTTTCCTCCTTACTGCAGCCCTCCACACCACCTGACACTCTGCTCCAGAGGGGTTCCCAGCTCTCCAGAGCAGATTTTGAGGGAGCAGAAGCAGTAGTAAGGCTAGGAAATCAGCCCCTGCTGATTCCACTGTGACACAGCTGCTTTCATCAGTGGAATGACACCACTTAAAACCCCTGACCTCACCCTTTCAGGCTTGTATTTTCCTAACAATGTTTTGGTTTCTAGTTCTTAGATTTAAAATGTCACTTTAGTAACATATTAAAATTTGTGGTTATGATGATGTAGTTTAATCATTGTAAATCATTTGTAGCTAACCAAGGCAGTGAGAACTAGAAACTAGCACTTTTTCAAATAAATCTGACATTCTCAAAAGTTAGGCTGTGATCCAGCTTAGTCTGACCTTGTCACAGCTAAACATGTATTGAAAAACAGATACCTTTCCTCTCTAGGTAATACTTCAGGAAGCTCCAATGCTTAACATATGACATAACACAGGTTCAGTTCACAGGTTTAATTTATTTCATATTCCTCTGAGATATTAGCCTTGTTCAGACAAAATGACTGAGCAGAAAATGTCACCCATGTAGCCAGGGATTCCTGAACACAGGATTTTATATCAGATACAGAAATCTCTTTCAGCCCATTCCTTAATATAGAAAGATCAAGAACAGTGAGGGCAGGGATGGGCTTGCTGAGGCAACAGTGACACACATCCCCATGTCCCCTACACAGGGTGCTATTTCTTATTCCTGAGCAAGGAATGAGTATAATAGCATGCCTGAACAAGGACTGCTACTGTTTGTTAACAGGAATGCAAATACTTTATCCTTTCTAGACCTCACATTATCTTTTGTCAATGATATCAGAAAGTGACAAATATGGCTTCATTTTGTCTTTTTCAAAGGGGAAGTATAGAGTTGAAAGTTTTTCCTGTGCATTATTTTCTGATGAATTTTTCCTGGCCTGCTGGATCCCAGTTTGTCTCTCAAAACTTTCATCAGAAAAATGAGTATTTCATTGTAGTCTAACAGTTTTTTCCATGTTCACAGTGGGAAAACCACAACAAGAGCTTACAGCTGGAGGCACAGACATACCAGCGAATTCAAGAGAAGATTCAAGAAAGGGTGATGAACAACTTGGGAACGTGGATAGACTGGCAGTATCTACAGAATGCTGCAAAGCTTCTAGCTAAGGTGGACATGCCTGGCTTTTAATTGAAAGGCAGTTTTATCAGTGCAAAATGACAACTAAGAACTAGCTTGTTCTCAAATCTGGTGTTTTTAGAAAATTAATCTGTGTTCCAGCTTTGTCTGGCTTTGTCACAGCTAAACAAATGCCGAAAATGTGATACACACTAGGATTGGGATGAAACACAGCGGAATCTGTTGCTCTCGCATTCACGAACTTCCTCTCATGCTCTGCCCTGTCTTAGAAAAGTAAGGCTGAAAGGAAATCTGTGAAAGCTGGCAGAATAAAGGTTGTGCACTCTGCAGCCATCTGCCACACCACGTGTGCTCAAAGAAAGACTGCACATGGTGCTTGAATTCGGTGCACATCATGCAGATACTGGGTGTGCTTGCCAGGAACTTGAGCTCGGGGCTGTGACAAGGCCTGGGAAGGCAAGCCCGGGGAATCCAATAAATTACCTTCTCCAAAATGAATTCTACCCACCCCTTTCTTTCTGAGGTGGGATTGGGAGTAATGAGTCATGGCTATAGGGTGCTACTCCTGTTCTTAAGGGCTTAAATGACACCCAGGTGCCTGGCATAAACTGCAGCTATTACCAAGAAAGGGGTTGTGATGGTATTCCTTAATGTTCTGGATTTATGGTACCTGTATGGTACCTTCCAAACCCATCTTTTGGAAGTCAGATTATGTTTTGTACTTCTAGCATGTTCTGAGGCAACCTTTTGAAGTTCTTGATACTATACTACAAACCCTGGAAAGCTCAATTCTAGCAGGCAGTTTATCATGATACTAGGTGTGACTTACTGCTAGTTCCACCAATTGCATCATGTAATGACACTGTATAGAACATAGGGCAAGGGTAGCTGCCAAAAGTGAATTTTTTCAAAGCTGCAGTGCTGATATACAGCTTCCCCAGCATTTGGGGAAGATTTAGGAGCATCTGCCCAAGCACACATCATGAAAGCAATTTGACAGTCTTCCTTCTTTTCCCCACAGTGTCGTTACACGCTACAGTACACATATCCATATGCCTACTACATGGAATCTGGTCCCAGGAAGAAATTGGTAAGAAATGTGGCTCTGAGTTTCATGGTAAATAAAATACTTAAAGAACACAACTTGGAAATATAGGAGGCTCAGGTCGAATTGTCTGTCCTAAGAATGATCTGGGGCATATGATGGAATTAAGCTGATGACCTAGTACATGTTCTGATGCTGGGATGGGAGATCACTTGAAAATCTCTTGAAAAAACTCTGGATTGTATCAGTGGAAAAGACAGCACTAATAGAGCAAATAGTATAGTGGTACCTTGGTTCACGAACTTAATTCATTCCATGATTCTGGTCGCGAACCGAATTGGTTGCGAACTGAGTCAAGCTTCCCCATAAGGTTCAGTGTAAATAAGGTTACTCCGTTCTGAACCATATGTAATTTTTTTAACCACAAAAATATGAAACAAAGTACAGTACAGTACAGAGAGAGAGAACCTTGCTTGAGGCGACTTCTGGCATGGAGGACAGGAAGGTGGGTGGGGGGGAGGTTATTGTTTGGAGGGAGAGTCTGCGACTGCGATCTCTAGTAGAGGAAGCCGCAACCACATGTCAGAGCATGCAAACACGAACATGGCCATCTGCCCCACATGAACATGCTCTGACACATGGTCATGGTGTGGGGAAGATGGACACGATCATGTTTGTGCAGGGAAGATGGCCACGCTCATGTTCATCACCCAATGCGGAGTTCATGAACGGAAGCAAAACTTTGCCGAACTTCCGTTCATGAACTTCAAGAACCAAATTGTTCGCAAACAGAAGCGCTCGTGAACCGAGGTATTACTGTATTATCTCCTGCACCTTTCAGTTGGCCCCAGGGAGTTGGGGTTCCCTTCACAGACAATTTGGAGCACTTGCAGGAAGGAGGAAAAAACAAGGAAGTCCCATTGCATGAGCAGGCTTCCTCTCTTGCAACTTTGGATTCGATCCCAGGTGGCTCAGTCTTGGCTTGCAATACTTTTTTCATTCTTTCAGAAGTGCCTTTCTTTATGAATAATAGCAGGAATACATGTTTGATGGTGCAGCAGGTTTGGGGTAGTCTGAGAATAATAGAAGCAGGTCTCCCTATATCTGCTTTATTTAATTTTTATTCAATTTGTTCTTTCAGTTTGAGTACCAGCAGGCTCAGCTGGAAGCAGAAATCGAAAATCTTTCATGGAAGGTAGAGAGAGCAGACAGTTATGATAGAGGGGTAAGTAACAAGCTTTACTGAGCCTCATTTCACTTCATCTTATTCATGAGCTCAGTTTCAACATGGAAAGGCTCAAGAAATCCCATGCTGAAGAGTTTTCCTGTTGCACAAATGAGAAATAAACCTGCATTCCTTGCTTTCTTTCTTTTCAACCCAGGACCTGGAGAATCAGATGCACATAGCTGAGCAGAGGAGGAGGACCCTGCTGAAGGACTTCCATGACACATAAAATAGCAGGAGCTGTCAGGGCGCAGGGGTGAGAACAAAGAGTAAGGCGGCGGTGAGAATGGTAACAGAAGCAACATGAGAAACTGATCACCGATTCCTCCGCAGAAAAGGGCTGAGGACAAGCACTGCACCCTCCCCTTGCAAAACCAGACACGAGCTAGCACCACGGCTTAGTCTTCTGTTTTTCTTCTGTCTTTCTACTTTTCATTTTTGCCAGGCTAGAGGCTGGAGGTCAGATTGGCACCTTTTCCTGGGACATTTTCTTCCCAGCTCTTGGATTGTTATGGGAAGGAGTTCTATTTTATTTTTGTTTTTCCTGAATGGCTGTTAATACCATTAGATCATTACAAACTTATGTAATTTTCAACAGTTGTACCATTATACAAAATGAACCCTAGAATAACACAACCCACTTTTTAAAAATAAATTGGAATTGGAGTGTGTTTCCTTTTTAATAAGCTGCTTGTAAACTTAATGGCTGCTTCTTCTTCCCTGTCCCCTCCCTCCCGTCCCCACCCCAAAACCCTCTTTTGCACTGAAGGTTTTGAAAGTTCAGCTGTCTGTCCATTGATACCCCTTACGTGCACTTTTTGTATTGTTTGTCCTATGACCCCATGGGATGAACAGGGCCTAGGCCTGGAGACATCGGTTGTGGCTGAAGGTCAATACAGTTGAGTGGCTTTCCGGTTCTTCTATGGCTGTGCTGGGGCAATAGGGCAAAGCTCACAGCAGCATGGGAAACAGTTCTAATCCTACTGTTCCATCAATTTAAGGTTGTCTCCTGCATGGATTTATTGTTTTGTCTTGTTTCTCCGGACTGCTGTTTTCTGCCAAAACTAAACTACTTGAAGGGGTTATGGGAATACAACCTTACCTTGCACAGTAACAGTCACTTGCCATGATCCGTCCATGACTTGCATATCTGTGCAACTCAATCATGTACAACCAGATTTTTTACATAGTTGTAAGGTGATATAACAAGCTTGATCCCTCTTGCCCTGACGAGACTAGATTTCCTTACTGTGTGTCAAGGAGAAACTGTTACGTTTAAATGATGCTTGATAAAAATCTTGGCAGCATAAAACAGATCCTTAGAAACATGTGCCAATGGTAAGCTTATACTGCTGTCCTGAAAACTATTATACTGCTGGCTGAAGAGCAACCAGCAAAATTGATGGGCATGGTGCATAAATTGCTGTTTAAATTAATGGATAGCCTGCTATTGGCAGGGGACTCTTTTAACTCCCAAATGTGTGTGAATGTCAAAATTTTCTCCATGTTAGAGTCTAGCTTTAAAATATGTATAAATTTGTGTAGAAGGTGTGTGAACCACATACCTAGTTATGTTGATAATCCACTTTAAAAAGATGGAACTGCTACCTTTTTCCCAAAGCTGCTTTGATTGCTGGTTGACATGAGAACATCTTTGCCATTTTGTTTACAAAAGCATGTTGCACTGAACATTTCTGTGTATACTTGTCATGACATTTGGGGGCTGGATGAGAAGGATTGACTCGGATCCTTATTCTCTGCTTCTTACACCTGCCTTTCTGACCTTTCAGTGGGAACTGTATTAGAGTTTTGGATTTTGTCCTAGCTCTTGGAGGGATTATTTGTCATGCCACCCTTTCCCCTTTTAGCTGCTGCTGCTGCTACTACCTCAGGCACTCCAAGAAAAGTATTATGCCTTTCATCTGCTTTTGTTCCCTTAGTAAATGACCTGAAGACCTTTTTAATATGACTGTCTACCACTGAGTAGCCAGTTAACACAGATTAAACAAGTAGGAGGGAAGGTACCAGGCTAAGGAGGAGTGCCGAGGAGAGAGATACTCCCCCTACATCGCTTCCTCTTGACTCCCTGCGCCTTTCAGCCTTTCCCATGCCATTGGTCTTTTCTTTGTCTCTTGTAGCTGATACAGCATGATGACCTCACGAGGTTTGCTCATTTAACCCATGTCTGTCTGCTGTAAGCGGAGATCATGTGATTGTGTTCTATTGGCTGTAGATGTTTCCGTTCCTCTGCATGAAGTCCACAACTGGGCCTTGATAGGTAGAAACAGTCAAAAACATTTAGCAAGAACAAAAAGTTCATCGTGTATGTGACTTTAGTTACCTACAGAGATGTTAGTATTCATTCTCTTATTGGTTTGATGAGATGTAGTACGTAAAATGCTAGCACAGGATTATTTCATTAATCCAGTCACAGTTTGGATAAAGATCAGCCTCTTGATAAGGGAGAGCTTTTGACTTCCTCATTTCTGCTGTTTAAATGCTGGCTTGGCCTCCTTGCTTGCTTACACAGTGCTCGGTTTTTAAAGGGGATGAGGTTTTTTAATCTTTGAAGTTAGGCTGAGGTGCCTGGTTCACTGAATTAACTATGTTAAGGCATACATGAATATTTGCAATGTGTTGAATTCAGTAGTAGCACATTCACAACTTTGAATATCAAAGTAAATTTCTCCAGCCCTGTAGTTTCTACAGTTTGGCAATCGGATTGCATGAGTGGTGCCAACCTGGAACAAGGAGTTAAAATGTGCTGTGTGAGCTGGTATTGCATGATACTAAGGGCTACAGTCAACTTTGTGTAAGCAGAATTCCACTTCTACAAGAGAATAATCCCATCCACCCCTCCCATGCGGTGATCCCAAAATTTGCTCCAAAGGGTCCCCAAGCCACCAGAACAGATTTTTTGGGGAGATGGAAGCTACATGGGAAGGAGGGATTTACTCTGCTGGTAGATGCCATTCTCTTGATGAATGGACACAACTGGATTTCAGTGTAGTAGCCACCAATGGTACTGGTAGCATTTGTGTATGTATGCACTACTATTTTTAGACCCAGAGTTTACAGATGAGCAGGGGTTTTTTTTTCTTTTACAAACACTTCTTCCCTATTCCACAATTATATAATGCTCAGCTGCTGTCTGAAAGATTTCGGCATTGGGAATAGGCTATGCTTTAGGAATGTATCTTGCTCTTCCCTCTGGTAAAGAAGATGGTGTGTTTCAGTGTGATCCTAGATTAAAAATCATATTTTCTTCTCCTTAGAAAATTCTTGCCAAGTTCATAATGGGCTGGCTGGAATGGCAAGACTGCAATTAAGAATTAGTGGAATCTGAATATGGAATATTAGGTACTACATTTTCCTCGTTGCAGGTTAACATTCTATACAAGGGGATTTTGTCTTTCTCTTTGGCAGCTATTTTCATCATTCAGGTTTTTAAAATTCTGATGTGGCTAGCTCATGTCCCTAATACTTTATTTTGGTTTGGCTTACATTTAATATGACATGCCTCAGTTTGCTAAAACAAATTCAAAGCAGCTACACCTTTTTTGTTTCTTTTCTTTTCTTTTCTTTTTTGCACCAACTCCTGATAGTTAATACTGAAGGTGTTCAGGTTATTCCAAATTCTCATGGCCAACAAAATTCTGTGTGACCTGAAAGCTTGCATGCAGACACCAAAAGAGATTGTACAGATTAGGAGATCCCCTAACCTCTTACATGTATGTATAACGGAGTGCTGGTGTCCTAACACTCCTTTTTCTGTAGCAATGACAAGATTACTATTGATAACCTAAAAATGAATGTGGACTGTGTGCCATTCTAGTGCTACAGGCAGAACAGGAGACTTATTTTCCATATTATTGCACTGTCTTGATTCATTTTAAAACTTCTGTTTCTTTTAAAATCAGCTTCATGTCTCAATTCCTTTTTCTAGGAAAGCTCATAAGCGCTCACTTAAGTCTGGACTGTTCAAAGTTTTCAGGTAGTAGCTTCTGCTATGGGAGCTTTTTTATTACACAGAGTGCTACGTTATCATGGCTGCCTTTGCTCTGTCCCTCACTGAGGTATGGGGGCGGGAGGGGGGAGCTATCTCAAGAAACTGCCAACACTTTTCCGGCATTAGGAGGGGAACGGGCAAAGAAAAGAGCCCTTGACATTCCCCCTCCTGAAATTGTTTATTTGAAATAAATTGTGAATTTCTAATTTTAAATTGTGTTGTGTCCTTTTTTCCTCCTCAGTGATGCCAAATTTCTAATTGGACAATGAGAACAGGATAGTAGGCAGCAAATGTTTCAAGTACAGCTGATAAACTGTTAAAATTGTTTTGTCAACAGTTTTAATGTTTTGTTTCAATTAGAAATGGATCAGTTTTTACACTTTTGTCCTTCGTCAAAGTTCTATGGTCTACGTTGGCTTTTTACACAGGGAAAATAGATCTCTTTCAGGACCACATATTTTGGGAGACAAAATCAGGCTAGAAGTCTTGTTCTTCTATTGACCAAATGTGGTTTTTTTATACATCCACCCATTCAAATAATTGCACACCTAATCGATACTAATTTCATCAGCTACTTTTTACAGTTTCAGCTTTTGCTGCCTGTTATCCCTTGTTTTACAACCCACTCTTAAACCTTTTTTTCCTTTGGTAAACTAGATCTAAAATTATGAAGGTGAATAGGTCGACCTATTCACCATCAAAAGTATCAAGCCAATTCTATGAAAATCGGGACGTGAAGAGTAGCAGCCTTGGGTGTAGAGGGTTCTGTGAAAACTCCCTAGATATTGCGGTACTCTCATCTCTCCTCCCCACTCCTGAATACAATAAAATGCCCTTCAACTCACTGAGAGCAGTTGTTCCATACCGAGTGCTTACCTGGGAGTAAATGGTAGTGTAGCTGTTCAAATTCTCACTAAGTGATTAGGGTGCATTACATTTATAAACGAAGGCACGTTGTGTATACCTAGAAGTGCCTTACTTGGCTCCATTTACTAAAACAGAGATCTTGAGTTCTGTCCACGAGCGGAGAAGAAACCAAGGGCAGTCGCAGCAAAGCCCTAGACGGTGGTTCATGAATGGGTAGCTAGCAGCTCAACTGCTAAGGTACTGCTATCCTGGCGTTTCTGTACTTGTCCTTTGTCAACAAGCTGCTACTCCTTTTATCAACAACCCAACACGTGAGCGGAAGGAAAAATTTGGCTCACACTAAACGGCTCGAGAGTCAGAGGGGGAGGAAACTCTGGTTATGCCCTTCCTCAAATGGCTTCCCCTTTCAGTCCTATTGGTGGGAGGGAGGCGGCGGCAAAATCGTCAGGAACTGATCTGGCCTGCCTCTGCTTTTATCGAAGAGCCCGCCGCCATAATCCATAGCGGTTATTAGCCCTTGACCGAGCCCTTCTCTCCGTCTGCCCCCGCCCCGATTTTCGGGCTCTTCGTGCGTGATGACGTAACGTCACTTGCTCGTGCGTGATGCTAGTACGAGCAGATTTGGGGCCGTCCTTCTCCCACCGCCGTTCGCGGTGTGGTTGCCGTGGTAACGGTCCCTCGCTTAGGGCCTGGTAGGTCCGGGCTGGGCCAGGCCTAGAATGGCTGCTGCTGCGGGGGCAGCTGTCGCAGCGGCGACGGCGGCACAGGACGAAGACCCCCTTTTGCCTGGGCCCTCCATCGGGCGACGGGCCGTCTGCTCCCGACCCTACTTCGTCGTGCTGATGGTTTTCGCGCATCTCTACGTGCTCAACGTGCTGGGCTTGCTGCTCTTCGTGCACATCAGCTCCGATGATGGTGGAGAGCCGGAGCTGGGCAAAGAGGCCCCTGGTCCCGCCCAAGATCCGCCCGCGTTACCGTTTTCTCCAGGCAGCTCTACCCCTCATGTCCTACCTCGCCTCGAGGGCATCAAGGCAAGCAAGCAACGGGTAGAACCTACACTGGTTAGCCAGAAGGAGAGCCGCGTTGCCCTGTCCTCCCCGCCACCGCCAAAAAGGGAATGGGGGGTGGTGAGATTGAACCTGTTTTCACATAAAGCTTGTTACCTGCTTTTCTCTGAAATTTGTACTTTTATAAGTTTTCAAGGCAGGATAACACTCTTCCCCTCCTCGCGGCCATGCCAAGGGGGAACGTCCACCTCTCCTTCCGGTCAAGGCTTCTGTGCCTGAATAGCACTTCTGGGGATAGACGGCGTGACGGCACTAGCCTGCTGTTCTCCAGAAGTTTTGGGTTACAGCTCCCAGAATTCCAGGCCATTAACCGTGCAGGCTGGGGCTGATGGAAGTTGAAGTCCAAAACATCTGGAGAATGCCTGGTTGGGGAAATGTGGATTAGTAGCTAGTATTTTATTGCATTCGGTCCCTCAGCTCAGTTATAGTACATTTATATTGAATGTATAAAGCAAAATCCTTGTTTCCCTAAAAATGAGTATTGTCATTCCCTTGCGCACATAAATGAGTTTTTCTGTGTATATGCGTTAGTTTCTGTTAACTGTTTTTAGCAGGAAAATGGGAGGGGAAGGAAGAGAATCTTAAATGTGCTATGACCATAAGAGTTCTAACCCATAACCAAAAAACAAAACAAAACCGTGGTGGGTAAACACAGGAGGGGTTACAAGTGGAAAATGGCCTCCTTTGGGTCACTTTCCCTTAAAATTATGTTTTTGAAACAGAATAGTGGCACTTTAAAGGCTTCATCTGGAAACAACTTTTAGATCTCTTGGTAATTGTACTGTGTTTTCTTTCCACTCTTTTTCCTTACCAAAAAAAAAAGGGGGAAAAATGAAAGAGCCACACAGTGTTTTTCCATTGCTAGTGCTTGTAGCTATCTGTCTGGGAATATCTGCATAGGTTTGACCCTCAATAGGTCATGCTTTTCTAGCACCCCTATGCAATGATGTGAAAGTTTCTAATTTGAATATCTACCATTATGTAGATATTGCATCAGAACCTTCCCAAACCAGTTTGTAGAACACCTTACAGCTCAAGCATTACCTTAAGTATATTTGGTAATGTTCTGTGTTCATGTACCTAACAGTAAACTCAGTTCAGCTTACTTCTGAGTAGAGATATAAAATTGTAGTATTAGGGATATATTCTAAAATCCTGGCTTCCAGCACTTTTCCTTCTCCCACCTCTAGATATGGTGAGATAACTTGTTAAATGAAAATCAACCACTGCCCTTACTTCACCTCTGGACCTAGGGTGTTAGTTGCTCCTCTTTGAAGGGGAGCCTGTTATTTCTTTTAAAAAATGCCCCTTTGTGAACAATGTAACAGTGTACTGATAAGAACTTGCAATGCAATCCTATGCTTGTTTACCCAGAATTAAGTCCCGGTGTGATCAGTGTTCCTTATCCTAGATAAGTGTGCAGAAGATTGCAATGCCTTTAAAGAGGATTTGATAAACTGAATTGTCACTCTGAATTTGGCCTTTGAGAATCAATTATTTTATTGTGACAGGTTTTATCACAGACAGTGAAAAAAATGGCACATTTTAATTCAACAATAGATATAACTGTGCTAGAAGAATTATGTCATAGAAATGCTCTCAACCTTTGTGCATTAGTGGGGCAAATAATAAAGAGGTTTGTTGCATTTGTTCAAATTTACCATGTTTATGTTTGCTGCAAATTGGTAAGCCTGTATAGATCAGCTGTATTAATGTTATCTGTGTTATACTAATCCAGACTAGCACAGTAGGATTTGGTATAAACAGTACAGATGTAATTTGACTGTAAATATTCTGGGTCGAAGTAATAGTAGTCATCTTAGTAGGAAATGATTAACAAATATGCCTAAATGGACACAATTCTCAGAGAAGCTTAAAAATAGATCGATATAGGAATTAAGAGTAATGTATGTTTAGGGTTTTGGATTAGAAATTTTTCTGGGTTTAGATTAATTTACATAGGGTAATCGGCATAGGGAATTTCTCACTTTGCATTGGACAATGTACTGATACCCTAAAGCAAGGATAGACAACTTCTGATCCTTCAGAAGTTTTAGCCTTGAATGCATATTTTCACTTGCAATTGGTTGTGATGGTTAGAGCTGATGGGAGCCATAGGCAAGGTTATCTGGAGGGCCACAAGTTGCCTGCCTCTGCCCTAAAGAGTGATCTGATTTAGCATGTTTATTTGTATTTAGTTGTTTTACAGGTACACACTCTCACACAGGAAACTCCAAATCAGGGAGACTCTTGGCAAAGGCTTTAATGGTATATCAGAAGTTGCCACGCATTGTTTTAGTTTGGCATTGTTTAGTAAGATTAAAAATATTAGAACTTATCAGCACCATTTCTAGTCTGTCCAGCAAGCTTAGTTCTGAACTTATGGGTCAAGCTTTCTGACTGGGCCAGAACCACTATTCCAACCTTCAGCTGTTGTTGGATACATGTGATATAACACCATGAACTAAACCTAATTGTTTTTATTTGAAGTATAGAAGCTAAGTCATCCTTTTTACTTTCTTTTCAAGGTGGGCCATAAACAGAAAGTGGAACTGCTTCCTAATAAAATCCATTTCATGAAAACTCTCAGCTTGAAACCACTTCTTTTTGGTAAGAAATAAAGGTTACTGGAATTATATGTCTATGCCCTATTGTGAGATCCAGGTCTGTTACCAGAAGGGTGAATGCGAGGCTCAGAATATCTAACTTGGATGTTTTAGATCACTTTTGGATTCTATTGGTCATAAAAATTCTGTTCCCATTCATCCCATTCATTGTTCCTATGATTCTTGGCCACAAACAAAAATCCTTTATCCAGGCTGTTTCCCCCTTTAACCTCTTCCTGCAACCTCAGACCCATTGCATTTTTTTTATTTGTACCTTTTGAATCCTTTCTCTAGTGCATATGTGAGCAACTTGTGCACCCACATATGCACTTTGCCACAACCTTTGCCCCCTATGATACTCCTGAAATGTCCTGCTCCCACTCCCCACCACTTTGCCGATCAGCTTACAACTGGGTGTCAGGGAATGTGTTATTTTCTGGCTTCTATTAATAATAGAGGAGCAGTAGGGTTGTGGGGCATGGGAAGATGCTACAACCAATCACTGTCAGCAGTGACAAGGTTACTAGGACGAAAGTCTCTCTTGACCCCGTAATCTTCATCAAGATTAGTAGCATAAGAAAAGCTGTGCAGAGTCAGGCCAATGGTCTATGCAGTCCAGCACTCTGGATAAACTACAGGATCCCTTAAGCTGGGTGGGGTACAAGAGGTCTACCTGCCCAAGTTCCTTTGCAACTCATAATAGAGGTAGAACATAACCAGTAAGGTTAGTAGCCATGGATAGTCACCTCCTCCAGCAATTTGTCCAGTCCCCTTTTAAAGCCACCCAAACTGATCATCGCTATTTCTTGTGGATTCCATATTTTAAATGTGTATTGTGTGAAGAAGTACTTCCTTATATCTGTCTATAATCTCCCACCATTCAGCCTCATGGGATGATCCTATGTTCTAGTATTTTGGGAGAGGTAGCAAAATATCTCCCTTTCCACTTTCTCCAACTAGGCTTAATTTTAAACATCTTTGCTTTGTCTCCCTTCACTCGGCTTTTTTTAAACTAAACAATCACAGTTGCTGTTACCGTTCCTCACAGAGGAGTCCAAACCCTTCAGCATTTTAGTTGCTCTTCCCTGCACTTTTTCCAGCTCAACACTGTCTTTTTTCAGGTGCCTTGACCAGAAAACACAAAATTCTTAAAAGTGGTTGCACCAAAGATTTGTATAATGGGGCTATGATCATGGCAGTTTTATTTTCAGTTCCTTTCCTAGTTGCGTCTAATGTGGAATTTGCTTTTTTCACAGCAGCTGTGCGCTGGGTTAACATTTTCATTGAGCTGTCCACCACAATGCCAATATCCTTTTCCTGATCGGGCACTGCCAACTAAGATTTCATCAGCCTATACTTGAAGCTAGACTTTTTTGCCCAAACATGCATTACTTTATATTTGTTTACATTTCATAGAATCATAGAATAGTAGAGCTGAAAGGGACTATAGGGCCATCGGGTCCAACCCCCTGCTCAGTGCAAGACTCTAGATTAAACCATCCCTCTTAGATGGCCATCCAATTGCATCTTGAATGCCTCTACTGTGTGAGAGCCTACAGCCTCCCTAGGTAATTGGTTCTGTTATTCTACTGCTCTAACAGTCAGGAATTTTTTCCTGATACCTAGCTAGAATTTGGCTTTCTGTACTTGAGTCCATCATTGCATGTCCCACACTCTGGGATGATTGAGAAGAGATCCTGTCCTTCCTCTTTGTCACAGCCTTTCAAGTTCTTGTAGAGCGCTATTATATCTCCTCTCAGTCTTCTCAAAAATGCATTTGCCATTTTGATGCCCATTCTTGGAAAGATTCCATGTTGCTTTTTTTCCACCAAGGCTGGGCCTCCCCTGTGCGTCCCCTGTGAACCCTCTGATGCACCTACTGATTCTGTCTTAAATAACACTTTCAAGTAGTTTATCCAGAAAAGATGGTAAGCTAACTGGCCTATAATTTTCTAAATTCCCCTAAGTTCTGCTTCACTCCCTTATCTACTTCCCATCTTCTTCACAATTCCTGTTTCAGGATTATATGACTCTTCTTTTTTTACCTCTGTCTTCTGGTCCTCTGCTCATCCCTGTTTCTAGTCCTCTGTTACTATGTTTTTTCTCAAGCCAAAATTTTTATTCTCTTCTTGAAAACTGTCTACAATGCATTTTCAGCAGTTTTTCAGAATTAGAATTTGCAGAAATGGCCAGTACCAGCATGACAGTCTGACAGTAAAGTAAATTGGTAGATATAGAAATAGAAATACTAACATCAGGAGATCCTAGTGACTACAGTAATGCATCACAGCGTTTTTAAAAATGCTTGTGAATTATTAGTAAGTGTTTATTCAAAAGGAAAGCATAGTGAGGAACTAAACAGCTTTAAAGTTAAATCCTTTTAATGGAAAACATGTTTTGAAAAAACACAGACTGTTGTCATTGGTTTCTAAATACATAGTATTCATAACTTGCAAATTCCGGACTGGATTTACCTCAGACAATGTGTGTGTTTCTGTAGAACCATATAATAAAACCAGAGCAAGAGAAAGAGAAATAAGGGCAGAAGCTTGAGGGGTAGAGGAAAGAGATGTTCAAGAAAGTGGAATAGGGGGTAGAATGAGAGATAAATAATCCCTATTCCTATGAGGAGATGCGGAATTTTCTTGGTTCCTGAGCTTTCCATGGTTTCCTATCAAGAGTTTGCTAAATTCTTGATAGGACAGCATGGAAAGCTCAGCAACTAGGAAATGTTGCACGCAACTTAATAGCAAAGGATCTAAACGTTTGGCTGAAATCCTAGGAGCAGTAGCTAAAACTTGTTCTTCCTGAACAAGGCTTTTCCACAGTATTTACTTAGTGCTGTGGTTTTTCAAAGCTTCTGCCATCAGGAAGACTTTTTGCATTGGCTGTGCTCATTTGAACCTGTGCATGTCTGCAATGGAACACCAGCACATTGCAAACATTTTTGAGGAGTGTACTAGGATGCATATTCATAGAACTGCCCAGGCCTTTTGGATCTCATGCTAGACCTTTGTGAACATAAAGTCCACCATGACAGACCCAGTGTTTTCTGCAGCTATCTGTTAAGGAGGATATTAAGAGTGGTAAGGAAGCTTGTGTACTGTTACTGATCTTCTCAAAGATATCCTTCAGGGGAACCCCAGGGTGCCTCAGAACTCAGCTAAAAATCAGTGCAAACCTTTAGTGCAATGGTTTGTAAATCTTGCTGCTTGGCTATCCATTAACTTGGTAACTACTACAAAGAAGCTGTGCTATACCCAGTGGTATGCTGTAGCCTCAGCTGTGGATAAAAGCAGAGGAGTCACATTGGCATAGATTTCATGCCAGGGACTTGAGCAGTTCAGGCCCGACACTTGTAGTGTTTCCATCGTCTCACAGCTGCCTGCAAATTTCGGTTCTTTTTGTGCCAGGCATAGGCCCTGTTTACCAGAACAATTTTGTCATTCTGTACCTCTCCACTAATCACATAGACCCCTGTGTTTGTGCCTTTCATAATGTTGTGCACACAGGTAGCATCTAGGTTTAGCCACTGCTGAAGTTTGGGGTGAGTTTCAGTCTTCAGGAGGGGACCATGCTTCAGAACTTCCAGTCTGGAGTCAAGGTCAAAGTCAGCAATGGTGGAGGTCTTGTTCCTCCTGGAGATCCTAATTTTTACAGCTGGAACAAATACAAGTTAAAGAAATAAGAGCACAATTAAATAGGTAATCATTGGCTCTTTTCTTACTAATTGTTTTCCTGATGTTGCTGTGATAAGCTATAGCTTTGTTCTGGACCTAAACAAAAATGATAGTCTAGTTCAGTGAAGTTCTCAAAACAATCTTCCAAAGTGCATCTACACTTTAATTTTAGGACATTATCTGATGATACTGGTAACACAGGTGTTAGAATATCTTTATGAAATGTTGATGGATGTTGGAAGTCTTCTATCTGAATCATAAGGTACAATGGACCTTTTTAAAAATTATAAAATAGTTTTGAGTTGTCTAAGTCGTCTGTTCATGAAGACATCGCAGATATAATTGTAGAACATTTTTTGCCTGGCTCAGTGTAGTGACAGGCCTTGAGGTATGCTGTTTGAATTCATTACTACTCTTCCTTTAGTCCATGACATAACATGGCTGAAAATGACAATTAGACAACATAAATGATATTTTCCTTACAGGATTCCATTTATCTCCACTGTCCCAAATTTCCTTTGATGGAATAGCTAAGCAGTTGTGTCAGAATTAGTAAAATTCAGTTTGAATCCTATTTACTTGATCTCCATATTGAGTTTTAGCTTTTCAGAAAATTAATGTTTCTGTCCAGTTGATTGTGGGTATCAGTTTAGCTCAAAAAAGCCACAAGTTTTGAGTTCGCCCACATCTCCCACATGTGAGATTCTTCAGAGTGCAAAATTACATAAAATGCAGAATATGGAGAATAACCTGGTTTGGGTGGTGGGAAGAATTCATAACCTTTGTTCTTGGAACTGTTTCGTTTCCTTCTTACATGACTGCTGGAGGTTATAAAATACACAGCTGATAAAGTGGGCTCTAGTTCAGTCTCTCTCAACCTGATGCCCTTCAGATGTTTTACACCGATTCCCATCAGCTAGCATGGCCAATGGGTAGGATTGCTAGTATCCATCGTTCAAAACATCTGGAGGGCAGCAGGTTTGAGAAAATTGCATTAAAATTGATATCACAATAAATTGTTGCTCTTTAAGGTGCCACAGGAGACTGTTACACAATATACAACTTCCTGCAAACAGGTAAAAAATTACAACCATGCACATTTCTATTTATTTTATGCCACAATTAAGTACTCGTGCATCTTTTTTCTAATTGTTTCTATAAAATACCTTTTTTTCTTTGAAAGTCTTTTTTATTTTAAAGGGTATTATTAAGTCATCTTGCATTTTCTGCATTTTAAAATATTGCTGGATATTACAAAGTTGCACTTTTAACATGGTTGCAATTCCTTAGTAAGAAGTGGCTGGACAGTGTTTCAAAGTCAGAAGGGTTAGATAATATGAAAAAATTGTATTCTTGTGACTCAGCCATGCGCTATGGATGTGAGGGGTAATACCCCCATCATTAACATTATGCACTGAAGCATCTCCAAGGTTTTAAGAAGAGAAAAAGGAGATGGAAGACTGAGCTGAATAGATCTGAAAGATTTCAGACTATGACCCTATCTGGACAGTGAGCTAGTTATCCACGCTCTGGTAACCTCTCATTCATTCATTTATTTATTGATTTATTCAATTCATATTCCACATTAAATTAGTCTGAGGACTCTGAGCAGTCTCATTTGGATTATAGCAATGCACTATACATGGGCTACCTCTTTTCAAAGAGTCCAGAAACTTCATCTGATCCAAAACAGGGCAGCTAGACTGTTAACAGGCACTGGCTAACAAGAACACATTACTCCAGTCCTCTTCCAGCCACACTGGCTGCTGGCTGAAGTGCTAGCGCTAACATTCAAAGTCCCAAATGGCTTGAGGACAGGTTATTCAATGTATTACATCTGGATTCCAAAGTCATCTTTGGGGGTCCTTCTCCGGGAGCCCCTTCCAAAGAGTGATGTTCTGGGTTTAGCAGCAGTATAGAAATTGAAGGACGGACGGAAGGGTGATGAGGTGAGAGACTACCAGGAGGAGGGCCTTTTCAGTTTTGGCACCCTAGTTGTCAGATGGGCTCTAACTCTATATTCTTCTGTGCCGATTCAATTGCAATTGTGCTTTTGTTCTTTAAATATGGGAGAGAGCCTCGGCTATTGGGTGGTATAAAAATCAAATAAATACATGATATAAAAATATTATAAATGTGCCTTGAAAGACGTGGAATCTTACTAGAAGAGATGCTGGATATCTGTGATCAGATATCTAATTGCTTTAAATTTTAGCAACTAGAAATAGTGAGTGGAGTAATTCACATAGGACTGTGGCACCTGAGAAGTTAACTTGCCCCTCCTCACTGTCCCATTTGGAAAATGCATATGTACATAGTCTGTACATGTAACTTTTCCTTAGCAGAGGAAATACAGTATATCACAGAAGTGAGTACACCCCTCACATTTTGTAAATATTTTATTATATCTTTTCATGTGACAACCCTGAAGAGATGACACTTTGCTGCAATGTAAAGTAGTGAGTATACAGCTTGTATAACAGTGTAAATTTGCTGTCCCCTCAAAATAACTCAACACACAGCCATTAATGTCTAAACCGCTGACAACAAAAGTGAGTCCACCCCTAAGTGAAACTGTCCAAATTGGGCATTATTAACCATTTTCCCTCCCCCGTGTCATGTAACTCATTAGTGTTACAAGGTCTCAGGTGTGAATGGGGAGCAGGTATGTTAAATTTGGTGTTATCGCTCTCATCTCTCATACTGGTCACTGGAAGTTCAACATGGCACCTCATGACAAAGAACTCTCTGAGGATCTGAAAAAAAGAATTGTTGCTCTACATAAAGATGGCCTTAGGCTATACGAAGATTGCCAAGACCCTGAAACTGAGCTGCAGCACGGTGGCCAAGACCATACAGCGGTTTAACAGGACAGGTTCCACTCAGAACAGGCCTCTCCATGGTCGACCAAAGAAGTTGAGTGCACGTGCTCAGCGTCATATCCAGAGGTTGGCTTTGGGAAATAGACGTATGAGTGCTGCCAGCATTGCTGCAGAGGTTGAAGGGGTGGTGGGTCAGCCTGTCAGTGCTCAGACCATATGCTGCACACTGCATCAAATTGGTCTGCAGGGCTGCCATCCCAGAAGGAAGCCTCTTCTAAAGATGATGCACAAGAAAGCTCGCAAACAGTTTGCTGAAGACAAGCAGACTAAGGACATGGATTAGTGGAACCATGTCCTGTGGTCTGATGAGACCAAGATAAACTTATTTGGTTCAGATGGTGCCAAGCATGTGTGGTAACAACCAGGTGAGGAGTACAAAGACAAGTGTGCCTTGCCTGCAGTCAAGCGTGGTGGTGGGAGTGTCATGGTCTGGGGCTGCATGAGTGCTGCCGGCACTGGGGAGCTACAGTTCATTGAGGGAACCATGCATGCCAACCTGTACTGTGACATACTGAAGCAGAGCATGATTCCCTCCCTTCGGAGACTGGGCCGCAGGGCAGTATTCCAACATGATAACGACCCCAGACACACCTCCAAGATGACCAGTGCCTTGCTAAAGAAGCTGAGGGTAAAGGTGATGGACTGGCCAAGCATGTCTCCAGACCTTAACCCTATTGAGCCTCTGTGGGGCATCCCGAAACGGAAGGTGGAGGAGCGCAAGGTCTCTAACATCCACCAGCTCCGTGATGTTGTCATGGAGGGGAGTGGAAGAAGACTCCAGTGGCAACCTGTGAAGCTTTGGTGAACTCCATGCCCAAGAGGGTTAAGGCAGTACTGGAAAATAATGGTGGCCACACAAAATATTGACACTTTGGGCCCAATTTGGACAGTTTCACTTAGGGCTGTACTCACTTTTGTTGCCAGCAGTTTAGACATTAATGGCTGTGTGTTGACTTATTTTGAGGGGACAGCAAATTTACACTGTTATACAAGCTGTACACTCACTACTTTACATTGCAGCAAAGTGTCATCTCTTCAGGGTTGTCACATGAAAAGATATAATAAAATATTTTCAAAATGTGAGGGGTGTACTCACTTCTGTGATACACTGTTAGTTGAGTGAGGTCAACTACATTTGCCTTGGGAAGATGGCATGGGGAAAAGAGTTAAGCCCCTATCCTTTAACACCATGCTTCCCCTCAACTGGAAAACTGGTATTTGCCAAAAATTTGGAAAGTGCTGGACCTCTGATTACGACGCTTTGTCCTCTCAGTCATTACTCCTATACTAGAAAAATAAGGAAATCTACTTGTTCCTATGACTGGTAGAAGGTTATTTTTGTGGTTCAATAATTCTAAGGTAGGGAACAGAGATTTACTTACCAAAATCACTGGTGCAAAGGTTTTCCAGAATCTCCTTGGCAGAGCTAGGGTCTTCAAGTTCACAATCCCTGCAGCTAGCCTGGGGCACTGCTGAAACACATACAGAATTATAAGATTTCTTTGTGGCTAATGTAATCCATGAAACATTGGAGTATGATGATGGTCACTATTTTCCTTGAAGCACAGGAGCAAGAAGATAGTTTTTGTCCTTTGCCCAAAATAATTTTTCTGATTTCCATCTTCTTCCAAGCAAACTAACCTGGTTTCCCACATTTTAACCAAGAAGCTTCTGAAAACTGCTTCTGGCACAGAATTGCTGATCTGTGGATCTTTCTCTATTACCCTTAGTTTAGAGGGGAAAGTTTGTGTTCATCTTTAGTATGATAGCAGGAATAGCAGATATTTTTGCATCATATCTTCCATCAGCCCTAATCAGCATGACCAATGGTCAGGGAGTATGAGAGTTGCAATCCGAAACATCTGTAATGCACCAAATTGCATATGATTATCCTAGTCTGAACCATTAGAAAAAAGCAGCAGCTTGATCCCAGCCTCCCCAGAGCTACTGTCTTCTAACCCATTCTTTATTTCTTAGTCATACGTTTCTTATGCATGGAAAATATGCAGTAATCTCTCTCATTGATTAAGATGTCAGCGGTATCTGCTGTTCTACAAAAGGCCAGGGATTTTACTGCACAATCTGTTTTAAAACCCTCAGTGTAAGTTTGTTCAATTTTTGATCAGTTTTTTTTTTTCATTAAAATGTTTTTGGACCACCTTTAAGGGCAGGAGCCCTACCAAAGCAGCTTACACAATAAATTCTGTACAATAATAATGTTTAAATGCATACAATGATACAACAGCAAAATGCTGGCATTTTATAAGCTTCTGGATTCTTACAGATTGCTCTCAACTGAGCACAAGTCAAACAGAACTTTAACTAGAGAATAAATAAACACACACCTACCCACTTCTCAGTTTCCCTCCTCTGTGGATTTTTGCCAGGCTGGTAATGTTATGACTATGTGTGCATGTGGGACGAGGTGTTATATGGCAAGTAGAAACAGCAAATGCCTTACTTCTCCTGCCCGAAGTACTTCGATCAGCAATTGAGGAGATGCACAGCTCATGATCTTCAGGGAATTTGTTGCAGTTGAGGATTTCCGGCCAAGGGTAGCCATAACAGACCATGACTGGGGCACAGCTGCTCCTGATCGCTTCGCACAGGCTGCGGCAGGGATAGATGAGCCTAGATTGAGAGGGAGAGCAAGACATGCGATGGAATCCATACGTTGTCTTGTTTGTTTTTAATCCCTGTATAAATACCATTGCTGTCTGTATTAGTTAAGGCACTTACAGAACTTTCAACTTCTTTACCTAGGAAATAAAAGCATTTGTAATCACTTGTACCTAAAATGAAATACATTGATGTAAAGACGTTAATAGGGTTTGTATTTTGGTTTGTTTGTTTTAAATAAGTATGAACTCACTGAATCATTCACATGTGGTGTTGCTGGATTTCATTCATTTCATTCTCTACATCACTAGTAGAATCCGTGTGTGGAGGTGAGTGTATTCATTGCATGAAGTCTCCTCGATGAAGTCTAGTGTGGGGCAGTACTGAATCGGATTTGTTCCCACCATCAAATTGCAGTTTAGTGCCTCACATGTTTCTGCTATAGTAAATGGCAGCCATTCATTTCTGTGGGTTTCATTTTCTTCTCTCTCATGTCCCAGACTGCAATCTAGTGACTTTGTCAAAGAGCTCTGTAAATCAAATCAGTTCCATTCTGTATACTGTTTCTTGGTTATGCTAGAATAACAGTATCCAGAAATGGTATGCATAGCAGCCTTCTCCAACCTGGTGCCCTCGAGATACTCTGGACGACAATTCTCAACATCCCAGAGTGTTGGCTGTGCTGGCTGAGGCAGATGGCATTTGAAGCCTAAAACATCTGGGGGCACCAGGTTGGGGAAGGCAGCATAAAGAATAGATGACAGATACTAGCACAGGGGTATTAATTTAAGTAACAGAGGGTAGATATTCAAAGTAGTTGGCCTTCACTGGACCTCAGCTAATCTGATTGAAGGAATTTAAAGAACGCTAGAGGCCCATTCAGAGTCCGCATCTTTGAACGAGATGGAAAATGAAGCAAAAACCAAGGTACACAGAAAACATTGGTTTAGCTTGTTGGTTGTAACCTCAGATAGGAAATTTTCCCAACTCTACCTGAAATTCTCTGTCTTGAAAGACAATGGCTTAAATATATTTAGGGCTTTTTATTCTGTTTGAAAACTACAAAGAGTCTTGTGGCACCTTAAAAGCTAGCAAATTTATTGTGACATATGCTTTTTGTGGGCACTTTCAGATGCATGAAGTGTTAAACTCAACTTGGCAGATCCATATACACAAGCCCAGGGTTAGAGAGGCATGGTGGGGAAATGTAACCTTTGTCAACAGAAGGAACTGGAATGTAAAATGTACAAAATATTAATTGCAATAGTGAGCTGATTAACAGATGTAGTGAGCCTAATTGTGTTTGTGCCAAATAGAGATATCAGAAAAAGCCACTATGGTAAGTACATTAGGATTGGACAGTGAAGAAACATGACAGGAGGAAACATGTTTAAAACATAGTGCTAGAGGAGAACTTTGTGAATACCTTGAATACCTGGAAAAATGCACATGTGCATCTTAGATAAAACAAAGCCAGAACTTTCCTTAGAAACAAAAAGTACAAAATTGAGGCTGTCATTGAGGCTTGGGGCACCTCAGTAGAAGGCAAAACTCCCTGGAGAAGACAAGGGTGCTAGGGAGAAATGAGCAGAGGAGGAAAAAGGAGACCATGTATGAGATGGATTCACTCAAAGGGAATCCACAGCCCTGGATTTACAAAAGCTGAGCAAGTCTGTTACAGATGGCATTTTGGAGAGCTTTCATTCATAAGGCCACCATGAGTCGGAAATGACTTGATGGCATATAAGAACGAAACAAAAATTGGATTTCTGTAAATCTAGCCCATGGATTTCTCAGCATATTGACCCTTCCATATCTTGTAGACTGATTTTTTTTAATTTTCTGGAATTATACACAAATGTAGTCATGTAGCAATACAAAAACTAATAAAAACATCAACCAAAATGTGCATTTTCCTATGTAAGAAGTGTGAAGATACAATTTTTTTGTGGGGGGGTGGATTCCCTCATAAGTGAATTTTGAAAAATGCACATTTTTGCAAGTCTGCATTTTCCAACATGAACAAAGGTTTGAGAAATCGAAAAAATGCTGTTCTGACAGAATGAAAGACACCTAGTAATAGAAAAAATATAGGTGGAAGAGATGTAAATAAATGCATTTAGTAAAATGCATGCCTAATCCATGCCAAAGAATGCAAACATGGAAGAGAAATTAAGCATACAATGTAGCCAATATTAGTTTTAGTTTTTCATAAAAGATTGATTTAAGCCAAGGTGGATATAGGTCCACATATATGAAAGTCGCTACAAAGCATATAAAGGAGATACATTCAGAAGTGCCTGCAACACAGAAATAGAGGCACGATGTCCCTGCCTTTTTTCTGGAGGGAGGCAATTGGTGGCAGAAATATAAAGCTTTATCTGACAGTATATTGCGTAAAGTGCCCTTACCTCTCCAGGCAGATTGGGGCAAAGAGGGAGCAGAGGAAGATCCTGGCATCTGGATGGCATTCTCTGGCTAACAAGGGCAGCCAGCTGGTAGACTGTTGGATTGCTTCAGCCATGGTTTCATGGTCCAGCAGGTTGGGAAGTCTCATTTCAGTGTACCCAATGTCATAACACAAAGCCATGTTTCTTGGAATTGAAGTGCATATGGAAGAGGTTCTTCTGTAGCTTCCCAAAACTCCGGGGAAGTCCCAGATAAGCAGAGAACCCAAAAGCACTACTAGCAGCTGCTGCTGCTGCAAGTGAGGCATATTTTGATGATGGCGATAGGCTGCTCTCATTGGCCCTCTGGTCATGGCCCTCCCTAGCAAAATATGACAGATTAAACTCTGCCTTCCCAATCTGAACTGAATTCTTGTTTGCTGGGGTTCATTTATTATAGCAGAGAGGACACCTTTGTATGACTGCATTCTCATTAAGCTTGAGTGCCACCCTTTTTCTTTGCCAGTGCCCACCCCCCACAATTGTCTGAATTTTGACAGAGGTTTTGGCGTAGACTAGCAGGTGTTGAAATGAGGGCAATCCAGTCAGCTTGAGTGGTTCCCCTCCTCTCCAATATCTTGGAGTTCTGATTGAATCATTATGTGAGGCTGGTTCAGCCCACCCCCTTTGCCAGCCCAAGGCTTAATCATTATTTTATAAACATCACTGTTTTCTTCCCTCTTTTGTTTTGTAGCAAAGCAATCACAAGTTAATTAAGGTTGCATTTCTTTGGCTCTTACCATTGTTAAAGAGGCAAGGGGGTGTGTCAGTGCTGTGTTTTGATTGTTAACTAATTTGGAGAGATTTGCCCAACTTTGGATAGGCTCCTTATAACCTTGTAGGTTGTTGTTTACACACAGGATGTAATTGGCAAACTTTTTATCTTGTAACCATACCACAGGAAATTAATTGTGGATAATGGTGGATGTAATGAGCTCCTGTGCTATGCAGGCTCTACTCTCTGATTTTCAAAAACCTTTCTTGTCATCTCACTGTAGGTCTTGTAACCCCTTGGGGACATTACTTGTTGTTGCTGGCTTGTTGTTAATTTGTGTCTTATGCCATCACTGGGGGTAGCTGAGGAGAAGGCTCTTCTAAGAGGATTAAGCCCTCTTTGTATTGAAATACATCATTCTTTACTAGGGGCTTAGGTGGCTGTAGTCAGTTGTGCTCTGGTGATAGCTTCTCAATTGTCTTAGCTCTTGGCAAGTACAAATAAATAAGGGATTTTTTTTAATGAAGATGTGTAAGTATTTAAATTTACATCTAATTCTTTTATTTATTTACTGCGTTTGTATACTATTCACAGCTACCAAAATTCTCAGAATGGTTTACAACAAAACATATAACAATATAACAGTACAACAATTTAAAATACAGTTATGCAACAAATAATCACAACAATAAATAACAATAAGATAGAATGAATAAAAAATAAAATCCATCCACAGAGGCCCTTCTGCCTTTCCATAGTGTGCTCTTACCGAAATTAAATGAAATCAAACTAAATAAACAACAAATAGCAATAAATAAATAAAAACAATAAAAATAATGTAATTTTAATTTACAATTTATGATTACTCTGCCATATCCATGAGACAGAAGGATAAAAATGTAATAAAATGATAGCAATTAAAATTAACAATTAAAATATAGGGAGAATAAAAAGGTTTCTCACTAATTAATTCTTCAGATGTGGCCAGTGTGGAGTATATGATGAAGGGCTGGATTTAGAGTACTACCAAGGAATTTTGGACAGGCCCCAAGCCCCAGATGTTCAGCTGCAGTATAATGAGCAAGATTTGGTCTCATTTTAATTTATATCTGCATATTGCCCAGGTATAGAAATAAAATTAATTCATTAAACAATAGCTCATTTGGACATAAGGTAGTGACTTTATTAATATGATTGTCTCATCCTGAGGCCGGCTGAAACCAGCTCATCCTAGAACAGGGTAAGGGGCTTCTTGACTGCCATTACATACCAAAACCACACAACCCTCTGGCAAAGTGTTATTTATTTAAAACTTTTTTAGACCATCACTTACCATAGTCTTGGGATGGTTTAACAGTGAGACAAAAATAAAATAAAGCACAGTAGAACAACATCTGGGTTAGAGAGAAGATAAAGCAGTGGAAGACGTATATAGTTGCCAACCAGTCCATCTAACGGGGCACTTGTGACTCAGCAGTGATGCAACAGACTGCAGAATAGCAGGGCCGGTGTTCCTCAGGGCTTCAGCTCTAGAACAGGAACACTCCTACCTGTTGTGTGATTGAGTAACATGGAACTTGAAAGGAACCTATTGGAACAGGTAGGAGCATCCTGGTTGCGCTGGTCAGGGAGTGGTGCTTCTTTGCAGACAACATTGAGAAGAGTAGGGGGTAGATCCTGTACCTATGGCAGGAGCAGCAATTTGAAGCAGTTGGAACCAATAGTCCCTGGACAGGGCTGCACCAAATGAGTTTGTGAGGCTGTAAGAGAGCAGAGTGAGCGGTGCTACCCAAGCTCTTAGCCAGTCCTGCTATTTCATCCTTCACCTTCCTCGCGTATAGTGAGAACTAGAGACTGCAGTTGATGTGTACCCTTCCCCCTAGAGGCTGTAGCAATGATAGACCTTTCTTTCTCCGTGACAGAGATTAACTAATGAGAACACCATGAATGAGTATGGAGTAAATCAGAGATAACTTATAGAGGGGTGCAAAAGTAGGTTTACAGTTTTTATTATGAAAAAACAATAGCTTTATTAAATCACAATAAGGATGACATACAAATTGCAATTAAGTACAGTCTCTTAAGTGCTCAGATTGCTGGCCTTCAGCATTTACACATTCCTGTAGTCTAGTGGGGTGAGGAACTTTGTATAACTCTTACAACTGGATACTTACTTTTGCGCGCGCGCACCCCGTATAATGGGCTGGCTTAGACCCTGTTCTGGGTTTCATAGCAACGGTTTATAAAGCTGGGAGTGTGTTAGAGCTAGGCATTTTTTCCCTCCACTTTTCATTTCCTGTTTCCATCACATGCTGGTTTTGTTGCAAACCTCCTGGATTTTGTTACATCAAAGTTTCCTTTTATATCCTGAGGAACTCTGGCTTAATGTCAGTTATAAAGCCATGAAAATAATGCAGGGTTATATCCTGGGTTTTGTTTTTCTGTTCGTTCACCAATATTAAACTAGAGTTGCTAGTTAGAACATAAGGAAATACCCTGGCTGAACATGCACTCAATCTTTACATTGAAGGTGGCACATGATGAGACCAAGGAGAGGAGGAATGTTTGTCTCCTACACTTGTTCTGTTTTGGAACCAATATATGAACACTGTGGAACCAAGGAATTTTGTTTTGCGCTCTTGGTGTTCCGCTAATAGTAGAAAGGTTCACTTTTTCCCCTCTTTCTCCCTTGGTAGAAATTCCAGACTTCCTAAATGAGGATGAATGTAAGTTAATTATTCATTTGGCTCAGCTGAAAGGGCTGCAGAAAAGCCAGATTCTGCCCACAGAAGACTATGAGGAAGCAATGGAAATGATAGACATCAGCCAGATGGATATCTTTAATCTTCTAGACCACAACCAGGATGGACAACTGCAGCTCAAGGAGGTATTCAGAGGGGAATAATTAACGTCATTCTGTTATAACACTAAGTTGTAGTTTAGTGCTGTGGCAACAATCTAGAGGGAGCCTTTCGTTTGGTTATTCTTCCTTCCTCTTCCATTGCTGTTGCAAGGAGGAGATCAAGAGTGTTTGCTTCCTTTTTAAACTAGCCATGGTTTGTTCTTAAGTTTGAAACCAGATGAACTGCAGTTAGCTTTGACTATTGTTTTTCTGAACAAGCTAAATTCAGACTGGTTTATCATCCTGGTTTGTTGGGTTTTTCCCAAGGTTAAAATTAAAATTATTAAAATTAGCCTCAGCCTTATTAACTAGTTCCCAGTTTAGAAACAGATACCATGGCTATTTGAAAGCAGAAGTTTGTATTCCTGCCTCATGGTCATGCTGGAGGAGAATAAGGGAGAGGGGAGGAAGTGTGCAAGCCTGAAGTTCTCCCAGGTTTCCTCCTGATTTAGGATTGCATCCATATGAGGCCACACTATAAACAGTGAACATCTTTGTGTGTGGGATGGTAAATTCCTTTTGTCTCTATGCATAGCTTTCCTGGCACAATTCCTCTTATGAGCTGATTGCCAATATCTCGGAGGCCAAAAAGCACAGATAACTGAAGAAGTTTCTTCTGTCTCAGTATTGTTGGCTTGTTGTAATGTTGTTGTTCCCTTAGTCACAACCATAATAAAAAATTGCCTGCCTAAGAGTGCTTCAACCTAAGACAGAGATTGTAATGTTGGCCAGTCAATTTCTACACCTTTGTGTTTCATTATCTGAGCTTAGGTTGAGGTAAACTTTGATAATTTACTCTTGATATGAAGAATTAGGTGTGGCCTTATTGGACCCTGCATACATCAGTATAATACTTTTTGCCTCTTTATACAACTTTGCTTAAACTCATGTGTGCTGCAAAATCCCCAAAGGGCTGATGTATGCACATCACCCTGTTTCATCAGTAGATGAATTTCCACTGAACACTAGAACTAACTTTCATTGCAAAAGATTTCCAGATGTGATATGAACATTCTTTCTTTCATGTTTATCTGTGGTTACTGCTCACAGTTATGTAATACTTGATGTAGTCATTAAGATATGAAGATATGTATGCAAACTCTTAGGATGAATGTAAGCATGTGTAAGTTTTCCATTATTGTCTTTGGAAGATGACAGAATAACAATGGCAGAATAAATTTAAGAGACAAGATCTGGGAGAAAAGTGTTTATCTGAATGATTTTGGTAAAATGAGTTTTTTCCTGTGCTTGAGTTTCTCCAAGATGCAGCATTTGTACGTAACTGCACATTAGAGTCAATGGTACATTCTAGACAATGGTTACCCAGAAGCTAATATGCTTGGAATTTCAGGTGCTGACACATACCCGTCTAGGAAATGGTAGGTGGATGACACCTGAGAGCATCCGAGAGATGTATGCTGCAGTGAAAGCAGACCCAGATGGCAACGGTGAGGCAGAGTTAATGTTCTCTTCTAAAATACTTTGTACCATTGTTCCCCAAGCAGGTCTAACCCTAATGAAATCCAGGAAGAGGAAAGATCCTCAGCTGAATGCAGCATCATGACAGTCTGTAAGAGACTGCAAAGCTGATATGTTCCATGTTTTAAACAAACCAAAAAAGTGCTTTGCCAAGACTTCATCAAAGCAGAAGCTGAAACAATAAGAATCAGAGGAACTACTTCCAAGTCCTTCCACCGACACATACAAAATCTGGTTTTCTCTCTATATTGTAATATAGAGACTGAATTATTCTTCATTTTGTATAGCCTAGTTGTCTATCATCCAGTCCATCTGATTGAAGAAAACATTCCACAGGAAATGCTTTAAATACAGTGGTGCCTCATAGTTCAAATGACTCTAACTTCGAACAATTCAGAGTTTGAACATTAGAGTTGAAGATTTTAAAAATTGCTCTGTAGTTCGAATGATGCTTCTAAGTTCCAACTGCAAGTGAAGTGAAAAAGATGCGGTCACAGTAAAAACACTGTCAGTTGTGCGCCCAAGTCAAAAAAAAAGCCTCTATACTCTGAATTGATTCCTCTTGTCTTGGACATTGAGGTAGCCATGACAGGATAAGCGTGTTCAAAGTGAGGGGAAGTATTTTGAGGGGGTTTAATGGCAATCTGTCTTTTACTGTAATATATTTTTATTTAAACATTCACCATATTTTTTAATCATACCTCATATATAACCTTGAACTTAATTCATTTCAGGAGGCCATATTTGCTGTTTAAGTTTACTGAAATGGGTATTCTTTAGGGTCTGGGAACAGATTAATTCACCTTCCATCTTTTCTAATGGGGAAAATTGATTCGGATTTTGAATGATTCAGAGCTCAAACAGCCTCCTGAAACGAATTAAGTTCAAAGTGCAAGGCACCACTTATACCAGAAAGATTTGGGTGAGATTACTGTTGTTGATTGGTAGCCTATTTATTGGGAAGAAGGTTTTTTTTTTTTTAATGATCACTGAGTATCGATTATCCTGATGAGAACTGCCCATCTTGGGATGGGACACATGGAAGATAAGTAGTAAGGAACTTGGAGCAGGAACCTTAACAGACAAGCAATGAGAAAACAAAATACTACAGAATACTAAATACTTCTTAGATTATGAGCATTTCAGAATAAGAGGTTCATTTGACCTGAGAATGAAAACACATGTACTTGATTACTTCCACAAATACCTTCCTGAAAAATGAAACTGTTTTGTTTTTTACACATCTTCAAGTGGAGGCTTAACTACAACCAAGATCCTGCTTCTTTCCCTTCTACCTACAACTGATCTACCTCAGAAATAGAGGGTAATTTCAGTAGCGCTTCACCAACTGACTGTAAAAAAATACAATCTTATGGGATGAGAAGTGTTCTCAGAGTTGTGCTGGGAAGTTGTGTGCTTCGTAACAACATGCATATCATGTATTCACCAAAGTATATATTTCTTTTGCTTCAATAGTAAGGTGCTGTTTCCGTTTCTCATTCTTTTCTTACACTACGGTCCATCCCGGCCCACTTGTGTTGATACTTGTTCTAAGCCTATTAAGTAGAAGAGTCTCCATTAGTATAAAGGTGACTGAATTATGTGACATACCAAGGTCTTCTATTTAGCCAGAGATGCTTTTTCTGTCTGCTGCTTGCTGTGCTGTGGCTTTTGTTACCTGATGGAGAGTTGGACTCCAAGGCAGCTTTCTCAGGCTGATTTTCTCTACCTCTGCATTTCATACTAGAGGCTACAAAGGTTCCAGGAGGACTCAAGTGACCCTCTAGCCTCCCCAGACCTCCCGCTGGCCCGGATGTACACAGTGACCTTTCCTGCTCTAATTAGAATGCATTCAGTTGAACGCCTCTCTATTTCCTAATCAAATTAAGCAGGCAGAGTGTGTGCACTTGCTGCCAGCGTGCCTGATGATCTGCACAGCCTTACAGAGGTTGCTTTGGAGTGGGAAACAGAGTTTTGGTGAATGGAGAATGGGGCTTCAAATCCGGTGGGTAAGCCCATGTCCTGGTGCCCTTTCAGCTTGTGACGTCTTTGGCAGACGCAAGGAAGGATGCACAGTTTGAGGCATTTTCAGCACTGTAAACATCAGTGAACTAAAGAACTTCAATTAAGGTCTCATTGCCCTGTCTGGTGGATCCAGGGTGGCCTCGCTTCCCCAGCGCTGCTGCTCCTTTTGTTAGCAGCATGCCAGCAAGAGAGCCAAGGGCCATAACCTGGATGTGGCACTAGATCATGGGAGGCTGAAGTTGTTACAGGAATCATGGGATGAAAAAAGGATGCATGCACTGGAAATAAGTGATGACCATCGTATCCTAAGTTGACCTCTCTCACAGACTGTTCCTTTCCTCTTTGCTTTTCAGTTAACTAGGGCTGGTGTTCTGCAGAGCGTGCCTACATGGCATTTTATGCTTGCTTTTACAAGTACTTTAGCTTTCCTGTGAGGAGCAGTTTGAATGAAAAATGTGCAAAGGTCTGCTAGACCTCAGTATTCATAGGCTGTGTTGCTGTGTCCACCATTGTCCTAGTGATCCTGTGCTACTTTTGGCCCACTTCTTAGCCACATTTTTTTGAATTGCCTGTCTTTCCAGTTTTAAAATATATGGTTTAGAGTTAGCACAGGTGAACACTGGAGCAGGTAAGCATCCTGGGTTCTTCAGATGTTTCTCATGTCACCGGTGTGAGTCAGTTGAGATACTTTAACTGTGTCTTACAGAGATGGGATGAGTTAATAGGTACCATATGGGTTTTAGCACCACCATAATTTCAGGAGAGTCATAATGTAAATCTTAACTGTGCTACTGCTATTCAGCAGGTTTTGGCTCACCAAGACTGCAATTGTGATTCACTGAACATGAGGAGACTGACAAGCTGTAGGTGTCCACGGTTTCATTTAAAAGGAAACTATTCTCCTTCACGGTCTCTCTATAATTATGGAAGGGCCTATGTAAACTGTAGTTCAGAACCTTCTAGGCCCTAGAATCTAGGGTTTTAAGTAGGGAACAGGGTCCTTTATTCCCTCCCCTTCATTAGCAGAGAGCCACAGCTTTGTTTAATAGATGGAGCAAGAGCCTTTCCATTCACATCATCTCGCTACTGTGCTAACAGCAGGAGCAGGAGCTTTGCCTCTGGTGTTGTTTGCCTCAAGCTCTTGAATGCTGTTTTACAGCTCTCCTCTTCGAATGCCTTCCTTTCTTGCTACAGCACCTGCTTTATTGTAGTTGGAAGTAGTTGCTTCATTAAGACAAACTAGAGGCTTGCTAGTCTGTTTAAACCAATTCTTATATGACAAATTCTTGAAGTAACATGAAGCTACCAAAAGCCTGTGTTTTTTCCTCTTGGTTTTGCTTAGGTGTGCTGAGCTTGGAAGAGTTTAAGCAACTGAACATCCGGGACTTCCACAAATATATGGGAAGCCAAAAAGTGAAGATGAGTGACCTGGTGCGGAACAGCCAGCACACGTGGCTATATCAAGGTGAAGGGGCACATCAAGTCATGCGCTCCATACAGCAAAGGTAACTACTCTTCTCGGTAATACTCATGCTGCTGCTCAATTTTATTATCTGCTAAAAGTTTCTCAACTGTTGAAGTTTTTTAGATGATCACTCACTTGTTTTTAACCACTCAGAGAGCTTTTGGTATTGGGCGGCATAAATATGCAGTGCAATGCAATGAATAGCAATTAAAAGTAAATATTTACACATTGCTATTTTGAAGTAATATCATTGTGTCCAATGTTAATCTTCTTAGTGTAGATCCATTGAAATGAATAGGACTTAAGAGCTTCATGAATAGCCTGGACTGACAGAAAGATAAATAAATCCTAGAGCAAATCAAGGCAGAACTTTCTCTGAAAGTAAAAATTACAAAACTGAAGCTGTCCTACTTTGAGTACATAATGGGAAGGCAAGACAATAATGCTAGGGAAAGTTGAATGCAGAAGAAGAAGAGGAAGATGGAATAAGAGCTGGACCAGTTCCATAAAAGAAACAAAAACTTTGAGTTTACAAGAGCTGAGCAGGGCTGTCAAGGACAGCACATTTTGGAAGGTGTTCATTTTTTTAGGATCTCCATAAATTGGAGAAGACTTGACAGCATGTAACAACCACCTTAAATTTCATTTATTTCAATACTTTGAGGAAGACTAATATTTGCTAGAAGCCATTGGACTGCAGTGTGCGGGGATTGGGTTTTAAGCCTGTTCTTCTGTACTGCATCCTGACAATCATAATCCCCATTCCCCACCTCCTGCCCCAAAGCTGGCATTTTTCCCAAAAGGAAAGTGGCCATTGGCAATGTAGGAATTCTTTCTTTAGCAAACTGACAGCACAGTCATAATTACATTTACTCAACAGTAATACCTGCTGAGTTCAGTGACACTTATTCCCTAGCCAACTCAACTCAACTCTGTTTTCCCCCTTTTTAAACTTTAGAGCATAGGTGGGCAGATTTCCATACGTTATGAACTTCCAGCTTCCAGCACTCTTAACCATTGGCCACGTTGCAGAGATTTCTGGACACTGAAGTCTAAAACATATGGAGCTCTGCCTTCTGACAACCCCTGCTTTAAATGATGATAAGAGTAGCTACATCAGCTCTCCTTCATAAGGTTAGATTCTCTGCTTCTTTTGTGTTTTAGGAATGGAGGAACATGAGAGGAAAAGACAATTTCAACGTGCAGGTGATCAAGGCTAACATTGCTGGTAGATTTTTTTAAAAAATCCTTAGTTCAGGCTTCACATTTTGCAAATGAATAATGAAAAGCAATATGCACATGCTATATTTCTCTTAATTTGGCTATCCAAACAGAAGAGAACAAATAGTGATAAATTCTCAATCACAGTTACCAGATGACTGCTATAATTATAAGCTGGCTACTATCTTGCTCTTGCCTGGGACAATCCCTCCATTGCGATCAAGGTGGGAGGGGACGTGAGCTGCAAACTGGGAGTATTTGTAGAAGAATATGGAGTTCAACAGTTCTTGGGGTTGCCTCTGCTTCTTTCTCCAGGGTGATTCACTTAACCCGTTTGCCCCCAGAGATTGTGGAGCACAGTGAACCCTTGCAGGTGGTACGCTATGACCAGGGAGGGCACTACCATGCCCACATGGACAGTGGGCCAGTGTTTCCTGAGACCGCGTGTAGCCATACCAAACTGATCGCCAACGAAAGTGCTCCATTTGAGACTTCGTGTCGGTGAGTCATTTCTTGCTGTTCCATTTTCCACCTTGAATGTATTAGGGAAGTAGACTTCCATATGCAAAGGCTCACTTAATTGTATGGAGGTCAAAGATCACAATATGTATTTCTTTTTCTGATGGGGGAATTCTGAGGAGAATATCTCTGGTGTTTCTTTGTCAAACCAAATAAGGAGCAATGACCAGATAGGAAAAAACAGCAGTGTCTCCATTTCAGCTATCAGTTAAATAGCCATGAAGCCAAGGTTGATGGACTTGCTTATTTTTAGACTTACCTCAAGAAACTGTTGCCCTGAACGCGCCCCTTAGGGTGCGACCCTGTGCATGCTGAGACAGAAATAAGCCTTACAGCTCCTAGCATTCCCCAGCAGCCAGGCTGACCAGGGCACACTTGGAACTGGGTGAGTACTTTCTGCCTAAGCACAAGGAAGCCCTTGGCATCCGATTGTGTTGTGAAACGAGAGCATGAAAGGAAACTGCCAAGGCCTCTGTAAAGGGAAGTACTACATAGTTGCAGAGCGTCACAGCTTAACCTAGAGCAGTTGCCCCATCTTTTACAGCTACGTGACAGTGCTCTTCTACCTGAATAATGTGACAGGTGGTGGGGAGACCACTTTTCCTATTGCTGACAACAGGACTTACGAAGAGTTGGTAAGGGATCTTTTTGCATGTTTCCCCATTTTTGTTTCTTAAACCCCTCTTGTACTACAGTGTCTTGCAGAAGTATTCACCCACACTTGGCACTTCTGCATTTTGTTGTGTGAAAACCTGGAATTGAATCGACATTATCACTTCATGTACACAAGATACTCAACACTGTGAAGGTGCCAAATATTTTTTACTGTGGCTCAAATGTTAAGCAAACAAAAAGAAACTAGCTCTTGTTGGTTGCCTAAGCATTCACCTCCCTAAGTCAGTGCTTCATAGAAGTACCTTTGGCAACGCTGACAGCTTTGACTTACCTTAGCTAAATCTCTGTCGGCTTTGCACATCTAGGTTCTGCAGTGCTTGCCCATTCTTCTTGGCAGAACTGTTCCAGCAGAACTGTCAGGCTGGATGGGATCACTGATAAACAGTAACTTTCAGTTTTTGTCACAGGTTCTCAGTCAGATTAAGATTTGGACTTTGACTCTGCCATTCTGAAACTTTTAGGTTCTTATTTTGAAACCACTTCAGGATTATTTTGACTTCATGTTTAGGGTTGTCGCCTGCTGGAAGGTGAACGTTCATCCTAGGTCCCTAACAAACTGAGGCAGATTTCCCTCAAGAATTGCCCTGTATTTGGTTCCATCCATCTTGCCCTTAATCCTGACCAGTTTCCCAGTCCCTGCTGCAAAAACACATTCCCAAAACACAATGCTGCCACTCCTGTGCTTCGCTGTGGAGATGGTGCTCTCAGCACAATAAGCACTGTTGGCTTTGTGCCACGCATTTTGTAGCAAAGCCAAAAAGTTCAGTTTTGATCTCCTCAGACCAGAGAATCTTTTCCATTTGTTCTCTCTCTCACATTCCTTTTTGCAAACTCCAAACAGGCTTTGAAATGGATTTGTTTCAGCAATGGTTTTTCCTCTCCTCTTTTCCTTTAAGTCCAGCTTTTTGCAACACCTCCATAATAATTGTTTCTTGGGTGGCTTTCTTCATATCAGCCGGGGCTTTCTCCAGTTTCGCCAGAGTTACTGCCAGCCTCTTGGTTGCCTTACTAATGTCCTCCTTATCTGGTCACTGAGTTTTGGTGGACAGCCTCCTTTAAGCAGGGTTGTAGTTGAGCCATATTCTTGCCCTTTTGTAATAATGGATTTAACAGCGCTTCAAGGACTGTTCATAATTTAGGATATTTTTATAGCCTAACCCGGATTGGTGCTTCTGCACAACCTTATCTCAGAGCTGTTTTAAGAACTCCTTGGTCTTCATGATGCCTTTTGTTTAGCTGTGCTCTGCAACAAACCCTGGGCCTTTCAGAAGCAGGCACATTTATTCGGAGATCCTGAGTCACTGGAATTGCACATAGATACACTCCATTCAAGTACTTCTAGTGTGGGACTTCTGAAGACAATGCTGGGTTACACCAGAGCTGCTTTAGGCATGTCACAGGTAAGAGGGTGAACACTTAGGCAACCAAGAGGTTTTTGTTTAGTTAACTTTTGTGGCATAATAATATTTTTGAACCTCATAGTGTTCATTATTTTGTATACATCAGGCTATAACAAAGTCAGTTAAATCTTACTTCAGTTCAAGGTTGTAACATAACAAAATGTAGAAATGTCAAATGTGCTGCAAGGCACTGCATAACTTGGTGGTAAGTTGTGACTCAGAATACCATGGGCTTAAATTTTGAAAGGGACTGGAACAGAAAATTGTAAAACCTTTAAAAAGGACTGTCACCCAATCAGACAAATCTTGTATTGTTCCTTCAGATTTGCTGGGATTTACTTCTATGTTAATATGCATAGCGTTGCACTGTAAATCAGTTGATTAAATTTTACAGATGGATAAAACCAAAAAGCAAGAAGATACACATACCTATTGTAGAAGTAGTGGTGTTCTTCTCTATTATCTGCAATTTTATGTATACTTACATTAAATTGGAAAGCAGATATTTTAAAGTATTTTAATCAGGGGTGCTTTTTAGTTAATTAAATACTTAATTACTTAACTGATTAAACATTGCAAAAGTGCTTTAAAATGTTAGGCTATATTGAATCTGATAGGGGGAATCCAAAAGTTTTTTCTAAATAGTCCATGGTGCAATAAAAATGCTATACTAATTTGTCATGGGGAGATTCAGTAACACTACTACTACTGTTGTAGCCCTTTAAAAACTGGTGAATACCAGCTATGATATCCCCTTTTGGATCAGTAGTCTTACCATTTTGTGCTTTTTCATATTTTAAACTTTTAAGGCACTGTTCTTTTAAGGCCCAAATGTATATCTTCTGATACATTATTTTAGTATAGACAGATTTATTTCCATAAAACTTCCCTCAAGATATATAGTGCCTCAGCTTAAGTATGCAAAGCATCCCATCAACTGATAAGAGTCCTCATCTAGATATTTTCATTTATTATACTTTTCATCCTACCTTTCTTTGAATTAAAATCAAGGTGGTGTGATAAATGCAGAGCTATTTCATTGAACAATCTAGGAAAAGAGGGATAAGAGCAATGGTAGTGGAGGTGGATCTGTGCTTTTAACATTTCCTTTTTTCCCTGCAGTGCACCAGAATAAACATATCCCCTTTTCCTTCTAGTCTCTAATCCAGAATGACGTTGACCTACGTGACACACGTAAACACTGTGATAAGGGAAACCTGCGTGTCAAACCCCTGCAAGGCACTGCTGTCTTGTGGTACAATTACCTGTCAGATGGAGAAGGTAATATGTTATCTCAGGGCAAGAGTCTACCAGGAATATCTGATATCGCTCCTTGGCTGACAATTTGAAAAACCTAGAGAGTTGGTTGTAGTAGCGTGAGACTTCACTTCTTTCAGGAAAGTTTCATGGTTTCTTGTCTCCTTGCAGGTTGGGTTGGGGAGCTAGATGAATATTCCTTGCATGGCGGTTGCTTGGTCACTGAAGGAACCAAATGGATTGCCAACAACTGGATCAACGTTGATCCCAACAAGAGGCGACAGCTCCAGTTCCAAGAGGAGATGGCTCGATACACAAACGGTGAGGATGAAGACCAAAGCGAGTGGACCGTGGACAAATCCTACAGCCACGTACATGTAGAACTGTAGAGCTTTGAGGTGTCTCTGCAGTGGCTCGGGAGAAAACGTTTTTTTGCACTTGCCAGTTTCAGGCCTGTAACCACCCACCTTTCCCCATATAGAGAACACTAGCCATGTTCCAGTCTTGCGTTGCTGACTAGGCTAGAGGAAGCAAAGACTGCATGGTGCATGGTCCCTACAGCAAGGGAAAAGGCAGGGGCTGGCTGTGTAGGCTATGACTCACACTTGCATACTTCTTGAATGGCTAGCTTTGCTGCAAGAAGTTCTGGATCTCTCTGAGCGAGCCCTTCCGATAGCCTTACCTCTTCCTCATTCTGAACCATTTGCTGTACTGGAATGCTGTTCCTCCTCCTCTTCTCTCCCTGGCATTGTCGCTGCATTCCTGGCACCAGCGGTTCTTTTCTGCCCCAAGATCTCCACTCTCTGTGAGCAAGTAAGCTTGGGTCACATGAAAAGTCGGCAATGTGGAGCCCCCAGTGGCAGCTGGGTCCCACACCAGTAATTCCAGGCGGTGTTCTGCTGCTCATTCTAGGTGGAGTGCAAGTGTTGCTCTTTGCTCCTGCAGGCCAGGCCAGCAGGTCGCCATTTTGCAATGCACTCTTGTTTATGTGTACTCAGATGTAAGCCTCACTGAGTTCAGTGGGGCTTATTCCCAGGTAAGTTTGTAGAGAGTTGCAAGCTTGTGTACATAGTCTTATAAGTGGGGTCTTGAGCAGCTGTGTGTTAAGGAAGATGCAGGGGCTGCAGGTACTGGAATCATTCCAGGTGATTTCTAATGCTTATCATGGAGAATTCTTCTCAGGGTCAGACATGGTTCTGCATAAGGACATGGTTCTGAAATACGTATTGTGTTGACTATCAGGGAAAAGGGAAGTGTTCGAGTGTGCAATAGCAGCTGGCGTGCTGCACTTGCTGAGATCTTCACTTCGGTAACTTGGTTTATGTTTCTTCAGTGTAAGTCTTGCATATTTTTGCTGAAGAAATTTTTCACTCCATTTAGTTTTGGTTTTGGGCCAGCAGCATAGTTGGTCTTCCTCCATTTCCTAGCAGATCAGTATCTACAATATACACAGTTGGTTCAGACCAAAGGTGTCTGCAGAGCTATACATCAAGCTAGCATGTCAAGTCACCTTAGCTAATCTAGAAAGGCCTGGGCCTGCAGCCGGATGGGAGACCACATATGGAAGCGAAGCAGGGAGTTGGATTCAGTGGCTTTATCAACCCCTTTCAACTCCTGTCCTGTCCTTTCCCATTCCATTCAGTCTGCTTCTTGCAGGGTCCAGCCAGTTGCTGCTGGGAAGCCACAAGCAGAACATGAGAACCAAAAGGCATTTAGTGGCATATTGTCTCTGGACATGGAGGTTCCACAGAGCCAGTAGCAATTGATAAACCAGTCCTCACTGAATTTGTCTAATTCCATTTTAAGGCTGTCTGATCTAGTGATCATGTTAGGTCACATCATGTGAGTTCCATAAATCAGTTGTGTGCTGGGTCTAAAAGTGTTTTCATCAGTCTATTCTGAATCTTCTGTACACCATGCAAAATTTTATATACCTCTATCATGTCCCTTAGTTACCTTCAAAACAAAAATCTGAACAGTGGAGATCTTTGCACATAGGAAAGGTACTGCAGCCCTCTGATAATTTTGGTTGCCCTTTTCTATATTTGTTCCCTACAGTATACATTTTAAAATGAGACTAACCAAAGAGGCTTTTCCCTATATTTGAATTTAAAATGTGAGCCTCCCTGCTCTCCCCCCTTATTAACTTAATGACCTATTTCATTCTAATGGGTGTTAGTGATAAAGGTGGAAAGTGCTTAGAAAGGAAGATGGAGAAAATGGCACTTCATTGAAGTACAGAGAAGATTCCTGTACTGCTGTTGTGCCATGTGAGGCTCCTGGATGTAGGCAAACTCTTGCAGCTCTGGTTTTTGTTTTTTGTTTTAACGTAGGATTAATTCCTTGGGGTTTTCATTTTTGTTTTTGTGGATCATTTTGAAATGATTCCCTATGGCAAAATTCCCATTTTGAGTCAGGACAAACTGCAGGTTGGGCTAAAACTGTCACTGCTGAGTAGTGAAATACTTTTGCTTTGGCCTTGCAGTTTGAAAAAACTTTTGCCCCTTAGGAAAACCCTCCACATTTAGTCCACAGCACATCCATCTAGCAGTTTACCTTTGGTTTTGATGCCAGCACTGAAAATTATTTTTGGCTGCCAACTTCTGCTGAACGAATGGAAGGTCCTCCCTGTTCCCTTTTCCATGTGTGATTTGCCCTGACTGTCCCCGCCTGATGCCTTGAATTGCCTGAATTAGAGGAAGCTGCCTTTAGGGTGGCAGTCTTGCAGCCAGCATATTCCAGCCAGTTGCTTTTCTTGCTCTCCAAAGGGTGCTGAATGCTAACGCTTTTGCTGTGCTGCGAGAAGTTGCACACCCTTCCTACCTGGCAGATCTCACTGAAGAAGGCCTGCCACATTAGTGTGGGAAGTTGATTGTTAACTGAGTCACTTTGTGTCTGTAGCAGGGGAACTTCATTCCAAGGAAGGAGTAGTTACCATGCATGCCTTTTTATTGGGGTCCCTAATTATTGCCTTTGAGGCCTGTACAAGCTGTGACTCACCAAGCCAAACACAGCCCACCAGCCATGTCCTGTGACCTGGTAAAGGCATCCGTACCACCTCCAATTTTGGAGTTCTGGGCAGATAACACTGATGGCTTATATTTAGCTTGGTGAGCTCACAAGCTGAGCAGGTCTGCCTTAGTGTTAGCAATATGCTTTATAATTGGGTGAAGTTAACAAGGCTTATTAAGACTGCACAGCCCTACCAAACATCAGCCATCTTTAAAAGAAAACCTAACCACACAGTCCTCGGTGTACTTGCAAGTTTCTCTGATTTCAGTGCAAGTTATTTTCATGAAATATGCTTAGGATTTGAGCTTTATTGCAGTCCTGAAAAAGTCTGGGAATTTTTTTGAAGTAGCTGCTCTTCTGGTAAAAATATTGTGAGGATTAGTAACTTGTTCCTTGAATCTTCTTGCTTTACCAGGTGTGTCCTGGGATCAGCAAACCATTTAGCAGATATTTTACTAGTCAATTCAGAGTCCCTAAAGGTTCCCTTTAAGAGCTGATTAAGTACAAGAACTGTAGAAAGCTCCTACTTCAGTACTTCTGAATGCAGAGGTTGAATATAAAACAGACACCCCCTGTCCATCCTACTTCACAGTTCCTTTTGAATTAGAACTCTTACTTTGCAATCTTTTTACATGTAATTGTGTGAGAGTTCTGGAGGGGTATTTACCTCTTTCTTGTACTTCTATTTTACAGCCAGAGTCATTTATATAAGAAGAATGTAGGTTGGGTTTTTGTGATTTTTAAGAAACCCATCAGTTGGACAAAGATGTGCTGGCACTTTAAAGTTGCATTCTGCAAAAACAAAAGTTCCTTAGGCAAAGATGGGAAACTGCTGCAGGCAGTTGCAGGGCTTGTGGCTGGCCTGGCATCCAGCTCCCAGGAATGTATGGAGCATGCTGTGGCTCAGCCTGCTCCCCCCACCCCCGATTGGGGTGTGGGAGGTGGTGTCAGCACAGTGGTTTGCTTTGCTGAATCATATTTTTAATGGCTCCAAAGGCATGACATGTGTATCCAAACCACAACTGGAACCTCTTGCTAACCTTAGCTAGTTTAAGTGACCTGACGTTGCCCGTTGCATTAATGTAACTGGTCAACAGTGAGTTTTGTATTTCTGTGTGTTCCTTACACTCCTCTTTCTGAATAAGTTATATTTTCTTATTTAATATTTATTTAATTTATTGTGTCCCATGCACAGATGTCAAGCTGTCCCTCCAGTAAATAAAAGGTTGAAACCCAGGTTGTCCATTGAATTGCTTTTGGCTTCCTGTTCCTTATCAGGTGTGAGGCTTGTGTTTTCCACAGTTTACCAGAGTTCATTCCTATGGATTAGGAGTACTGTCTCTAGAGGCTTTTGTTCTCCAAGGGCCAATAGCAACAAATAGACTTGGCTTTTTAGATTCTTGGCACTTATTGTTGCCATGCTTAAATTGCAAAGTGTAAGTAAAATCCCCTTTTCCTTCACAGTTTTGTTTTCTATACGTATGACTGGTTTTTTCTTTTAAAAAACCTCTGATTTGTGCCATTTTTGTTTGATGTCCTCTGATGATACTATTAATCATTAAAATTGGAAGATTCAATACAAGAACATGCAGGTTTTTTCTCACAAAGGTTAAGAATTCTGCTTGAAAAGGGGTCACTTCCATGGGCAATTTTCTTCATAATATCCTCCTGAAAACACACCAGCATTTCTCATTCATTCCTTTCAAATATACACTATTGCTTTATCTCAGTGCTACCATGTCTGACAGATGCCTGGCACAACATGCATCCCAACCCATGAGCCTTGCGCCGTTCCTGCCTCAAGATTCCACTTTTTTCCCAGACCAGTTTTATAATTCTTTCCTCTGTTCCTGATGCTTCTGAACACCTGTATGATCCCATTTTTTCCTACAAAGCAGAATGCTGTTTGTGAAACACTGTAGCATATGGGAAAATCGGGTTTTTTCCACATAACAGGACCCATAGTTTGCCTGTATTAACATTATTGAGAAATTTTTAAAAACAATACAGATAAGGTAACACCATCTCCTGGGTTAATCCACCCAGGATTTGGCATGCCAGTTTACTGCTTTCCACCCATTCACCTGTTCCTTTTTTAATCAACTTTCCAAAACTAGACCACATATAGCTAACTTAAATCTTCCTCCAGCTGTCCCAATTCAATCCAACTTCAAAATGATTTACATTCCTAGAATTCCTATAGGGCTGCAAAGGGCAACCCCTTCAAAAAGCAGCAGGAAATCCACTTGTGCAGCAGCTCCCAGGAAAGTTTGGGCTCAATTTGGTCAGTACTTGCACTCTGCCTGATTTAGTGAGGATGGGAACCCTGTGCTACAGTCCAGAGAGAAAGCATGAGGTGTTACTATTATTATATAATTTCTCTATTGTCCCACAGCCAAAGCTCTCTGGGCAGTTTACAGCAATTCATAAAGGCCATTAAAATGTAGTAATAATAAAATCAGAAATCATTAAAAGGTTTAAAACAGTTTTTAAAAAGACAATAATAGAGATTCTGCAAAAACACAGAGTAAATACTCTCAGGCCTCTGGGTGGCCAAGCACATCTTTAAAGGCCTTGGAAGAGGGCTGCCTTAACCTGGCCAGGTCCCTGAGGGGAGGTTATTCCATAGATGGCAGGACTATGGGTTGTCACATTGAACTGCGGGTTGTCATTGTCATAACGCTGCACTATGGTTTGTTAACAATGAACTACTCAACCCCACAATAAACGATGGGTTCACTTTCTCAGTTGTTTGTGATTAGCAACCCACAGCAAAACTGTAATGCAGGGTTATGACCCACGATTCATGAGCAAACCAGGCAAAAAAATGGGGCATGCAGCACCATATGGCCCAATCTTCCCTGCAATACCACCCAGAGCGAAGGGGGATGGTCCTCCACCTCTGCCCATTTGCCCGGCTGCTCTCCTTTGCCTACGCAGAGCAGGGTTGGGAAAATAAGTATGGAGCAAGGCCTTGGTTTTAGTGGTGGGCAACTTATGGCCTTCCAGGCATCGTTGTCTTACAACTCCCATCATCCCTAGTCAGCATAGCCAATAAGGGGGGGGGGCTCGGAGGGCCAGTAATTCCTTCATTTCGAAACCGCCCCGTAGCCGAAGCTCTCTGCTCCTCTCGGCCACACGATGTGACATCCCGTCCCTCTGCTGATCAGCACTAGGCCACATTCGAGGGGGAAGCGTCGTCCTCACGCCCTCGAGTTTAAATGCCCCTCATGATAGGAGCGGCACGGATCGACAGCCCCACTGCCCGACTTCGCAGAGCTTCCGCGATTCCCGGCTCCCGCTACGTCTTTAAAAGAGTCTCGTCCCGCCTTGGCAAGTATTTTGCCGTAACCCAATCGCCGCCTCGACTCCGTCACCGCTGGCCAATGGCATCCCTGAGAAAAAACGGAAACTAGGAAGGAGCCTCCTGATTGGAGCGTGCGCTGCGTCGAGGAAACGCGTGCCAGAGGTAAGAGGAGCGGGCTTCCTTCCGCGCGGTGGCAGGCGCGCGAGGTGGGTCTTGCTCCTTGCCCGTCCCCGCGGCCGTTCGCGCCCCGCTTCTGCAGCCCCGGATGGCCCGTCTCCCCAGCTGGGCGCCTGAGTCTGTGCAGCGCTCTGCACGCTACCGCCCTGCTCCCGGTGGCCTGTGCTCGCCCTCGCCTCCCCATTTCCATCTTATGGACAGACGCCCCGCAGGCGGCCTGCTTATGCAAGAAGCGACTGAGCCGCGCCTGCCCGGTCCTGCCAGCTAAACGCCTCAGGGTGTAAGGCGACTGTCTCCACGCGCCACCACCGCCGCACTTAAGAACAGAGCAGCCGTCCGCAGCCTGGCGCCTTTTTGTGATTTGGAGCGCAACTCCCAGCATTCCAGATCCGTGGCCTCGTTGCCTGAGGCTGGTGGCAGTTGCAGGTGTAAAACGCCGACGGCACCAGGTGGGAAAGGCTGGAATTGGGCTAGGGAACCAGCAGCTCTCCAAACGAAGCTGGAGTCCAATTCCTACCATCCCTAGAAAGCATGGGCTGCTGTCTGGGATGATGGAGCTGGTGGTCAACAAATGAAACCTCAGGTCTCCCACACTGTTGCTCAGATACATGCAGATCTGCACCTGTATTCACTCCTATCTCATAAACCTCTTTCCTTTCTGCAAAGGGACCCTAGTCCACTAAACCTTATGCCAGAACAAATGCCAGTTTGTGAATGGCCCCTGTAATTGTTTTATCAACATGTAAAGCTAGTGCTATCTGAATTCTTGCATTTCTCTTTTGTGCTTGTTATTTACAGTTTTTTTCTACCAACCTGTGTATATGTGTACATGCACATGCAGAATGCAGAATACTTTCTCATGAAGTGGACTCCAATCCACAAAGCATATACCATAATACACCTAAGGCCCGGCAGGACTCTTCATTGTTTTCACAATAAAAATGTTAGAGTACAATCCAATGCTTAGAAAAAGGTACTGCAACTTTAGCCTTTCCCAGGCAGCATGTAGAACCTCCATTTGTTTAAGCACACCTAGGAATGCACCCTTGGGCTTTAAAGGTGGCACAAAACTCTTTGCATCCTACAATTGACGAAACAGCTACCCTTTTGGAAATCCAGCATTTTTTATTCTAAGATGGCAGGTTGTCCCTGCATAGCTGAAGAGGTTAGAGCCTGATAATATGGATAAAATTAACAGGGCCCCAACACCATAAGCAGTGGGCCTGTGCTGCTTCTACCTGGACTGGTCCTCCAGTAGCTCTGGACTACAGTACAGGACTTCAGGCTTGGCGGACAAATCTAGCCCTCTGGGATTCCCCAGAGAGCCACACCACCTTCCCTTTTCGCAAGCCACCAATTGTTTGGTGGTTTCCCAACATTGTGTACCTTTTGTCTGTTCTAAAGGGTTGCAGTGCTTCTCCCAGGGCCTTGCATTAAGTTACTGCCATTAAGAGTTTTAAAGTAGTATTTGACCTTAGTTGTTTTGCTTTCAGCTGTGCCCACCAATAGAAGGCAACCCCCAAAAGCTCCTCTGAAATGGAATTCAGCTTTTTGGGCTGAGAGAGTTTCTGCACCCCTGCTCTAGATAACCCCTAGTTTCTAAACCAAAATACAGCTTACTCTAATTCGCCAGTTCAAATTTGTGCCTGTCTGCAGTACTGCTTACAGTTTTCCCTCCTTCAGATGTCAGCGCACCCTTTAAAATCACCCAGGTTGCTCGCCTCCCACCCTTGTGCAGCAATGGAAACAGAACTCCTGCTGGCTCCTATCACTGCGCTGGAGATCGTGAGAGATCATCTTGTAGCAGGTGGGTGTCTTACTAATTCCTAAAACTATGCGCCAGAATCCCCTGCTGAGTTGCCACACCCTCTTGTCTGTGGGCATTGGCAAACAAGGGCTTAAACTCAACATCAGGTGAGACTTCCCTTTGCTTTTTGTTTCCTGTGCATTCGAAATCAGCTCTGCAGGGTTCCACAACCCCCCAGAGCAGATTTGGGAGTCACAAGGGGAAGGGGAACCCTTTCTGGAATAGTTTATGTTCCATTAAGAGGCTACTAGAGTTGGATATAATCCATGATGTCAGACATGCCAAATATCAAGCCATGACCTTGATAACTCAGTGAAGCCAAGCATGATCTATTCTTACACTTACCTTAGAACCAGTGCATTTCTGGACCCAATACAGGTGGCCAGTGTTGGCCTTTAAAACCCCAAAAGGGTTGGGCCCATTTCCCGCGGATGAACCTGCCCTGCGTTAAGATTCAGGCCCTGCAGATTGGTCCAGTGAGGCTGGTGGTTGCAGGGAAAGACTTTCTCCAAGTGGCCCTATGCAGTTCCTGCTGCGAGATAATGCAGCTGTTAGGTTTGCAAGGCTCATCTTTTCTGCCTGGTTTGTAATTTAATTTTGATGGTATTCATTGCTGATGGATATTTTAAATTTATGTTTATAAGATTTCTATCCTGCCTTTTTTCTTTTTTTAACGAACTCAAAGCAGGTTGCATCATTCTCCTCCTGCTGCGCTCAGTCTTCCCCCCACAGCAACACCCTTACGTGGTAGGTTAGGCCGAGAGTCTGTGACCGGCCCAAAGCCACCCAGTTGGCTCCATGGCTGAGTAGGGACCAGAATCCACGTCTCCTGAGTCCCAGTCCCATACTCTTAACCGCTGCACCACACTGGCTCTCCCAATTTTCATTGCAACTGGTTATATTTGAAATTGATTGTTTAATATAATGTCATTATTGCTCTATCGTTTTAGTGTAAATACATGAATTTGGTGGATGATTCAAAGGAATCTCATAATAGAAAGGCTGCACCCAAAGCAGAGGCCCATCTGGTCTTGATGTGTCCCTCACAGTAGGCGCCGACACTGCTCCGGGGGCATCTGGCTGGGGTGGAGGCTGCGTGGGGCTTACTTGTGAGGACGGGCACTTTTGGGAAGAGGGTGTGTCACTTCAGGACTGTTTCTGCATGGTGACTCTGGCTTCTTGTCCTCTTGCAGGGGAAGGGCCCAACATAACCATCTACACTCTGGAGCCCAGCACCAACCAGCCAGTCAGATGCCGCAAGCCAGTCCTTAGGAATTATAATGTCCACGGTATCAAGGAACAGCAGAACGTGGCTGCAGGAGCTAAAGAGTCTACTTTCCTGGCGGTCTTTGGAGGCAAAAGCTTTGTGGTTGTGGAGCTCACCTTCCAAGGCGGCACAGTCAAACTTTCCAGCCGCTTCCCATTCTGTGAGCTGCATGACTGGATCTGGGACTTACGGTGGCTGGAGGGCAGTGCCGAGACACCCAGCTGCGTGGCTTTGGCCCTTGGCCACAATTCAGTGGTCCTGTATGACTGCCATGGCCAGGGGATCCTCCAAGAAGTGCACTGCCAGGAGAAATGCATCCTCTACTCTGCCCTTTTGGTTGGAGCCAGCTGGGACACTTTGCTTCTGGTGGCTGGCACAGTTTTTCATCAGCTGGTGCTCTGGTGCATGGCTGACCCAGCGGATGACGCGGGCAGGATAAAGCCCCGGAGCAGGATCAGCGGACACAACGGCGTCATCTTCAGCATTTGCTTTTTGGAGAGCAAAAGCCTCTTGGCCTCCGCCTCTGATGACAGAAGCGTGCGGTTGTGGGGCGTCCACAACCTCAGAGCTGCCGCTAGTCATGTCCAGTGCTTGTTGGTGTGCTATGGGCACCAGTCCAGGGTGTGGTCAGTCAGGCTTCTGAGTGACCACATCATCAGCATTGGAGAGGATTCGGCTTGCCTTGCGTGGAGCTACCAGGGCGAGATTGTCCACAGCTTCAGAGGCCACAAGGACCGTAGCCTTCGGGCAGTGGCTGTGCATGAGGAGCGGGGCTGGGTATTCACCGGCGGGGCTGATTCTGGCATTAGATGCTGGGACCTCAAGGGGCGCAGGGCCAATGGGGGCAGCCTGATGAACCTGAACTTCCCCTCAGCTCAGAGCAGAGGCTCTCCCAGAGCCGTGGAACTGCTGGACGCCAACCGTCTCCTCATGCTGACTGACACCGGAGCACTGTACGTCTGTGACTTGAGCCCCAGAGCCTGGACGTTCATCCTGGAGGATGCTGCCTATCGGTCCTATGGCCTGCTGGCTGTGTCTGGGCAAGGCGGCGCTGGCACGGTGTGTGCCCTGGGCAGTCTGTCGGGTCAGGTCAAAGTGTTTGCTCTCAGCAGCCCTGCCCAGAGCCAGGAGCTGGCTGTGTGTGAAGGGAAGGTGCACAGCCTGACCTGGTCCTGCGATCCAAGGCAGGAGCCCAGTACGCGCGCGCTCCTCGCTTCCGATTCAGCTGGCACTCTGCTCTGGCTGGAGGCCTCTCACCACCCGCTTGGGCGAGTGAGTGTGGCAGTGAGGCGACGTTTCCTCCTGCCGCCCTGCAAGCAGCGATGGCACACCTGCGCCGCCTTCCTGCCCCAAGGAGAGTTCCTGGTTTGTGGGGACCGCAGAGGCTCCGTGATGCTCTTCCCCTCCCAGCCAGCTCCTGGACTGGAGAAGGCACCAGGGAGCGGAGCGCCAAGTGACTCCAGCCTGGAGGCCGCCTGCACACAGCCTTGGCTTGCTGCTCCCGATGGAGGAAAGGAGCCACGTGCCACGGAGCCTGTCTCTCTGCTCTTCGGGCTTCATGGGAAGCCTGGTGTGACCTCTGTAACCTGCCACGGTGGCTTCATCTACAGCACAGGCCGAGATGGGTGCTACCGCCAGCTCCAGCTCCAGGGCCGGCAGCTCCAGGTGCTGAGGAAGCAGAAGCCGTGCAAGGGCCTCGAGTGGCTGGAGGAGCTGCGCTTCGGTCCAACGGGGGACATGTGGGTGCTTGGCTTCCATGCTGCCCGCTTCGTGTTGTGGAGTGCCAGTAAGGGCGAGACGCTGCTCTCTGTCCCCTGTGGGGGTGGGCACCGCTCCTGGAGCTACGCTTGCTGCCTCTCCAGGGAGGCCTTTGCTTACCTCAAATCCGGGGATGTGGTGGTGTACCAGAGGAGAGGCGCGCCTGACGAGCAGCGGGTCGTTAAGGAGTCTTTGCACGGGCGGGAGCTGACTTGCCTGTGCCACATTGGGACTCTGCGGACAGGCAGGCCCGGGCGGGTGAGCGTCCTCGCCACAGGAAGCGAGGACAGCATGGTGAACGTTCTAGCCCTGGGGGTGAAGCTTCACTCGGTGACCCAGCTCACCAGTCTCGGTGACCACATCTCAAGTGTGAGAGCTCTGGCCGTGGCTGCAGACAGCACTGCCCCTCCAGAGGCGGGCAGGATCTCCTGCGTGCTCTTCTCGGCTGGGGGACGGGCCCAGATTGAGTGCTACCGATTACTGCTCAGCCTCGGCCACGATTCCAGCGGCGGTGTAGCCTGTCAAGTGATCCACTTGGCATCCCATCGCCTGGACGAGCGGTGGGACAGCATGAAAAATAAGCACAAGCTCATTAAGATGGATCCAGAGACCAGGTACCAGCAATGGCCTTTTCCAGTAGCTGATTATCCTGTGCAAGGGCATGGTTATTGTTATACTTTATTTATTTATTTATTTATAATCCTGCCTTCTTTCTGCTCAAGCTACTCATCTTTACGTAATATTCCTTCTCTTAACCTTCTCACAACAATCCTGTGAGGTAGGCTGGGCTGAAAGGCTGTGACTCGCACAACGCCAGCCAGTTGGCTCCATGGCTGAGTGGGGCCTGCGAGCCACATCCGAGTCCCAGTCCCACACCTTCACTTCACTGTTACGCTGGTTGCAGAAAGAGACAACTTGGTTTATTGTTTAGGTTGGCTGAAGGAGGCAGAGTTTTTCAGCCTGGTTTGATTAGTCGTGCTCAGTGTGTGCCTAGAAATCTGTATGAAAAAGAAAAGTTGTGACTAGACTTGTCCACATTTGTCTACAAAGCTGGGTGTTGGGGAAAGGCTGTAGAATTCTTTTGGCCTGGCCTGGCCTAGTATACATGGACCTGTGCTGAAAGGGGAGACCCCAGGTCTTAGGAGGAAGTTACAAATAACAGGATAAGACGGGTGGATGGAAAGTTGGGGAGGATCATTGATTTGAATTCCGACTGCCTAACAGAGATTTTCTAGTTATTTTTAAATTTCTTCTGCAAGTAGAATGACAAGAATCACTTAACACGGAGTTGTATGGATTTCATGATTCTGAGACAGTGTTGTGCAAATGTGTGAGTTGGCACCAGCATCCTGATAATCTCAGCTGTCATGCTTCCAGTCTTTAAGGCTGCAATATTCTGCATATTTAGCTGAATAAATCTGCACAGAACTGCTCTGGAAGGCCATAAAGAGAAGTTGTAAAGGGCACAAGCAATGCCTCCTAGAAGCTTGTCTGTGGGCAGCTGCATGGCATCTCCTGAGAGGAAGGCTGTGACGGCGACTCTGGCGGGCACCACTGTGCGGTGGCAGCTTGTCACTTTCCAGCTTGGTTAGGGGAGCTTTGCGATGCTCCGGGCATGGGAGCTGCCAGTGGATGGAGCGTCCCTGAGAGGGTGGATGACGGCTTCTGTGTTCCAGGTATATGTCTATTGTGGTGCTGGCTGGTCCAGAGGATGCAGCGCTGCCTGGTCCCTGCCTCTTCCTGGCTGCTGCTTGCAGTGATGGATCTGTCCGGTAAGAAGCTCACTGGGCTTTTCTTCTTAGGGGCCCAGCTGGTTGGCCTGCCTGCCATGCAGACTCCACCAATGATGGATGAGGAAAGGGAGGGACTAGAGGAGCAGAACATGGAATGGCTGGCATGAAGACTGTCCGCTGCAGCACTTCCTGCAAACTGGAGCAGGGAAAGTGAATGGCAAGGAGCCGCCAGGGAGCACCAGCCCTGCCTGCAGAACGTCTCGCCTGTACCCTCTTTAGCTTCGGTGCTTTCCTCCCTTGTGCTGACCGCGTGCTTCCATGTCTGTGCAGGCTCTTCTTGCTGCGTGAACATGTCCAAAAGCTGCGGCTTGTGGCAGAGTCCTTTCACCATCAGCGCTGTGTCCTGAAGGTTGTGGCATTTGCACACAAGACGGCTGGTAGGAGGTGAGGACGGAGCAGGTGCTTTGTCTTGGTGTGCCTCTGATGGCATCCCCTGGGACTTGTATAGATTCACACAGAACTCCCTGGAGAGCAGAGTCAAGGGTTTGGCTGATCGGGCCACGAGGACCGAGAATACTAATGTCAGCAATGCGTTTTTCTTGCACAGGAGACACTTCTTGGGCAGCGCAGCCACCGATGGGAGCATTTCATTCTGGGATATCACTCCTACCCTTCTCCATATTGCAGAAGCCCTAAAGGCAGGAGGCACAGATGTGGAGCTTCTTGGTAGGCAATTGCACGGACTGCCCTGTTTGCACACCTGTAATGCTCCTTGCTTGGGCCACTCCCAGGTATACTTGGTGTTGCAAGTGTGCCACTAGACAGCTTTGCTCAGCCCCCACCCTGGCACATTTCACTGTATGTTATCATCTTTGGCTTGTGACGTCTGTGCCCCATCTTGCCATTTTTAAAAGCCCAGCTAAAATTGTGGCAACCATTAGAACTCCCAGTAGGAAAAACATGCTGGCTGCTTTGTGTTTTTCAGCTCTGGAAGCCCCGGTCCTGACGGTTCAGGCTCACAGCTGTGGTGTGAACAGTCTCCTTGTTCAGGAAACGATAGATGGGCATTTCCTCGTGGCCAGTGGCGGTGATGATGGCTCCATCGCGCTCGTTGTTATCGATGTGACTGCTGAAGGCATCAGTGAGCAAGAAGCCACTGCTGGGACTGGCATCCGTGTTCTCAAGAAGTTCTCCAGGCATTGTGCTCACGCAGCTCATGTGACTGGGGTGCAGTTCCTACCCCCAGACTTCCTCCTTTCCGTTTCTGTGGACCAGCGAATGACAGTCTGGCACCTTGCTGAGGACAGACTAACTTTTGTGTGCAGCCGGTTCTGCCACGTGGCTGATGTGGCTGCTCTAGAGTGCTGGGAAGCAGAGGAGAACAGCTATTGCAGTGTTATATGTGGCCAGGGCCTGGAGGTCCTCTCTTGTTGCCTGGGGGCACAAGATCCAGGAATAAAACGCTGTGTGTGAAAGAGCACCAAGCGCACTGTTGCCTTATCCTGTTGGAACGCGGGAGTGTGAACGACTGCAAGGCCAGCCGAGGACGGCTGTGTGACCACATGAAGGATTAGAAGACCACTCCTGGCTTCTGACCTCTTCCTCTGGAGACGCAGGGTTACCTGAGAGGCTAGGTTAAACCATTTATCCATCTAGCCCACTGCTGCTTACTCTGGCTGACAGTGACTTCCCAGGATCTCAGGCGTGGAATAGTCTTCTGCATTGCCCGCTGCTGGATCCTTCAGGTTGGACGTATCGGGGACTGAAGGTTCTGCATTGAGAGCATGTGCTCCGTGGGCACTGCAGCCCCATTTCCGGTGGCAGCCCCTCTAGATGTGCTCAGCTACACTCCCAGTATCCTCCAGCCAGCACAGCCAACGGTCAGGAATGGGGGGAGCTGTTATCTCAAACCTTTGAGGGGCAGCAGATCGGGGTATACAGATTGCCTCCATAATCCTTCCATATAATCAGCAGTATGTTTTTGTAATCTGTCACACCTAAATTTAAGATCCACGTACCTGTTTTGCAAAATCAAATTCCGAGCTTTGGAATTATTAGAGTTACTGTGCAACATATCCGGAGGGCACCAGGTTGGGAAATGCTGGCTTACAGAGTCTTGATTCTACTTGCCTTTTAGCCCCTGAAGAGCCTCCTTCCATGCCAGTGTCCAGGCTGAAGGTCCGATGGGTCCCTTTCTCACTTAGTGGGACAGGGTGGTCCTACATTGCCACCTAAGCAGAGAAGGGTTTTCTTCTGTTGCCACCTAAGAGTTTTGCCTATAGATTCAAAATAGCTATTCCTGCTCTTTCCATAATTGCCCAAGTGTGCAGTAGGAGTTTGAGAGCCGGTATGGTAATCGTTCAAATGTTGCACTGGGACTTGGGCTATCTGGGTTCTAGTCCTCACCCAGCCATAAAGCTCACTGTGACTTTGGCCTAGTCTTGGGACACCTACCTCAAAGTTTGTTGTAAGGATAAAAATGGAAATGTAAACCCCCATGGGATCCTCACAAGAGGAAGAAAGGTTTGGTATAAATTAATAATAATAATATAGAAAGTCAGAGGCTGTTTAGTTTCATATGTCTCCTGATGATGTGTGCATCTGCTAACTGGCAGCTTCTTAACTAGCCAGACGGAAATTGCTTTGAAAGCAGCACGTCTGACTTATGGCACATGGGATAGGCTGGGAAGATGGTTATTTGATCAGGGATGGCAGCAAATGCAAAAGGAATACCCTGGAGGAGCCATAAAGAAACTTGCTAACTTCCTTTTCCAGCTCTGTGAGTAGGTGGGTCCTCACAACCCTGCCAAGGCCCACCGCTGCTGCAAGTGCCCTTTGCTTTCCTGTTCGTTCTTCCCCCACCCTTCAAGCCACAAGATGCCCCAGCCAGGATCCTTCACTCCTCAGCTCCTGTAGTTCTGATCAATAGCCAAGTTATCCTAGGTTCGTGGCACCTCTTCAAGGTGTGCTGGGACGCACTCAATAATTCAGGACTTGCTGGCATTGCTACCTCCCCAGAAGCTGCATGCATATTGCATGGCCCACATTGCAGCAACGGGGAGGTCAGCGCAAGGCACCTTTGTGAGAAGGGTCACGTGGCTGCTCTGGTCATGCACTGCTGGCTCCCAACAGGGCTTGCATTGTTCACGTTTCAGGGTAAGCTGCCAGACTTATTGCCCACTAGAACAATGTTGTCCTGAGCCCCACAGACTATGGGGTCTGCCACCTGGTGCTGGCCGAAGCATAGGAAGGACCCCAAACAGTCAGGTTTGGCCTCCTCTGGCAGGGATTCAGCCTGTGCACCTTGCAGTGGCCACCACCTGCCCTGAGATGCTGCACCTGGGACAACTCAAAGATGCCGCCCCAGCCACTTTTTGCTTCCAAAGCCAGGCAGAGGCAAGTTGTTCATGAAGAAGCCCGGCAGGCGGCAGTCTTAGAAGCCACAGGCACCCTGCCTTCAGTGACGGACGCCGTGGGCCCAGGCTTAGCCCTGCCTACAAGCAGTGTCACCACCCACCCCGGCTGCACCATGAGGATGAGTGTGACCACGGCCTTCAGGAGACGCCGGGCCCCTGCAAGGATCAAAGAGCAGCCTGCCAGAGGCAAGTGCGCAGGATGGCTGGAGAAGGTAGGGCAAGCCCTGGCCGGCTGGTGCTTCCTTTTGGGGAGGGAACATACTCCAGTTGCTCTAGGGCAGCAGTGGGCTCCAAAGAGCAAGCTGACTCAGGTGGCTGTCAAGTAATGCCCTCCACAGAGCCCCTGGTCTCTGCATTACGGAGCAGGGACTCCAAGCCACCACTTGCCACTGTCCTTTTCTATGCTAGCATTTAGGTGGTTAGATGTACACATTTGGAATAGGAGGAATTGGAGCTGCTTCCGGATACCTGTGGAGGCAGAGTTCTGCCTATTGATTTCAAGGACAGACGGGAGGAGAGGAGCAAGCACTGGGAAGGCTAGGCAAGAAAGGTGTTGACCCGAGGCTGAGGTGCACTTGCACGGTTGTATGAAAAGGCTCGGCTCCAGTCGAGTTCCCTTAGGCGGGTTGCTGGAGGATGCAGATGGAACCAGACTCAGTCTCCATCCCCTGCAAAGAAGGGCGCACTTGTCCTGATGCTGCTTTCACCGGGTTTACATGTATTTGGAACAGCATGCAGTGCAAGCACTGCCACTGGTGTACATCGGACGTGTGCCCAGCGCTCACCGACTGACCTGACCTGCCAATGAGAGCGAGCGAGTGCAGGCGCAAGAACACGCATGTCAGCTCTGTGGGCACGGCAGTCTTTCAGTGGCTTCCGAGGTGCTCAGTAGTGTGTGCACACATCGCAGCCCAGGAGTCACCGTGATCTGCAATCCCTGCTGCTTTCCTGAGCTGCACCCCACACTTCCCTTTCTTCCTTCTCTTTATGGTCAGGTAAGAGCTACAAACACACACCAGAACAAAATGGCTCCCAGGATTCCATTAGTCCCAAGGCAAAGCAGGATGGCTCTTCCCCAGATTCCCAGGCGAGGAGACAAAGCTTATGGTAAGGCTCTGGTCTGTGACCCCACCCCCAGCCCCTCTTATCAGCAAGATTATGGAGAAACTTGCCTTAGTCTAAAAGGGGGGGGGTGCTCTAGTCCATGAGGTCCAGAGACCATTCTTTCCCAGACACTGCCAATACTCCCTGTGTGTCCCAAAAAATAAAGAATGACAGACATCGTGGCTTCAGAGCACTACAAGGATTGCTGTTGATAATTTTTGACCTTTTTGGGTCTGCAGCCACTGCCACTGCATTTCCCCCACCTCAAATATATCTTTAAATGAATGTAGGGACTGCTGGAGACAGCATGTTGCCCTGGGCTAAAGCTCCTTGCTGCCATTGGAAGGAGGTGATGCCTCTTCAGGGGGAAGAAGCAACAACTACTGGGCATACAGAGATAAATTAATAACAATTCTAGTGCTGCTCAAATCTGAGGCCCACCTCTATCGTCTGCCTCTGCAGAGGGCCTTGTGTGAGCCTCAACTCGGAGCACAGACAGCCCCTGCATCCCCCAGAGCCAGGCCTCCCTCAGCCTCGGCTAAGCCATCAGCCCATCCTCCCCCAGGCACCCCCACGCGCCACCCCTTCCCCTCCTGACTGCGCCCGAGCCCGAGGCCCGAGCTGGATTGCTTGTCCTCTCCTTGTGCCTTGCTAACACTTGCTCCGCTTCCCTCTCTCTCACTTCAGCGACACCAGGCCAGCACCTACCAGGCTGTCCAGCCTGCTTGTCCTCCCATGCCAAAGTGGCCCCTTTGGGCAATCGAGGCTTGACTCCCTGGAGCGGGCCCACTCGATCCGAGACCTCCTTCCATGCCTTCTTCACGCCTGTGGTGTCCTTCCTGCACAGTGTCCCTTTCTCGGCAGCAGGCGCACCTGGCTCAGGCGGCGTCTTTCCAGAATTTGGCAAGAAGGCACCTGTGGGCGGAGCGGAGGAGAGGAGGGCAGCCCCGCTGTTCCAACGCAAAGCCAGGACCAAGGCCCAGAGTGGAGGCCTGCCCAGTCGCCTCCAGAGCAAGCGGCAGCGGGTGGAACTGCCCAGCATCACCAAGCTGAACTTCAGCCGCAATTTCACCTTCTCCTTCTTCGAGCTGCCCCCCCATCAGAGCCACGAGTATTGGCTGCAGCACCAGCAGCTCATATGCCTCCTGATGAAACAGCTGCAGTAGCAAGGACCTGGGCAGCAGTGAGGGGAAGGGCACCCTGGTGCAGGACCTGAAGCCACCTCCTTGCAGTGCAGCCAGGCACAGAAGGCCCTGGCAGGCTTGCCCACAGTCCCTGGAGGACAGGCCTTCCCACTGTGCCAGCCACTCCAAGAGGCACAGCAAGACCGAAGGAGGCGGGTTTGCGTGCACTCGCCCCCCGCACTCGCCTCACTTCTCCCTGCAGCGGCAACTCGGCCTGCCTGTGTTAATGGTTCTGCAACTTCCTTCTCTGCCCCTGCCAGCCACCCAACAGCATAACCTTGGGCCTTGGCCCCCCCATGAGACGTTCGGCAACAGACACAGCCAAGCTCTCCCCCCCAACTGCAGCCATGTCTTTCTGTGCATGTGCGTCCAGTAATTTATTTACAGGTTCATGTTCCCACTGCTGGTGTCAAAACCGAAAGAGGGCAGGAACACGACTGAGATGGGACCAGAACATGACCAGCCCCCATCACAGAACAGAATGAAAATAGCCAGTAAGCCACCAGTTGCCTCTTCTAACTGGGCTTCCTTCTGGCTTGCTCTGGCACCCCCCCCTCCCCATTCCGTACATCCACTGTGAGCAAAGAGCAAAGGGGATCGGGGCAGTGCAATTCCAAGGGGGCTGCATGTGTCTGTTGCCCGGCTGCATCCTTTTCCCTCCTTTTTATGCCTCGCTGGAGTTTTGCAACTTTAGCCCCGAAGACACTCAGCAGGCCCTCACCAACAGGAATGCACCGGCTCCCCACATGTGTCTTCTTTGCAGCGTGAGGTAGGGCAGTTCACATCAAGTCCAAGACTTCGATCCTATCCTGCTCCCACTGGATGCTCAGCAGCAGCACAACATGCTTCCCCTTTTGGCCGTGTGAATTTGCAGTCCGCTGCTCTTCACAACAGAGCCGCCCATCAAGGAGGCCAGCAGGCTGGCTGGGAGCACAAGGCTGCCTTGCTCAGATCTGGCTCAGGGGAGGCAGGTGGAGCGTGGCCAGGGCAGAGCGGAGCACTTCTTGCACTGCTCTCATCAGCTGCAACCGGGCAAACATCTGGTCGAATAGGTGGGGACGTGGCTCCTGTGGAGGGGACAGAGGGGACAGTTATGGGACCCTGCCAGCTGCAGGGGAGGCCTTCTAATTCTTCGGCTGTGGGGGAGGGAGGTCCGGGTCTCCCTTGAGTCCCTCCAAGTTTTCCATTGCCTGCCCCCCCCTTTCTCTGCAGCTGTCCTGGGATAGTGTCCACTTTACCATAGAGGTATCCTTCTGTGAACATGTCCACTAATGGAACTGGAATAGTGGGAGGAGGAAGGGGAGGCAGAGGCTATTTTCAATGATTCCCTCATCCCCCTGCAGTCCCCTTCACCTAAAAATCTACTCCACAGGATTGGGGACCCGCTGAGACAGTGAGGGAGATGGCACTTGGAGGAGAGGATTAGCAAAAGTAGCACCTCTCCCCTTTCAACCAGGAGAAACCCTGAGGGATGTTCCCATGTTTGGGAGAAAACCTGCATCCAACATGCTGGTGGCAAAGGAAAACCTGGAGGATGTGCAGTGGCAGGAATGCTTCTGGGCAGTAGTGACAGTGTCCTCATGAACATTTTTTGGCCCATCCAACTGGTGCTTGACTCACCCAAGAAAAGGCTACCCAGTGGTGACAACCATGGAATCAGGCTTGCCTTAGTCAGGCTTAGTCAAATCTCCTTTAAAAAGGCAATTCTAGTTTTCAGCACTGCAGAAAACAGCTACAAGGGGTTGGAGCTGTGCCTGTGAGCCTTCTGATCCCAAACCCTTCCTCTTCACCGCAGTGCCTGCAGAAAAGTCCATACTGAAGCACGAATGAAGCCAGAAGCCTGTACTTCGCGTGTGCACCCCACGCACAGGTGGCTGGAGGCCATACTTAAGAATCCAAACTCAGCCGCCTGGCAGGAGTAGCCACCTCACAGTGCATCTACCTGATGATCAGGGCCTAATCTGATGAAATGCAGGCGTGCATCTGGGGGCCTGCATACCCCTAGGCAGCCGAGCCTCCACATCACTTACCCCCAGGATGTGCACCCTGTTGTAGTAGGAACTAAAGTCCATACTGAGCTGGATCAGGAACTTGCAAATCTGTAACAGAGAGCAAAGCGATATTATGCCCACCTGCCTCAAATCATTCAGAGGGGAGAAGCAACTGAGCTAAAATGAGCACAGCTGGATGCTGGCTTGCTCCTAGGCAGCCACCCCGCTCGGTGCCACCTGCTCCAACTGGCAGTCGTGCTCCAGGGTCTCGAACAGGGCTCTCCGCTGGTCCTGCTGGCCAAGGCCGTTTTTAACTGGAGGTGGCAAGGGCAGAATCACTGACCTCCTGCCTGCAGAGCACTCATCTGTGGGTTCTTCCCCATAGTTTGTTTCCTGTGGGACCCACATGCCAACTCCTGGCTTTCAACAGATTTCAAATGTGCAGCTGTAAACCAGAGTGCACTTTGCAGAGCAACCCAACCTTGTCAAACAGTACCCTAAACAGGACAGTTTCTGGGGAAGGCTGTGAAGATGCAGAAGGACTGCCCAGATTTTGCTCTGCAGCAAGAACCGTGCCGAGTATAACTATAGGGTCTTCACACAGTTCTACATCCTGTAGAGCAAAGGTAAACAACTTGGTGTCCTCCACGTATTTTGGAATACAACTCCCATAATCTCTTATCATTGTCCATGATCAGTAGTTGGTGCTGATGGGAACTGAAGGCCAAAACACATGAAGGGCACCAGCTTGCCTACTCGTGCTCTCCAGAACAGAAAGTGAAAATTCTTTAGCAGAGAAAAGTGACTGATCTGAACCACTGAAATGCCTCTTAGGTTAATATCTGGAATCTCTTTTCAATAAAGCATTAGTGGGCAGGCTGCAGCATATCAGATCTGAGGTTGTATCTCCTGCTTCCAGTTCTATTCAGAACTACTGTGAGCTTTTGCAGACTGAGCTTCTAACCTGCACAAAATGGCCAGTTCTTTGAAGATCTGGAGCTGCTTCAACAATAAATCTGATCTTTCAAAGCACAGCACCTGCTTGCTCATTGCTCTGCACATTAAACTCTAGTTTGCCAGGAGGTGGCAAAGGGGGTGGCTGCGTAGCACAGCATGCTGAAGAGGTGTGCGCACACACATGCACGGGTACAAAAGCGAAACAGAGGGAGAAGGTGGTGCAACAGTCTTGCCCCGTCAGGTCCAACAACTCAGCTTACCGCCTCAGTGCTGGCTGTGACCCTGAGCCCACCACTTGAGAAAGGGAGCTGGATTCCCTGCCTCAGGACCTCCTGGAAAGGCAGGATGCTATTGAACAACAAGAGCCATTCGCCCTGTGGAACAAGCAGAAACCTGACTGAGTCCAGTAGAGACTAGCTTGATGAGGATCACAGTTTGCATGGAAACAGCAATCCCGGGTGCCTTAGTTAAGGAAGTCCATTCTCCCCTCCAGTCTTTGTGCATGTTTCTCCATTCTAAACGATCAAAAATGCCTCTTCGAACCTTTAGTTACTGGAAGAAATAACTTTAAATTAAAATATATGTTCATATCTTGGGGGTCTGGGCCACTCCCTTATTGCTTTCAGGCTAGTTGATCATGGAAATGCAACTCTGAAACAGAATTTGCCACTTGGGGCAGGAGAGTTTCTGCATCCCTGGGTTAAAGTCTCCTTTCCAAGATCCCAGTTTTCTACTGTTGTTAGCCTGACTGCATCATGGTTGCTGGGGAAGGGTTACTTTACAGCCTCTAGCCCTGCCCCAACAAGTCCAACAAAGAAGGCTGTCGCCACTTGGCTACCAGCAGCACCCAAGCGCAATCTTTTTCCTGTCACTCAGCTGATGGCTGTGCAGCTGGGCAACTGGGATTAATGCGTGCAGCTGCTTGGGGACCTGTGGTCTACCTGCAGCAGACCAGCCCAGTTCCTCCTCCAGATCACTGATCCACAGAGAGATGACCAAGTACGGGGATTCCTGTACAGGAAGCAGCCACCCCACAAGGACTCTGTGGTGTGGAAGCTTGTGCTTGTGGCATACGGAGGCCTGGAAAGAAGAAACTGATTTGTGAAAGCCAAATATCCAGGGCCCATCTTGCATTAAGGAGCTGGATGAAACAACCCTTTAGTCCCTTCCACGCCTTCTATCAGATGCTGTAACTTGGCCCAGCTTGCAAAATGACTTTACATTTCCAACACATCCGACAGACCAGCTGATCCACAGGGTAGCCCTCTGGCCTTGGTCTTTGCATTCCTTTGCTCACCTCTTCCCTCAGAGAGGAGTAATTCAGTTCTGATGGTAAGGGGAAGGCTGGGTAAAGACCTAGAAGTGGAAAGCAGAGATAGCAGAGGAAGGTTGGAAGAAAGCTGGCCAGTACACACAGGAACATCTTATGAAAAAGATTATTGGGTGATGCAATGTCAGCTACACTAGATCCAAGTTTTCTGCAGCAGAAATCTTCAAATCTAGCAGTAAGAATGAACTAAACAAATTAAACCTATGAACAGCGATTTATCTTAAAGGGGAAAAAATTAATGTTGGAATGGTTTGTTGACAGTGTTAGGAGTTCTCAGGCAGAAATAAGATGAGGTAGCATACTGGATGAGCTATACCAGAAGAATAGTATGGAGGTTGTTATGGTTCAAAGGTAATGAAGTGAATTTTTCCAGTATCCAAAGGCCAGGATAGCTTTCTGGAGCCATGCCAAGGCCTTATGGGCTTCTGTATATTAGGAAGTACACCAAAAATAATTGCCTTGAAGCAGCTTTCCCCAAATATATTTTTAGATGAGAACTACTTTTGTTGAGAGAACCAAAATGGTTTGTTTTACTAAAACAGCTTCATCCCGACATTTGGGAAGGGGTGTTAGAAGTGTGTCTACTTATACCCTCTGGAATAGGGGAAGAGAGGAACTCTATAAAATCCATGGCAAGAGCTATTGTATTTGGTCTTGGGCTTAAGAGAAGGATTTGAGATGTCATTCACCCATGTGGTTTTGAAGATCCCAAAGGCATTGCTTGCCCTACTCAAAGAACCAATAGGGTCACAGATAAAGGGAGTATAAGCTTTATTTTGCTCTTTTATATTCTTCATCATTATCTTCAATAAAGTGTGCATTATCCACGACACTAGTGTCTTTGTTTAATCCTGAATATCCTTGAATCTGAAATGGAGTGCCTTGGTTGGATGAGGCCTCTAGAGATCACTGCAGGGAGGTGCATTGTGTATTTGGAGATGAACAATACATCAGCGATAGAAGCAAGGGCTTGGGGACCATAGAGCAGGGTGTGAAGGAATGCCAGTTCTCAACCACCAGAACCACTATTTACACCTTTTTTTGTATCCAGTTATTTGGAAGACACTACATGCATCTTTCAAAACTTTTTGCCATCATTACGAAGCCATAAATGGGAATGTCAGGATTCTACACATGGCAGATGCTTAAAGCTACCGACAAGAAAAAATTATCCTGTATGACAACAGGGAAAGAGTTGGCTGGAGAGCTGCATTACTTGGCTGCTTCTAGCATGAGCCTAGCAGGACCCTTACACACTTTTCCTTCAAACATGAAACACACACATATTGCCCCCTCTCCAAACACACCCACACAATCAGCCTCCCCAACTATGTAGCCCTTGCTCTTTCCATCTTATCTCCCCAAACAAGAAAGTTATTTCTTTGACTCCTGGACAGTGCAGCTTGCTGGCTTGGCAGCGTTCCTAGCCTACTTTAGGAACAGCCTAGATGTCACCCAGCTTACCTACTCAGAGACAACGGGGTGAGGACTGCATGGAGGGGGAATAAAGCTTACCTTGCTCTGCTGCTCGCTGCCATGTTTCAAAGAGTGTGGCAAGGCGGGCACAATTGTACATCACAAAGGCTCCACTTTTGGTCCCCTTGGTAGAAATGCTAGTATCCTCCACATCCAGAAGAACCTGAGCAGGGGGAATCAACTCTGCTGGGAGAGGACACTATTTTGCCCTATTTCAAAGAATGCCCTATTATTTCCGCTAAAGAAAGCAAAGAGCTCATCTCTGAAGAATGAAAGCTCAAAAGCACAGAGGCAGCACCCACCCCAACTTTCCAGAAAGTGTGGCCATTTCCAGACCAACCCAGAATTGCTTGTGGAAAAGGACATTCTGAGATCCCATATACATAATGGCTAATTCTATTCCTTTATTTGTAACCCTTTCTTCTTCACTGCCTGCCACATCCAGAGGTCTGCAGTAGTTGCTAAAACCGCTGTCAGCTAAAAGCAGACAGGGTTGTGATGACAGCTCTTGTCCACTGTCCCCACGCCTGCGCTTTTATTGACCTGTACAAAAGGTCCTGTGCTTCTTTAGCTGGCATTTCCATCAGTTATTCCTGGAATGTTACACCAGTTATCATTCCTTCTGTTTACATCCCATGTTTCATGCTCCTCCGATTAGTCAGCAGTTGGAATGTGCATGGACAGAGCCATACATACTACTGTCCCACTGTCTATAAATCCTCCAATCTAGTCCATTGCCCACAAATTCTAGATTCAGAATAAATGCTATAAATATACATACATGTCCATAAAAGACACTGTCACCATAACACTGTTCATGTTTCTTACACGTGATATGCTGGCATGAACAGTTTTAGCTAGTGTAAGCAAAAACCTGAGTCAATGTCATCTCAGTTAATGACTGCATTCTGGGCTGGACTGCACGCAGTCAAAATCCAGCCCACACTTCCTTTTGAGCAACTGCTGACAGGAGGCACCTCAGAAAGATGCCTCTGCTTACCTGGTTCTGACAGGCTGTGCTGAGCATCTCAAATCGAATGGCAGCTGATGTCAAGACACTGACTGTTTCAGACCAGGTATCATCTGCTGGAAGGAAGTCAGATTTTAAAAGGCCTAGAATTGGATATCAAGATTCCTGTACCTTTCAGGGAAGGGGCCATGAAGTTCTAATAGGAAATATGTCCCTCCCTCTCAAAACAGTGAAGAGACTAGAAGACTCAAAGAGACTCCCAATGCCATCTGCTAAGCAACTGGGTAGCATATGGAAGCAAATAACAAACCCAGAATATAGCTTTGCTTGCCAACAAAACTAAGCAAAAGGACACATTACCACTCACCAAGATAGCATTGCCAATTGTAAAAAGTATCTAAGCTTTCAGAAAGAGGCAGAGCAAAAAAGGCACTGAAACAACTTCCAGCAACTGATAGTGGAAACGATTACCCTGAGAGAGGTCTCCATACTTCAGCACTGAAGCCTCATACATCTGGGAATGTCGCAGCCTGTAAGAAAAAGGCAAGAAAGGACCATTTAACATGTTCTGCCTCATGCCTATATAATACCACTGGTGCTAAACCAAATATATTTGAAGGGCATGTTTTGAGTACCAGTTCGGCCTGTCTCTCTGTTTCTGAGGACATTATCAGCTAGTCCCGTGTTTGCAACCTGATGACTGGACCCAGAGCGCACACAGGCTCTGGAAACAAAGCTGTGTCTCCCAAGGCAGAGGTGGATGTTGGCACAACACAATAAACGAGTTGCGTGTCAAGTGCAGTCATAATGTAGTAATCAGCATTCATGAGGAGCCACTGTCTCATGTAAAGGCGGGCAGGAGTGTTCTCACCAGCTCTCCTTGCAGAAGGGAAACTGGGGGAGAAGGGTAACTTACTGGAAGTACTGAGGAACACTCATAGGAGACACAGCACGGGCGATTCTCACAGGCCCACAGACAAGGTGTTTCTACGGAACAATGAGATACAGAGCAGTCATCACGGCAAGCAATCTTCCAACATGGCTTGCTTTACATAAAGTGTCCATCTGCTTTGGAAAAAGGGTGGCCGCATATGAAACCATAGAAATGCATGTCCTAGAAACAGGCACTGCAAGTAAGGGATCCTACCAAAGCCTTTACTAACCTGGCCGGTTTGCTCAGAGGAAACAAGCAATAATAGTAACATGGTGGGGATGGATGGGAGATGCTTGCAAGAAATTAAGCAGAAAGAGACATTCGTTGATTTTGGAGGAAATCATTTCACTGCAGAGACATCATATTTTCATGAAACTGGGACTCTTCTGTGACAGAGTTTGCTAAAATTAAAGGGGAGATTAGAAATGGAGGGACAGTGGGGCTCTGGAAGAGATGGCAGAAGAGCAGCACAGGAAGGGAACCAAATCAGGACAGGCAAGCTCCACATACACCTTCTGATTACCATGAAAGCATCTTCAATCCACGGATGGGTTTCTGAACCTTCCTTAGGCAATGGGTCCTAAGCAGTGGAGCCAGAAAAAGTAGAAACTTGGCACATCAGTTAATTTCCACACTCGGGGTGCTGCATCCTGCTTGTGGAGATTCCCATGCTTGCGGGCTGTGCGCATGGGCCCACTGAATACAGGAAATTTGTCAGTGTGTTCGCTCTGGTCTCCCTTTACCCACGTTCTTTCCCTTTGCCCCAAGAGGCTTCTGGGATGCTGCAATCTTCTCCTCCCCCACTCGCAGCTTACACTTTTAACAAGAGTGGCAGGACTCTGTCTGTGGAAGAGGCTAATGAGGACACATGGGAAAGGGTGGTTTTTGCTGGGGAGTGACGAAGCACGGCATTCTTTCTTTAAGCCAGCCAAACGCAACTTGAAACCCTTTCTGCCAAGCTTTTCCAAGCTGGTGGCCTCCAGGTGTCCTGGCCTACAGCTCCCATCATCTCAGCCAGCATGGTTTGGAGGACATCGAAATCAGGAAGGCTGCTTTGTTGATGCTGGTTTTTTTAATCTTTTTGAACCTCCAAAAACCACCCCAAAACTTTTCGTACGGGGAAGATAAAAACAAAACGGACAGATCTGTACACATCCTCCCACCAAAGAGTCATTACTCACCTGTGGAGCTGCAAGAGCCTGCGGGGCTACCAACCGCCACAGCAAGTCCACCTTCTGCTGCTGGAAGGCCTCCTCATTGCTCACCACATGCACCACACTGCAGCGTCTTCCTGGTTCTGCCGCCTGCAGGAGAGCAACAGCTTAGGGCAAGAACGGGCATTTTGTCCAACCCACTAGAGACTGAAGCTTCTACTCACCATGCACTGCAGGACCAAACGCTGCAGCTCGGCCACATGATGCAATTTCTCCTCTGTCACTGGAATGGAAGAAGAAATTACTAGAACATCCAGTCTCTGTTCACTATTTACGGGTCTCTGGTGCTGGGGCCCTGGTTTCCTATGGACGTCCCCTGCTAAAGTACAGCCAAGTAGAAGTGCCCTACTCTGCAAACCCAGCTATAACCTTTTCCCTGATATAACACCTAACTGATCGCTGCAGACCTGGAATAGCATTTGAAAAAGGCTTTCTTCTATGCTGGCCCCAAACAATGGAATGTGTTCCCTCAGGAATTATGACCCCAATCTTTTGGCCTTTAAGAAGGGACCGACTATGCATCTTTTCAATTTAGCATTTTTAAAATAATGCAGTTTGACTGTTTTAGGGCATAAACCTATGTCTGGTAAACACTGGCTGGGTTCACACATCATAACAAGCATGTCTTCCACAGTGTGTGTGTTTTTGTCTGAATGTGCTTGACAGATCATCCCAGTGGCTTCTACAGTAGTGTGACTCCCACCCTCCTCACTCAGTCCTCCCACTGTCAGCACAGATGCCTATCAGCTACCGTGCATGAAACTCTTTCCAGGGGACTCTATGGCAGCTACACACCAGAACCACAGAAACCACCGAGGAGGAGGCTTCCAATGCTAAGTGCTACTTCCATTATCAGAGGCAGGATGCCTGCATATACCAGTTAATGAGGAACCTGGGCAAGTAGAACTCTTATTTATTTATTACAAGCATTGATATCCTGTCCTTCCAACACATGCTCAGGATGGCTTTTATACCCTTCCTGCTTGAGGGAGCCTGTGGTCAGCTGCTTTGCCACCCTCTGAATGGAGTACTGGACTGGATGGACCATTAGTTTTATCTAGCTTGGCTTTTCTTATGTTCTAAAATCATGATGCCAGATTTAGACCACCAGAGAAACCATGGTAAAGTATGGAAACCGTAGTACAGACAGTTATTGTGGTTTCTCCAAACCAAACATTCCATGCTGAAATACCACAATGGGGTTCAGATGACACAACGGACCATCCTGTGCAGGAAACCACCTTGGCTTGTTGTGTTGTGCTAACCTGCACACTGTCTGGCTATTCACAGGAGAGCTGGGAAACCTTGCTGTGACCCTCTAAGGGCTCAGCAGGTATTCCATCTTCAAAGGGCCTTTCCTCTGCCCTGGTGGCCAGCCTACTGCTCCAAAGACAGAAAGCCATTTTCAGAACAGGCACTAGGGGAAATGACGGGCGGGGGGTGGGGGGGACAGAACAAGAATCACCACAGCCACTCTTCTTTGCGAGCAGGGGCACAACATTTAAATGCCCAACATCACCTCCCTAACTGTTTTGGAGGGTGAGGAGAGTGCAAAGGCAAGCTTGGCCTCCATGCTCCTCCTGCACTCAACTGGATACCCATCACCACGTGAATTTAGAGGGCAATGGCCAGCTGCACAGGATGATGCTCTTAATGTTTTTACTTTCATTTGTGTCCTTGATATTTAAAAGGTTTTATTGTCTTAAAGTTTTGTACTCTTCCTATCGTTTTGGGAGATCAGGCAATATAGCAGGGCGAAATTATACAAGTAACAGTGTAGAACCTGATGTCAAATCTCTGCCTGGCCATGCACTCGCTGTCTGCAAAGCATCTTCTCAGCCTAACCGCTCCATCTGCAAAAGTAAAGCCTTTGGAGTGACCAGCTTTGCAACACTGTTGTTGTGAGGACTGTTACAGAAATCTTGCTACCTGTCTTAGGGATAAAGCGAATGTTCTATTTCAGTGATAAAAGAAACTGCCCACCAAAAAAGACATCTATGTTAGGGTCATAGCCCTCCAGACCCTCCTGCTGTTGCTTCTGCAAGAAGCCTTTCAAGTGCAGTTTACACACGACTCCATCCTGATCCGTTTGAGCAAATGTGGCATAGGGACACTGGCGAAGGGCTTCCTTCATGGCTAGAACATCCTCAGGTTTTCGGGCGGTTCCCAACACTGAAGGCCACTCAACTTGCAGCTGGCGCAGGAACTGATGGATTTCCTCATCAGCCAAAGCTGGGACCAGGTGGACATCCACCCTGCATGGCAAAAAACATGCTGCATTGGCCATACAATGGCCAGTGAGCAGAAGAAACAGCAGAAGAATTCTCCATATTCTACCCCAAGAACAGCAGTAGGTCAAAGTATGATCCAATAAACTGAGAGCTAGCTTCAGAAGAGGGCCCACAGGTCAGAGGTAGACAAGATACTCTGCACATCTTTCATCACTGGCATCTTCTGCTAAAAGAACCTGAGCAGAAAGCCAATGAGGAGTAGCAGTTAATGCTGAACCAGGATGTGGGAGATTCGGGTTCTAGTGCCCACTCAGTAACGAAGCTTACTGGATGACTTTGCACCAGTCACTCACTCTCAGTCTAATCTACCTCACAGAGATGTCGTGGGAATAACATGGAGAGAAGAGAAAGCGTATGCAACCTGCTGGGGAAAAGGTGGAGTATAGTTGTCATTAAAATAAATAAATTGGCAGGACTCCGAAAGACCCTGACAATGTGATGCCAGGGAACTTCTGCCAGTCAACACTGTACTAATACTGAATCTAATTCAGTATAAGGCGGCTGTGTTTAGTCAGATTAAAATCTCAGTTTCACCAGACCCTTCTCAAAAGGCCTTGCAAAAACCTCCAGCTCTTAGCATCAGTTTTCTATCAAAGTTTTCTTAGCACACAGTTGTAGAACTTTTTTTTACAGTAAAGTATTAATTTAATAATTTGCAGAAATCAGTACCTTGAAAATGTTTTAAAAGGCAAGTTTCTAGGGTTTTTTGGATGGATTAGGTTGAAAGTGCCAGGCAGCACAAGGTGAATTTTCAAAAGTCAGCAGGGAAGGAAAGAGGCCTATTAGGAGTTTCACAGGTCATGGGAAAGGACTTCAGTGCCCTGCATAGCAAGTTACTCCCTATGATAAGCAGAAATTTTTCTATAAAACAAGCAAATATGCAATGTTATTTAATCTGAATAAAGTACATAGGTTGCAAAATGCAGGTGTTCCAAAACCATCTTACTCTTTAAGATCTAGAGGCTAAACAAATGTGAAACCCCTGCTCTGTAATCAATGGACATCCAGTCAAAAATCATTGCATGTGTTTGCCCAACTCGAACTTCTCCCCTCACAACAGCAAGGGTTAAAAGAACCACATGCTTTCTTCAAGGCAGAAGAGAATTTCAGAATTTTGCAGAAGACCCTTGAATTGATGGTGCTGCTCTCTATACTAAGGCCACAGGTATGTAAGTGGCCTAGAACTGTGGAGAGCATGAATTAATGCTGGAATCCAACATAATATGAATTTGATAGACACACAACTGTATGTTGAAGCTGATTTAAATAAACAAAGCAAATAAACTATGTTTCAAGATATCCAGGTTTAAAGCAATTGACAATAAGAAAGGTTCCATCCACTAACCCTTGTGCTTGCAGCATGCCCATGAGATGGTCAGTGACCAGGATGGCTCTCAGTTGACTCAGGATGAGCGAGTTCAGGCCTTTGTGCCCATGGAGGGGAACACAGTTGAGGAGGATGCTCTGCCCATGGGCAATCTGAGGTGATTTCACATACATGTGAATGCCTTTCAAGATCTGCTCAAAGACAGCAGGTCTGTTCAACTGCACAGTAAGTCCAGCAGGGTCCTTTTGGCAGCTCTGGATGGGTGGCACTCCTGGGCATTTGAGTGAGCACACGCGGTCAATAATGCCATTGGGAACCTATTACAACAGAGGACAGAAGGGACGGTAGTGTTGGCTTCTTCCTGATGCTGGCCATTCAGAACCAAAAACACAGCTATTTGCCAAGGAATAGGAAGGAATAAAGGCAACTTAAGATTTAAGTGACCCTCACGTGGGCTACTAAAGCTAAGGCGCTATAGATAAGAAATGGAAGCTTCGTCACTACTATTAAAAACTGGACCACTGCTTTGGAGAAGTTGATAGTCCTATCAGCCAAGGTGCTGAAGAAATCAATTGCACTCATGCTATAAGATATCCTGGAAGAGGCACAGATGAATTTCTGTCCTCATTTCTGTTGCATGACATCCTCCATTGGTGTGTTATTCATTCAATGTTCTTCAAACAGTTGAATCTCTGTAGGCTTAGTTTTAGTACTCCTGTGTAACTATGAGACCTACTGACAATTAAATCTTTCTGCTTCCCCTCCACACTTTGCAAAGGGATGGGGAATGTGTGGCCTTACAGATATTACTGACTACATATTTCATCACCCTGCTGGTGAAAGATGAGTTGCAGTTCAACAGCATCTGTAGGCTGTTCCCCATCCCTACATTGGTGTATGCCCCACCAAGTTCAATAGGAATTTATTTAGAGTCACTATTTGTGGATCAGAGGCTGTTTCACCCAGGAGAGGTATTAAGTTAGCATAACAAAGCTAGGGAGATTCTGAATTATTCTGCATTCTATAGCTGCCCACTCTGGCAGTTAATTATATATCTTTAAATACCTAAAATTCCACTTTTTCTGTTGTGCCCTTTGCCTTCTCTTATTCCACATTCCCAGCATTAACCAAGTTTTAACCATGTCAAATGGCATTTCCCACTCTTCCCTCCCTGCCTTAGTCAACTGCCCCCTCTGGCATGTCTTCAAAAATTGTAATCTCTTTGGAAGCAGTGACTTATTTGCATAATGCTATATGGCACCATGGACCTGGTGCCCTGAAAATAAATAATGAGCCATAGTGATGTATCTGGCAAAACTAGGCACTAGTCCACAGAAGCCACAATACATCTGTAAGGTTTTAAGGCAGCCTTTAGCTTAAAGGCCAAATTTAATTTTAGGGAAACTCTTGGGGACTACATGCGAGTGCATGATAGAAGGCAAAATATCAGTCTACAGTATTTTAGCTTCAATTTCATTGTCAGTAGCTAAGCCTTAGGAAAAGCATCTCAACCTTCTGCAGAAACTGCAAAAAAAAAAAAAAAAAAAACTGGAAAACACTAGTGCCTAGGGGAATGAGGTGGGGCATGGCACTCTATGGACCGCCCCCGTCCCGTCAGCTTTTGGCCCTAGGCTTCGGTTCCTACACCTTGCGTAAGTCGTCACACAACCTTCTTTGCCACTTTTGTTAACAGTTCACATCGCTACGACTTCTGAAAAACGTCACTAAATAAGGAGCATGCAGCAACTATACATCCCAAGGTAACACCTGATTACTGCAGGTGGGTGAATGAATTTTAACGCAGCTTCAATGCCTGACTTTCAGCCTTGATTTTGTCCATTAACGCTACGGAGGAAGCACCAGGGAGGTAATGCGTTTCCTTCCCCTAGAAATGGCCTTTCAATGCACCGCCCCCTTGCGCTCCGGCCACTCCCCTACCTGTCCGTCTGCGAACATGGCCCTGAGGGCAGCTTGGGGGGCCAGGAAGTCTCGGCCACGCAAGTTCCGGGCGCTGCTCTCTTTGAACCAGACTGACCCGCGAGCTCCGTCTCCGGCCTGTTCTCGGAGCAGAGCATTAAGCGCCTCCAGAGTCGCCGACACGGACAGCCGGGAGTCGACTGTCTCCATAGCAACTGCCCAGCGCTTGCACACGCCAAAACCCCGTCCCAGAGGAGGGACTTACGCAATTTCCTTTCGCAGGATGTGACATCAAAAGGAAAACGATAGAGTAATAACAGAGTGCCTTTTCGTGGCGGGAAACCGCTGACGGTCGTCTCGAGGAAGCGACAGGCGCCATCTTAGGTGTGGCACTTTCACCAGTGGAGGGACTCCATTTCTGGACTGGGCTACCCTTGGCTGCCGTCCTCTAGAGGTGTTTGGACTATAACTCCCATCACTACCAGCCAGTAGGGCAAATGACCCTACTAGATCGGAATGATAGGAGTTGTAGTCCAAGACAACTAAGCTAGGGAATTCCAGAAAAACACCTACTTCTGCTTCATTGACTATGCTAAAGCCTTTGATTGTGTGGATCACAACAAATTGTGGCAAGTTCTTAAAGCGTTGGGAGTACCAGACCATCTTATTCGTCTCTTGAGAAACCTATATGCGGGTCAAGAAGCAACAGTGAGAACTGGACATGGAACCACTGATTGGTTCAAAATTGAGAAAGGAGTTCAGCAAGGCTGTATACTATCGCCCTGACTATTTAACTTATATGCAGAGCACATCATGAGAAAGGTGGGGCTAGATGAATCACCAGTTGGAATTAAGATTGCTGGAGAAATATCAACAACCTCAGCTATGCAGATAATACCAGTCTAATGGCAGAAAGTGATCTAAAGAGTCTCTTGATGCGGGTGAAGGAGGAGAGTGTAAAAGTTGGCTTGAAACTCAACATTAAGAAAACTAAGATCATGGCACCCGGTCCTCTCACTTCCTGGCAAATTGATGGGGAAGAAATGGAGGTAGTGACGGATTTTATTTTCCTGGGCTCCAAGATCACCATAGACTGCAGCCAAGAAATTAAAAGACGCTTGCTCCTGGGGAGGAAAGCGATGGCAAAACTAGACAGCATACTAAAACGCAGAGACATCACCCTGCCAACAAAAGTGCGTATAGTCAAGGCTATGGTTTTCCCAGTCGCAATGTATGGCTGTGAAAGCTGGACCGTAAGGAAGACTGAGCACCAAAGGATTGAGGCCTTTGAATTGTGGTGCTGGAGGAGACTCCAGAGAGTCCCTTGGATTGCAAGGCGATCAAACTGGTTAGTCCTAGAGGAGATCAACCCTGACTGCTCTTTAGAAGGCCAGATACTGAAGATGAAACTCAAATACTTTGGCCACCTAATGAGAAGGAAGGACTTTCTGGAGAAGAGCCTAATGCTGGGAACAATAGATGGCAAAAGAAGAAGGGGACAGCAGAGGATGAGGTGGCTGGAGTCACTGAAGCAGTCGGTGTGAGCTTAGGTGGACTCCGGGGGATGGTGGAGGACAGGAAGGCCTGGAGGAGTTGTCCATGGGGTCGCATTGGGTCGGACACGACTTCACGACTAACAACAACAATGCTAACATAGTCCTCCTGTCCATTTTATACACAGGTTATTAACTAACCTGTAATACAGAATTGTAAAGATAAAACATGCATAAGATTGTGCCCTATCTTTGGATACAAGAAACAATTTATGGCATGTTTTTGTGGACTACAGAGCACTTTATTTATAACACCTCATTTTCCTTCCAAGGAACCCTAAGTTCTATTTTTAAAAATGTGATTGAGTAGAGAGGATAATGATTACTGACCTATAGCAATTTTTTTCTTTTTGTACTTGATGTTCTGTGTAGTATTTGTTTGAGATCCTTGATGTTTCTCTTATTATTTTCTCTCTCCCTCACTACCTCAAGCTTTACTGTTGTTAAAAAAAATTAAAAATGAAAACAAAGTGGAGAGGGAGAATTTTTTCTCCTTTTCACATACACTCAAACCAGGAGTCATTCCATGAACCTGAGTGGTAGAAGGTTTCAGATAGTTAAAAAGAAGTACTTCTCTCCACAATGTATAGCTAAACTATGGGATTTGCTGCCGTGGGAAGTGGTGGTGGCCACCAATCTGGATGGCTTTCAACATGGATTGGGCAGATTCATGAGGGAGGAGGCTATCAGTGGCTACTAGCCTTGCTGGCTATGTGCTTCCTCCTTTACCAGAGGTGGCATGCGGAGGAGTTTGGGCAGGTGGAGGCCTTGCACCCATCCTGCCTGAGGGATCCTGTGTGCAGCTGGCTTGCCATTGTGTGTACAGCGTGCTGGACCAGACAGACCTTTGGTCTGATCCAGCAGGGCTTTTCTTATGTTCTTTATAACCCTGTTAACATCCCCAAATCAGTGATGGTGTGTTTGTTGTGGGACTTTCCCACTGAAACTCAGTCAAATGCTACAGGCTGTTGCCTTTTGATTCATAGCACAGGAAGCACAAACAATGGAAACCGTTTGAAACAAACCAGAAGCAGAAGTGAAACATGTAAAGGCTTCTCCCCGTATCTACCCATGAGAAATGCAAACACATAAATTATATTTTAATAACATTTTTTCTTTGGCACTCCTGGTATCAAAACCTGCATTGTGTTATAAAGATTATGGCTGCTTGGCCAGGTCATTGTTAGGCTGCTTGGTAGTACAGCCTGGGTCAGAAGAGCCTCTGCCTGTCTCAACAGCTACAGAAAAAAATCAAGTGCAAACTCTTCCACTGTTTTTGTCAGCCTGACTAGTTTCCCACCTCTGCCCTATGGAGACAGAGACACGTTAAGCAAGAAGGTCCACCCACATTGTGCAGTGAACCATTGTGTAGCCGGAAACTCATAGTGGCCAGAGCAAGGTAGCCCCACCTACCGTAAATATAAACCCTAACCCGCATAGAAAGGTGTGCTGCAGAGGCAGAGCTACAGATGGGCAAACACGAAGGGATACCACATCCATAATCCTGATGTAACGAACAGTCAGAGAATGTGTTCCAGGGACCTGGGGCTCACATGCTCCCCACACCCCTCTCTTCTAGTTTATGCACACATCCACATGCATGCATGTGCGTTTGCACGTGCTCAGGACACACGTGTAAATGTTTTCATGTATACACAGAGTTTGGGATTGCTGTGAAAGGGAAGAAGCTGCCATGAAGAGTATGAAATACAGCTGTCCTGTGGAAAGGCTTTAACAGCAGTTGGGTAGCAAAGCAAAATATTAGTCTGCCCTGCATGTGCTTGCTTGCAGAAAGTCCATCCCAAGGGGATTGGGCCAAGGCATGTTCATAAGGAGAATTCCTGGAGGTAAGCACTGCATTGGGTTCAACAAACCACTCTGTGCATGCTCAGAGATCCATTTTGGTTGATTTGTACTTGGGAGCAATAAAGTAAGTTTTGCAAGGAAAACAGTCTGAGGTTTCTGACTTTTCAAAGAAGGAACCCTGCTCACAAATGTAGCAGAGATTACTTGGTCTATTATGCTCCACATCACTTTCAACTTTGTCTTGAAAAGGAAGGAGATGCAGATCACAGCTACTTTTTCTTCCCCAGTTACAGTTTATCAACCACACAGGGGAAGGAAGATTAGATTATACCACAGAAGGCCCTCCGTGATCTAAACAGCCATCTTTCTCCCTCTTTCACTCCTGCGTTGTTCTGGCTACGTGGGACTTCCCTTTGCTTTGCTTCTTTTTAACCTTGCATGCAAAATTAATTTTCACAGGGAATATGTATTTATTTACTTACTTAAAATGATCCTCCAAACCCAGCAACAAACAAGCCCCGTCCTAAAGGAGATTGCTTCTGGTCCACATGCCACTATATGAAGAATACAAGCATAGTGGACAAGAGAGCTTATTTTGACAACACGAAACCCAATGATATGTAAAGTGTAATATGTAAATCATTCCTAATCAACTGTAAATATATCTGTTTCCCAAGGAATGAAGCTACAGCCATTTCTTTACCAGGCCCTGATTAACATATTGCCACTTGCCAGGGAAGAGATTAAATTGCTTCAAAAGCTGTGTTGACTGACATCTTCCACTTTGACATCCATCTCTGAGTTAGCAACTTGGTGCTGCCAGGCTATATTAGACTGCAGTTCCCAACATTTCTAGCCAGCATATCCAAAGGATGAGAATGCTGGGAGCTGCAACACATTCTTGTCTGGAGGGGTCTGGGCTGAGGAAGACAGAACCAAGCTATCCAAAAGTTGGTCTGCGAGCTCCAGAAGGTCATCTCCTTTGAGATAAGGCAGGAACAGCTTGTAGGTGTCCCCGCTAGCCAGGTGACCACAGACCCACCAAACCAAGCGTCAGTGAGGTTCAGTCAGGCGGAGATTCGTTCAGTTTCTTTATTCAGCTGGACTGGATGTCAGCTCCGTACATGCAGGCAGGAAGCGACACACACTCGGTCCTCCCACTGACCCTCCTTATACGTTGCTTTCTTCCATTCAGTCTCACCCCATTGTTCCTTCACCCGATCCCCCCGCGGGTCTGCATGTCCACTGCATGCCTGGCCTCGTGCAGGCGCTTATCTACGTCCAATCCCCTCACAGGGGCTGCGTGATGGATCGCTACCTGCCAGACCTTGCCCAGGGGATCTTCTTCACTCACTATTCCTTGTCTGGCTGACTGAGCAGGGAGGTGGAAGGATGGGTATTTTGTTTCTGATGGTATTGCTATTGTCGGTTATTTTGGAAAAAGTTCTAGCTGGAGCAGTGTTGTGTATTATGAACCATGGGGCATGGATGCCGTATTGTAAGCGGTAATTTAGGCAGGGAAAAATCGTCAACCTGGTGGCCTTTGCATTCAACATGGGTACTTACCAGGGCAATTGTTCCCAGATGCTGTCAGTAAATCCTTATAGGTGGTGTTGAGAAGAAACAATCGTAAGGGCAGGGGAGTGGCCATGGGCCCCCCAAAGGCGTAATCACTTTGAACACCAGCTCCACCAGCAACGCACTGGCCGTGCCCTTACTTCCCTGGAAGTATGCTGGCACCTAGTGTATGCTGTCATTCAAGGATTGACTGCCGTCCCCCAACTGGCTGCCCCCCCCGGACCAATCCCACTCTCATGTGGGCCTCCAGTCCTCCGGCCAGAGAACCCCCATGGGCAGCCCCACACCCTTCAGAGCCTCCCCCGGGGGTGGTCAGGAAGGTGCCGATTCTTGAAAGCCTCCCAGCCACGAGCAAAATGAGCGATAACATCCATGGAAAGGAGCGACTACTCACCCTGCTTGAGCATCACTACAGATGGGAATAAGATCACCCAGACTCTTGTTTATCATAGTGCCTATCCTTGTAAAGGAACATCCGGGACGTGTCATCATGGGAATACTACCTACCAAACCTGTACACAAAACAATCGAGTTGTCTGCCACACACCCATGGGGGCCTCAACGTTCAGGAACTGTCCGACTCCCACGTAGCAGTAATCCAAATGCGTGTCCTCGTCTCCGGAAATTGCACTGGGACATGCATCGTCCTCCAGTCATCCTCCTCTACTTCTTGGATTTTCTTGGGGACAAAAGGTTAGGACAAAAGTGGTCAGGGCCCTTGGAAGAACTTGCCTTAGAGGAGGGGTTGGGAGCACTGGATAGAGGAGCCGAGGGGAGGCCCCTGGGCTGGCGCGAGAGCGCCAAAGGATTTGCAAGAGAAAGGCCGGAAGTGCCGGGCGGAAGGTTCTTCCGGGCACAAAGACCAGGCTGATCACTCAGGTTTAGGAAAATAATCATGTATGGCCATTCCGGGTCTTTGTGGTTAAGATGAATATAATCTGCCAGGTAGTTAATTCGTTCATCAAGGGTCCCTTCTGGCAGCCACCAGGGCTGGAGTGGCCCAAGAAAGTAAGTGGGCCAAACTACCAAACACAGGTTTGTGCAACACCAGTTCAACAAAGGATTTCTTTTGTGTGCATTTTTGCATTGGTTGGATTGATTTCAGCAACCCAAACATTTTCTTCTTGAGACTGTGCTAAAAAGACTCAAAAAAAGGACATAGACTTTACACTTTATGTTGTGAGCCGCCCCGAGGCTTCATTGAATGGGGCGGGATAGAAATGTTTTAATAAATAGATAATAAATAAATAAATAAATAAATAAATAAGCTCATGAGTTGGCGCTTTTTCAATTTTTCACCAGATGGCGCCAACTGCTTGAAATTATCCAAAGCACATTGGAGGGGGGTATATGGGGGATTTTTCCCTAACAAACTATTCTGGTTACCCATAGGGACAGCCTCAGGGGTTTCTTGCCTCTATCCGCTCAAACAAACCTCTCTCGGTGAGCATAGAGTCAGGGCCGGCCTGTCGCTCCCCGTTCGAACGGCTGTCCCAAACCTGAACCCGATATTCCCCAGATACAGAAAATATTCTCATGTTCTGCAGACACACACATACTTTTGCTGGAAACCATTCTGGCCATTCCCCTCGCGGGGAGACAGAACCACGTACTCACTCGTCCGTGTGGACTTCTCTTGTATTCCCCGAGACATACACACAACCCGCCCCACATTTCCCAGAACCAAATATACTCACGCCAGAGTATCCAGAAGACTGAACCATAACCAGAAGTCCCTCAGCGAATCTCCAAAGGCATTGGGCTCGAACTGACCGGTGTCTGCCGCAGCCAGCCCGGCCGAGGCCTCTCAACCGAAGGAGTGTTGGAGCGCGCTTGAGGCCTCTCACCCCGTTGTTCTTTCACCCAAGCCCCTCGCAGGGTCTGCATGACCCTTCACCCGATGCCCCCGCGGGGTCTGCATGCCCGCTGCATGCCTGGCCTTGTGCAGGCGCTTATCTATGTCCAATCCCCTCACAGGGGCTGCGTGATTGATCGCTACCTGCCAGACCTCACATAGGGGGTCTTCTTCACTCACCACTTCCTCCTCTCCCTTTATCAACCTTCTTTTTCCTTTTCTTTCCCTCTCTGCCCCAAGCGGCTCTTACAAAAGCTAATCAGGTTCCTTCAAGCTCACAAATGGTTCTTTGGCCTGCCTGTGGTGTGCCCTGTTTGTGACACCTCCTTACTTGCCCTGCCTGGTTAGCTGCTTCCTCCCCTTTGCAGTACTTTTAACATTTATTTAGTGCCACCTCCTTTAATATTATATACAAACTCACTGTAAATATGTACAAATTCTCTAGTACCATGCCTGATGCTGCCCTGTAACAATTAGCTCTCACTGGAGAGTGGGATTGGAAACAATGGGTGGAAATTGAGGAGAAGCTGAATTCAGCTAAATATTAGGACAATCTTCCTAATTATATGAACTGTTTGAGAGAGGAATAGATTGACCTGGGAGCTGGTGGGTTCTCCTTTGCTGGAGGTATTTAAGCATAGGCTATTTCTATGAAAAATGTACCTGAAAATTCTATTCATCTTTCAAAAGGTACTGCTTGTACCCCTATCCTTTAGATGGTTTTTCATCTGGATTTTATAAACCATAAGGCCCATTTTGGGGAAACAGAGGAGACATAAAGTACATGCACAGTTCCATCCAAGCATTTGAACACTACCAAATGTAGCCTCTCAAGAATGTCAGCTTAAATTCATTCATTTTATTTCATGTTTAATCTCTAGATACACAGTGATAGTCTTTAAAGTTTGTGGGCAATGCTAAGGAAAAGATCATTTCCAAACGGAGAGGAAATTCTGTAGGTTTTCCTGAGTTTAGGGAGAGGATCTCTGTCCTATGAATTTCTCCTTCCTGGAATTAGCAGAAGCAAACTACATTCCAACTCGGGAACCACGCCGCACAAATGAATCTACAGAATTGACACAGGTCAGAGATTTCAGCTTTTCTTGGTGGTGTTACGCTCTTGGTTTCATCTAGCACAGAGCATGCACTTTGCATCCTCTCAGGCGTTTGCTTCCCCTTCTTCAAGGAGTGATAAACGAGGGGACAGAAGCTGGGGGCAAAAGGGACCAGCACTCACTGCACCACCCACAGCCAAGAGGTGATCTGAGAATTCTTGCTCACGCCAGACCAACTACTGACTGTCAGCAGTAGCAGGAGAGCCCTTGGGTTGCCTTCGCCCTTCCTGGCACACCCAGAGAAATGAGCTACTCAGCTACTCGCACCCAACCTTGGGGGGAAATGATAGCTGGGAAAATGACACCAGCAGCACACAGGCCTGGCCTATTGTGCGAATGCCACCTGGGACCTGGTGTAGACAGAAAAGCTGCTCATGTTCTCACCTTTTGTAATTTGAAGGGCTTAGTCTCATGTTAGATTGTTGAAATAGGTTAGATTGTAAAATTATTCCCCTGGGGTATAATTACCAAGTAGCATGGGCACTGGATTATATTGTTGAGGGTTGAGAGCCAAGGCCTATTTATGTCAGAGTCCTGTGCAAGCAGCAACCATAGCAGGGTGTATTTCCTTCTGAATAAACAGGCAAAGGATTTGGCTATTTATCTCCAGCTGGACTCCCACCAGCAAGGAGACACTGACCTGTGACAGAGGACACCTAAGTCACTGGACTTCGAGGGCCCACCTGAGGCAAGGGACAAGAGAGCAAGATGTTGGTGATAGGGCAACATCTTCAACTGCCCCAGAGGGCAGCCAGCTAGCTTGGGGGTACAGGGCAGTCCATGGGGCACCCACCCCTTGCCATTTCTTGCGGCCCCTTTCCACCTCACCCCTAACATCTGCCCTCAGAGGCAGCCCCCTCACTCTGCCTAATGGCAGGGCTGGCCCAGCACATTTTATGCTGCAGCAGGGAGGATCTGCTCAACCCTGCCAACACGGCGCCAAACATGGCTACCCTGGGAGCAACCAACCAAGAGAGATGCGTATTCGTCTTTGTGGGACCATTTCATAGTTTCTCACTCTTTTCTTGGGGGTTGGGTCCAGAGGGCCTCAAAGCAATAGGGAGAGGAGACACACCACTGAGAAGGAAAGCACATGTTGCTTGTGACACGGCCCCATCCCTGCTATCATCAGAGCAAAAGGGTCTTCCTGGCTAGGAATTTGCCAGGAAGAGTTGCAGTCCAACACGCACAAAGGACACTAGATTGGCAAGGACAGCTGATTTACAAGTTTCCCCATGTGATTCAGGCAACATGGAGGATCCATAGATCATTTGAGGAGGTGGGTTTTACCCACCCACACCAACTCAACTTCTGGGAACCAATTCTTTACTTTTAAGAAATATAGTTTTTATTAGCAAACAAAAATAAAGATTACACAGTCATTTCCTTTCTGGCCTGTAAGCCCAGCCAACAAGGAAAAATCTTGGACACGTGTATGAATATTTTATGCATATTTGTGTTAAGTATGTTGCTTTTTAATTTAATGTGTTTATCATTTTAACATGCTAATTAAATATTGATAAAAGATCTTGGCTGAGGATGCTTCCAGACGGAGGATTCTTAACACTCCCAATGGCATTGTCCAGCTATTCTGTCTTTTCTTCAATTTATTTTTTCCAGGTTAAAAAAAGTCAGACATGTTGGAAAAACACAGAAGGGTTTTGAAGAGGGATTTACTCAGACCTCCTGTAAAATTCTATAAATGAAACAGTGCAATTGCACAATACAAATAATGCTTAGAGGTATCATCGCTACAATAACATGACATTCATTTGGCTTTTTCTTTTCTCTCACACTGTTACTGTTCATATAGCATCTCACAAATATACTTCCTACGAGGCATCACAGATGAAGACACAAAACGGCCTTCAAGCTGCTTAGAGCAGGTTCAATGTAACAGAAACACAAGCATTCACTTTTTCCTTAGGGTCTTAAAATTAATTTTCTAGGAAGCATCCACCCTTGGGGTTTCATGATCTCTTCCACAGTTACTCTGTGCTGGGACAGACCACAAAATGAAAGAGATTACGCTGAGAACAGGGACATGACTGGCATTGCCAGCTTAGTCCAAGGCATTATATGCATTAATTAAAACAGGCTGGTCATAATCCAATAGTTGCCCTTCAGTTGCATTTCATGACCCATCAGGATCTTTGAAAGGGCTTTGGACAGACACGACATCCCCGTGGCCGTGTGTCTGCTCGCTCAGCGGGAGTGATCGTGTCATTCCAAAGCAATCTCGTTCCCGGAGCCTCCCTGGGCAGGTGAGCCTTTAGGTACCAATGCTCCCTGCGTGCGTTTGTGCACCTTGCCTCTTCATTTCTGTTGCGCACAGGATTTTGTGACTAGTCTCCATTCCACAGAAAAGAAAATAATGTCTTAAGGAAGCATGTTCAGCATAAGGGTACTCCCTTAAAATCACCCCGGATCCACTGCAAGGAATGTCTTCCGCAACTTGACTACGTCCAGCCTGTCACCCATTCAGGAAGATCCCCTGCTTGCATGGCACCATCCTTTTTAGAACACCCACAGTGCAGGGGCTGAGAAAGACACACACACACACACACACACACACACACCCTGGCTCAGTGGATTGTTCAGCAGGACCAAGCTAGGTGATCTTCCACTAAAAGGCAGCTCCTCCACTCTGCCGTATGTGGGTTCAGGCAGCTTCCGGACAGAAATACACTGAACAAGGAGAGCTCACTGCCTCTCACTGGTCAAAAGTGCAACTGGTGGCAGGGTGGTGCCAGTCACTCAGGCGAGTGCCAAATGTTGGGCATACGACCTCAGGTCACTTCAAAAAACAAGTGATCCTGCCCAGCTGCAATTATTTTGGAGATGATCAAGGAAGGGGTGCTATACCATGAAAGTTGTTCTCAACCCTTCTCTACCACAGTATGTTCGAATAAGTGGAACCTGCAACAAAATATCCCCACATCTGAGTAGGAGCCTCATCTGGCCGGGCCACTTTTCCATTTCTCTTTTCCGACCAGCTATCCACATGCTCAGCCCCCAATGAGCAGTTTGTGTTTGTTGGGGGTGAGGGCCCTTATTTTTAGCAGGTGTTTTGCACATCTGAAAACCTGAGGGTTCCTTGAAGCAGGTTAACAGCTCCCTGGTTTCCCAGCGCAGCCTTTTTGCAAGTACTCACCACCTGAGTTCACTCTTAGAGCCGGTTCTGCAGACCTGGCATCCCTAAAGAGTCCAGAGGCATCAAGATGCAGTCAGCAATAAATTGCTGCTGGTGGTGAATATAATATGGGGCACTGGGTTTTAATTTCTTTAACCAGTATTTGGCTTTTCTCAGTGACTCTCTTAAGACCTATTCCCAGGAATCATCTATGCTGTAAGCCAGAGAGAGGAAGTATGAAAAGGAAGTGTTGGTGTTTTGGGCAACAACAAATCCTTGACTACAGCGGTCAGTGATATCGGAGCTCCTTCCCTAACAATGGTGCTGGGAGCAGCAGCTGTCCCAAGGCTACCCCACTGCTGTAGAACATGAGAGAGAACACTTAAGTTCACTTAAGATACAGCACTTAGCAGCCACGTCACACCGTTTTGCAACCAGCAGAGGCAGCCCTGTTGCCTGTGACAGACACTCCAAAATCAATAATTTTATGAGGCCAACTCAACAATACATGTGAAAGCTTTCAAGAACTCCAGATCTCCTCCTCAGGCAAGATATTACAAGAAGCAGGGGTGGAATTGCTGGGGAATGACCCCAGTTGTAGCGTGCAGAATTGCATGGTCAAGTCTGAACACTCCTGGGAATCTGAGACCATGGCAGAACCTTGCAGTTACAGGTCATCTTAAGACATTCTAACAACCAGCCAACTCCCCTTCTAACCTGTGTTTCTGGTGAGATTTGGAGATTTTGAAAGTATGCACATTTTTGGTGATCTTTGCATTGACCTAATAAAAGTACCAAACTCTATGACTGTGGCATTTCACACATTTATTTGCCGTTGGATACATTGCTTCCACCCTCTGTTTTTCAATACAGCAAATACAATAGACTCTCAGTTAACCGGAACTCAAACAACTGGCACTCTCAAGCAACCGGCAAAAAAAAAAAAAAATCAAAGAAAAAATACTTTAAATAAACATTAAAATAAAATCAATTACCAGCGGAAATGTAAGTTTAAGCTTGGGGCACCATGCCAGCACACCATGCCATGAGTATGTCCACATGTTTATCTCCCACCCACCAATTCACCACGTGTAAACATACTCGGTGGAATCTATTGTTATTCAAATATTGCGTTCTCACCCAACCCCAAGTAAGCTTAAATGCACAGTGCTTACCCTCAAGCAGAAGATGGAATATGCAAGAGGCTTGAGAAAGGTGAGCTTAGGGGAATTTAATGTCCATTCCTCAACGATCTACATTAAAGCACAGTCTCAGAAGGCAGTAGGTTGTCTTTATTTTTGTCTTGATTTGCTTTTAATTACTGTATTTCAATATTAATATCAAGTCAATACAGAGTTTATGGTATGGTATAGTATGGGGTATATGCCTATTTTTAATAGTAAGTCTCAAGCAACCATAAACTCCATTTATCAGGCATCTACCAATCCTCACAGGTGCCGGTACTGTACATACAATTTGAAGAGGAGATGCCACTGGTAACCTTGCCAAACCAGAGGTTAGAGGCAGATGCATGTAACATCCCTCTAAGAACGGAAACGTGTGGTGGTGGGGAATCTCATTCCCTGCAGGCTACTTTCCCACTGCAAAGCAGCTGCATTTCCCTTTGTGAAGGAAAATATGTGCACCCATCTCTTTGCCCTTACCGGAGCGAAAGCCGCCTGGAGAGGCAATTTTGTACAGAAAAACAAGCACCACAGAAAGCGCTGCCCCGCCTCAGGCATCTTCCAATCATGCTCCTCCACGTGCCCTTTTTAAAAATGTGGAGAAGGGGAAATAATGTTGCCCGCCTGGGCTAGCAGTACCGGATTTGGGGACTGGAGAGATGCAGTGGACACACCTGGGCCAGAACTCCTGGCAAACACCAGCTCTGCACATTCTTACACTTTACCCAGCACCCTGCCATGCTGAATACGCATCGTTTTAAGACAGCAACCTGCATCCTGTCCTTTTAGACCACAATTTCCATTAGTCCCAGCCAGGAGATAATGGGAACCACACTCCAGATCTGCTGGAGTTGGATCCAAGGCATGCTTTCTGCATGAGGGAGGGAAGGGCGAAGGAGGATCTGTTCACAAAAGACCCCCCTCCCCACAGCACATCTCAACTCACCCGTTTGATAGACCTCCTGACTGTAAAGTATTTTCAGGGGCTGGAGGGACAGGAAAGTCTACTTTCAACAGCACAGTTGATCTCGCTTAAATCTGGACTCAGCCTAATTGCCTCCCTCCACCCCAGCAGTTTCAACACAGGCGGAGATGTGTTCTCGGGGCCCATAGTGCAGTCAATGCTCATGGGCACTAAATCTCTTCCTGCTGAGCCCCATCTCGCCTCTGCTGTCCTCAGAAGAGGAAGTTAATGTACATTTTGCGTGATTGGGGCCTTCCTGCGCAGCTTACAGATGGCCTTATCCGTTTTGTGACTGGAAGTCCTTGTCAACTGCAGCATCTGCAGCCCCAGCTCTGGTGGTTTCTGCCCAGGAAATGAGCCCCTATCTTTAGAAGGCAGAAGGAGCATGACAAAACCCAAAGTGGTTCTCCCAGTCCTGAACTACCAACACTGTTCCAGTTGTCCTGCCCTGCGCCTGCTCACATAAGCACTTTGTTTCCTCCCTAAAGCCCAGTCTCCTTCAAGGGTCAAGACTGCTCTCCCGCTCTCTACAATACATCAAGAACAGCCCCTCTGATGGGTACCTCAGTAATGTGAATATTAGTTTCCCAGACTATGCCGAATATCTATGTAGTACAGCACTCGGTCTCCAACAACAGACCAGTAAGATACTCTCTGGAAACTCACAAGACAGAAAGCATAGCAGAGATAGCCATCTCCCCATGTTATTCTGGTGAACAGAGAATTTCCGATCCAAAACACAAGGTTCCTTTCTTAACCACTCTCATGAAGAGCCACGGACAGATCAGTTCTCCATTAATTCATTTAATTTTTTAAAAGCCATACATGGTAGCAGCCATCATAACAAACCTTGGTACTGAATTCATGTTTATTATAGCAACACATAAAGAACCTGACCCAAACCCCATTTTTCAGGCTATTTCTCAGATCACTACTTGGCTGATTTCTAAACCATTGATATTTATGCTCCCTTTTGTTTCATGTTTACTACCCAGCTATTCTGTTTTAACTTGGCCTACATAATTAGTCATTTTAGGAACCCTCATCACCACCACCACCACTTTGCGAAGCAGACATAAAAACACAGGCTGGCTCAGAGCAAAGGCCCATCTGGTTCAGCATTCTGTTCACACTGTGGCCAAGCAGCTGTCTCTAGGAACCCTACAAGCAGGACAGGAGTTGCAACAGCACTTTCCTGCCCATGTTCCCCAGCAGCAGGTACACACAGACACACACCTTCAACATCAGAAACCCAACACCGCTCAGGAGTGATAGCCCTCTCCTCCCCAAATTTCTCCAATCCCCCTGTAAAGCCATCCAAATTGGTGGCTATCTCTACTTCTTCTGGCAGCAAACTCCACAGTTTGATTGTGCACTGTATAAGGGACCTGCCTTCATCTCTCATGGATTCTCCAGTCCGCTTCATGGGATGACCCTGGATTCTAGTAGTATCCGAGAGAAAAATGTCTCCCTCTCCAATTTCTCCACACTGCGCATAACTCTCTCTCCTTATGTCTCTCCTTAATCTTCTGTTTTCTAAGCTAAACAATCCCAGCTGCTGTAAGAGTTCCTCAGCCCCTTGATCATTTTAGTTGCCCCTCTTTGCTTTTTCCATGCCTACAATATCCTTTTTGAAGTGTGCAGATCAGAACTATACACAATATTCTAAGTATGGTCACACCACAGCTTTCTATAAAGGGAGTATGATCTTAGCAGCTTCATTTTCAGTTCCTTCCTAAGCAGTTGCCTTCTGGACTGACATTTTCCTCATGCTGTTCACCACAACCCCAAGATCCCTTTCTTACTCAAACAGTGCTAAGATTTCAGAAACTTAAATGTGAAGTTGGGCTTCTCCCCACTGTGCATCGTAACACTAGCAAAGCCATACTGGATCAGAACAATGATCCATCCAGTCTGGCCTTCCATCCACAGGACAGCAAACCAGTCTGCAGGATCCCCCAAGCAGGATGGGTAGACAAGTGCTGCCTGCCCAAGCTCCCCAGCAACCAGTGTACACAAGCACAAAGCCTCCGATAATGGAAGCGGCACATCGCTAGTCAACGACCGCCTGCTCCACCAGGAATTTGTGCAATCCCTTTTAAAGCCATCCAATTTGGTGACCAACACTACTTCCTGTAGCAGTGAATTCCATAGTTTAACTATATGTTGTGTGAAAAGTATTTTTCTCTGTCCTAAATCTCTCACCATTTGGCTCCATGGGCTGCCCCCAGGTTCTCATATCTTAGGAGAGGGAGAAGAACATCTCCCTCTTCACCTTCCCCACACCATGCATAACTTTAAACACCTGTCATGTCCTTCCTTACTCACCTGTTTCTAAGCTGAACAAGCCCAGCTGTTGCAACTGTTCCTCATAGGGAGCTAATGTCCAGTAGACTGTCCCTTGCGCCTGATCACTGACACTCAAAAGAAAACTAAAGGTTATGGAGAAAGAACTTGCTTAGCAGAAGTCATGTTGATTCTTTTTCAGCAGTGCTTATTCTTCTGCATACTTGCTCGTTTTATCTTTAATAATGTTTTCAACCAATTAACCCAGAACAGACACTCAGCTAGTCAAGTCTATTCTTGTCTTAATTAGAATCTCATGGCACATATAGAAAATTTCAGCTATCAGCTATCATTTTAAAAAGAACAGGTTTCTAGCTCTCGTTTTTGTGGCGAATAGAGTTTTCACACTTTGTATGGAAATCCCGTTCCTTCCTATGTATAGTTTCACAGCCTTTTTCTTGTGCTCCAAGCCAGCCCCAAGTCAGAGGAGAAAATGAACAAAATCCAGGAGAGAAGGGCAGGAGAGCAGAGAACGAAATCCAAGTGCAGCTGAATCAAGAGAAAAACAGCTGCTTTTGGGATTCCGTTGGCCACTCACACACCACAGTGGAAGCTGGTCTGTAACTGGAGGAGGGATGGCACTGAAGCTGGCAAAAGGTGCTGGTTTCACAGTGGAAATGACCAAGTGACAAGGGCCACAACCAAGAGCTACGCAGAGGGCAGAGTAAAAATATGAAGATTGTTCCAGGAGCAGCTACAGCTTCTGCATCACAGAGATGCTAAAGTCCTGTAAGGAGAGAAAGCCCAGCAAGGTCAATAAATTTTCTGGCAAATTCCTCAGCAATTGTGAGCACATTACTTCCAAAGGTCCTCTGAGTTCAAGAGGCTAATATGCACTGACTGGATACCTTACACTACATGCTGAGTTGTTCTTATTTGACTGACCTTATCTGGTCTCCAGTGTTTGTTGTGTACAGAGGTGACTTATGACTATATGCTGAACCCCTTAAACTGGAATAGACACACTGACCCTAAACATCCCACAAGGGAGCTAATTCCACACGGGAGCTAATTCCACACATTCCTTTTTTTATAATAAGTTTTATTCAAAATTTATAGTCCTAAAAACAAAGAAAAACTAAAAACAACATCAGTCATCAAAAGCATCGGGCCTGCTGGTCAGCCGCCACATTTTTTTTTCCATTTATGATAACTTCGAAGTATATTTAAATCTATGCGAAGTTCCGTTTCTCTAGCCAATAAGAAGAAGAGTCCCAAGTTTGATAGAAATCAGTTTCTTCTTTCTCCTTCAATGACAAAGTCAACCTATCCATTTCTGCACAGTCCAAGATCTTTTTTAGGATCAGTTCATCGGTGGGTTAATTCCACACATTCCAAGGTAACACTGGTGGATGGCTACTACCATTTTTCATTTTATTTTGAGACCACCCAACAGCCCAAAGTGCTCTAGGCAGTTCATAGCAATTCCCAAAACAAAGATACCATAATAAAGGAGACATGTTAGACTAGGGAATCCTGGGTTCCAATCCTGCTTTGCTACATCATGAAGCTCAGAGTGAACCAGACTAGCCTACCTCATAGGGTCATTGAGAGGATAAAAATGGGGAGGAGGGGAAAATACTAAGGGGAACAATACTCCCTAATACTTAAGAAGTGCTGGTGGCTTGAATTGGATAAGGGTAGCCTCCAAGCAATTAAGGAAGAACGCTTAATAAAGCAGCCCCTTGCTTTCTTTTTGTACCACAAAAGGATAACCTGTGAATCATGGGGGCTACATTAAGCCCTAGGCCTGCAGAGCAGACTCCTGAGCATTTGCCATCGGCCAGAGGGCCTCAACTTTCTGGAGGGGGCACCTGCTGCTTCCTAGAAATAGCCTCACATCAACCCGGCCCATTCATCAGCCAGGGAAGGATCAGCTACAAAGGGCTCGCTTCCCCTTCCTGCCAGTACAGCACTTGCGTCCAATGCCCTGTGGCTTGAGCAGCACAGAGGTTCTCCCATCCATGGGCCAAACCACCACCAGTTGCTATCCAAGCAAATGCGCTAGCAAGGGAAGTTGCAGGAACGCTAGCCCAAAGTACGATGACTTCCTGCTTGGAGCTTGCCACCTCATTCTGGTCTCCTGCCTCTGCTTTTTCCCTCCACTCTCCTTCCCTTGTGCATCTTCTTTTGGTTTCTGTCTCCCTTCCGTAAGCCTGATCACAGGACCCCCCTCTCTCTCTCTTACTGGACATGAACCACATTAGGAGACAAGACTGTCAGAAAAATGGGTAATACTGTAGTCTGTTGTGAACCACCCAGAGAGCTCTGACTCTTAAGCAGTATAAGAACGTAATAAATAAACAAATAGTCTGTTTTTTTGTTTTCTTTTTTAAAGAAAGCAAGCTAGTCATTTTTTTGAACTTGGTTTCAGAATAGTACTAAGGGGAAGACTCATTTGCCCTGGATATTGCAACTAACAGACACCGGCAGGCCTATTGTGTGGCTTCACCATGCCCACTGTGGGTAGCCAGGATTTCCATATAAAACTTAAAAGGGCACTGGACATGGAGGTGGTTATCAAGGGCTAGTCCCGATGACTCTCTGCAACCTCCAGTACCAGAGACAGGAGGAGTTCCATGTACAGCAATTGCTGGGAAACTTGAGTGGGAAGGTGCTGTGACACCCATGTGCTCCTGAGGGCTTCCCACAGGCAGCCAGTTGGCCACCGTGTGAACAGACTGCTGGACTCCTGGCCTAACCCAGCACAGTTCTTTCTTTAATGGTGGCGTTGCCATCCATGGGATGGCATGAAGGCACACTTCCTCCTCCCTGGGAACAGTGACAGAATCAGCACAAGCCACATGTGGTTGCTGGTGCCACACACCTGTGTCCAGAAGGACCTGGAGAGCACTTTTCTGCAAACAACTCATGCAATAACAGAAGGGAGCCATTTGCAGATCAAAGCGACATGCCATTCTGACTGGGATTGAAGTGGAGATATAGGAAGGATGGAAACATACAAAGCTGCGTTTTGACCTTGCTTGCTTGTGCCAAGAGCGTGGCTGGCAGCTCTGCCAGGCAAGCAGCGGTCTCATCCCTTTCCCAAAGCCTCACCCTTGTCACCAGAGCCTCCCAGCAGGTGCCCACTTCTCCTGCACCCCCTCCCCACTTTCTAGGCACCTGGCACACAGCCTGGGCAAGAGGTAGGGCCTCTGTTCTGTGCCCACCCCCAGCCTTCTTCCTGGTGTTGCCACCCAAACCTGGCAGTCGTTTTGCTCTAGAGGTGCAGCCAAGCTGAAAGCACAGCGAGGAGAATTTGCCAGGGTCAAATTTCAAATCTTTTATTGTTACTCAGCTTCCGTGTAACCCTCCCTTCTGCAGAGCAGATGTAGGCATTGTGTGCTTGGCTAAGGAACAAGAGGAGGAGGAGGTGGGGGGCAGAATGCACAGAAGCTGGGAAGCAAGTGACGGGCGGTGGGAGGCGAGGGGGGTCCGGGGAAGTGGGTGGGGCCACACTCCACCAGAGGGCCCACCCCGCTGGGCAGTGGCACGCGGACTCCCCTTCAGGTAAAGATGAAGAGCCAATGTGGTCTCGCAAGGAAAGGTACCGCGGTTTGGAAACAGCAAGAGCCCTACAGAGCCTCCCTTTCATTTTGGGGTCATTGCCGCTGCCATTACCAGTCTGTCACCTTGTCATGTGTCCTACAGCAGCTGTACGTAAAAAGCAACTTCCAGATGTTTGAGGCTCTGATTCAGTACATGGCAGAGCACCTCTCTTGGAATTAAACTATCTATGGAATACAGGCATCGTCTAAGGTTCTCCTCCCAGTGCCTTGTTCAGGGGAGGCTCAGAAAGCAGCAGTGAGGGAGCCCCCAGCTATAGAATGCTCCCCTGATGGGGGTCTGCCTGGCCCATAACAGGGTTATCTCTTCAGCACCTCCTTCTCTCACTTAGCAGTATATGCTGCAGTTTTTAATCAGGTCTTGACTTTTTTCTTGTAATTTGTTTTAAATTATTTTTTTAGATATGAAACACTAACCCTAATTATAGATAAGAACTGGAAAATAAAATAAGATTATCAGTTATGTGATTTGTATAAAAAATCTAGACTATAGCTATTAATTATAAACTTGTGATATTAAAGTGAGGAAAGGATATACAAAGAATAATAATTTCAGTGAGATCTGGGGTGTATTTATTTAATATTTGTTAAAAAGGGGAAAGGATTTGAACCTTTAAGGGGGAAAGTTCTTGAAATATTTTTTGCATGAATTCTCAACATGCATCCAATGGTCTTGGGGATGGGGTGCACAGCTTTTTATGAATTATTTAAAATCTATGTTTATCTTCTTGTATGTTATTTCAACTTTAACTGTATTTTATAATGAAAATTGATTTTAAAAATGTAAAAGCAATGCTGAGACTTCAAATCTAAAGTACAGAAGCGCTTCCTACACACAGAGCATGCGAAAGCCTTGCATCTTCCTGTCCTAAGCCAAACACTCTGGGCTGTGAGCTGTTTGTTGCACAGCACCTTTGCAGCGGGGGCTCAGCAGAGCTACATGAACTGTGCTGCAGCTGGATGACAATCCTGGCTGGTCCTGGGAGAGTTACCCTGCCAGAGCTGTCTGAAACCACACCCTTTCTGATTTAAGAGGTACAGCGCACACCACGACTCAACCTTTTCTTCTGCTTCTTATTGCATCAGAGCTCTGGCTTCCGTCGGCCACTGAAGCAACCCAGTTCTAAGGACATAAAGGCTGCTGTGAAGTTACAAACATTGCTTGGGACTCCGTTCCAGTGGAGACCATGAGGCTTGCTTTCAAGTAATATGCATAGGATTGGGCTTTATGGAGTTGAGAAGTCAAAAGAACCGGAAAGGAGTGCAGTCATCCCCACCCAGGGGCAGAACTTTCCATTTGCTAGAGTCCCATTTCTGACGGTGTCCCCACCCGATACAATCTCCAACTGTTCTTTGAACTCCCCTAAAGTAGTGGGGCATTGCAAAGAGAGAGATTAAAAAGGCACACGTCATATCAGCAGAACGCACGCACATTTCCCTTGCCACTTTTCTTTTTTTTTTAAAGTTTCTTGTGCCAAGCACACAAGCTGAGCATGGCTCACAATGCCCACCCATTCATAGCTATTGTTCTTAACTCAACAACCTCACCCATTTTGATGCGTGTTAAACTGGCCCTATTAAGCACACACACCAAAAAATATAACCAGCCTAAATTTAAGTCCTGTTTGTACCACTGAATTCTGATTCAAAGAGTCACATTCAGTCTGCAATCCAAACCTGAGGCGTCCCAATGCGGGGTCTGCATCAGCCCTGAATATGGTTTCCACCTTTCCTGCTGGACTCACTCTGGCTGCTATAGCTTTAAGAATGGTGTAGAAGAGCAGCCATCCCTTTTCGGAAGCTTCTGTTAATCCAGTGGGTGAGGGATATTCACAGCAGTGAAAATTATAAAACTGAGAACCAACTGAGGAGTATGGGGAAGGCTCCATACCTTTAACAGGTGTGGAGTCAAACAAACAAGTCAAAAAAACAAACTTACTAGCAGCAGCTTTTCCTGATATGGAACCACAGGAACTGGGAGAAGTTTTAACTGTTGATTTTTGCCTGCAATGAAATGATCAAATGCAACAGAGGGACCAGCAAATTCTTGTTAATTTCAGCTTGCAATCCCATGCCTACTTAAAAGCCCATTCAATATAGTGGATTAACTACTGAGTAAGATCACACTGCTAAAGTATTTTGAACACCTTGAGACACGGATGATGTAACTACCCTTTAGGAAAATAACATTTCTGCACGTTGTTCCACCGTCTCACCAAAGCAATGGCTCTTGTGGCCATTTCATGATAGGTAGCAGAGGTGAAATATGGTGGCTTGCCCAGCTTCATGAGAAGAAATGAATCCTGCTGCGCTCCAAGCTAGGGGAGGGAGAAGTGTTTGCAGCCTACAGGAATTCCATAGCCTTGAGGGCTTCGCTTGGGACCAAACCCAAAAGCAGCAAACAAGAGGTAGGCTCCACCTGTTGAACATTCCCCTGTAAGAAACACAGGGAGCCCGCTAAGGAAAGGGGAGTAGAGGCAAAACTCGACTCTGCTTGTACTAAGGAAAGGGAGCACAGGAGGCACCTACCCTTGTGGAGATCCTGGCTTCCTTCTCTTTTGTGTTCCTCTGCGTTTGCTCCCTTCCTCTTATGAACTGCTTCCTTAACAAGACCACACCCTGCTGTGGGGCTCACAAACACCCCCCCCCCCCCGCCAGCTGCATCTCCCCGGTGCCAGTGTGCTTTCAAGCCTGCTACATTCTTCTGCTGCTTCTCCAGGAAACACTGTGCAGAAATCCACCAGGTGGGGTTCCCACCTACAGGCTGGCCGAGTCTACCTGTGGAGGAGTCGGTGCGCCTCTCCCACTCCCAGAGGCCCAGCCACGAGCCACCAGCCAGTCTCTCACCTGCCAGTCTCTGGAAGGGGCAGCAGGAGGCCACGGTCCTCGCCTGGCCCCGCGAGGGCAGCGCCAAGGGTCAGAAGCCCCGGCCGGCTGCGGGTCGTCCCCCTGCGGTGCATGCCGAGCAGGGCGCAGCAGGCAGGCGCACAAGGAGGGGCCGGCCCGCCACGGGCAGGTTGAGGCAGCCGCTCGCAGGTCCTGCCTGCCCGCCTGCCCGCCCGTGCCCGGCCCGGCCGCCCCCCCTCCGTGCCACTCCTCTCTCGGGCTATTTTATGCTGAGAGGACTAACGAATTTCCTCCTTCCTTCCCCTCCTGGGAAGAGCCTCTCAGCCAATCAGGGCGTGGGGTAGGCTGGAATCCCCCTCCTCCTCTTTTCCACCCCAAACTAACTTCTCCTTTTCGCACCACGTTGCCGCCGCCGCAGAGCCAGTTTCGCTTTTACTATTACTCTGTCCAAGTCCCTCCCGGGCCGGGCCGGGCCGGGCCGGGCCTCTTGCCTCTGACCCCAGGCCCACAGGACTCCCGCTCCGCCGGGCTCCCGGGGCTTCTCTGCCTGGTGGAGCCCTTCCCAGAGGCTGTAGACCCAGCACAGTTTGAGACCTTTGGAAGGTTAGAGCAAGGAAGCGCGCCTCAGCTCAGTCTCTTAGGCTGCAGCCCGATACACACACACCCTAAAGGCAGACACGGGCCCAGGACGGAGCAGCCGTAGCAGTATCCTCTTGGTTTCCCCTCCTTAACCCAACTTTTTAAGACCTGGCAGTGCTTCCAGAACAATGCAAGAATCGGAGGGTTACCAACCAAGACTTATTATGCAGACCATCTGCGTTTCCCTGCTAAAACTAATTTTCAGTGGTAAGAAAAAAGGCTTTAAAAGTGGTGGGAAAATCCAAAACAGCTACTAACTGAAAGACAATGACAACTAGACCCTTTTGAAATTCTCTGTATGCAGCAGTGTGGTTGCAGAGTAGAAACCCATTACCTGAAATTCAAGACAGTGAGAAAACCCAATGCAGAAACCACTTCACACTTAGGTGACATCTCATCCAGTGCTGTGATTTTGTCTGTATGGTGAAATTAGAAGGATCCTGTTGACATATTCAACCTTCGACTTGGCATATAAAGGCCACTTCCAGAAGACACAAAACTTTACTCAGCCCAAATCTGGCCTAGAATTCTGGCTTGGGCTAATTGATTAATTAGTTAAATGGATATCCCACCTTTTTCTTTTTTTAAAGAATTCAGAGTGGCTTACCTCATTCTCCTACTGCTGTCAAACTTATCCCCACAACAACAACCCTGTGAGGTAGGTTGGGCTGAAAGTCTATGACTGGCCCACAGTCACAGAGTGAGCTCCGTGGCTGAGTGGGAACTAGAACCAGATTTCCCAAGTCCCAGTCCTGTGATTTTAACCACTTTGGGCTGAGCAGGGACTTGCCTGGTATTAGAGCGCCTTGTGATGGCCTCAGCTTTTGCCAGAGCCTAATTTTGTTCAGTTTCTTGCCACCTTTTGGTTGCCATATGAGCCTTATTTCAAACAATGGGTTCCTTACCCCACAAGCTTTTGTTCCTGGATTCAGACATCACAGCTGCAGAGAATCCATAGTAAGCACAATAAAACACATCTCCTCTCCCCCCCCCACTCCACCCACTACGCACCCTCAGCTTCATGCTGAAAACAGTATAATAGACCCCAAATAAATTTGCTGGGAGGAGGGAAGCTTTGCTTAATTGCAGCTCTTGGCTTCAGGAGTGGTGGTTCAGCAACAAAAGCGTGTGTGTGTGTGCAGGAGGGGAGAGAGAGAAGAGGCGGAGACGAGAGACGCCAAAGTGACTTCAGCATCCCCAGCCGGCCCAGATGGCTTCAAATGATGCCAACATGGGAACAGAAGGGCTCTGCCTGCTTCCCCCTCTATTAATGCACACAGGTAGGGAACCCAAACCCCTCTCCAAGCGGCTTAACAGGGTTAGGTTTCAGGTGTGGCTCGGATCCAGCATGCAGGTGCGCAGCCAGTTCAGCTGCTCACGGATCTTTTGAGCCTCCTACAGTAAGGATGAGGGACGCTGGGCCCTCCAGATGTTGCTGGGCAGCCCCTACCACCATCACTCACCACTGGCTATGCTGGCTTGGGCCAAGGGGAACCGAAGTCCAGCAAGACCAGAATGCCCTCACACGCCCCTTGCTCGCCTTCAGATACTCCCGTTCGTCTGAGCACCAGTTCCTGACACAGGAAGCACCGAAAGAGAATGGCGTGTGTGTTCAGATCTTGTGTGTGTGGACAGGGAGGGAGCGCAATGCCTGGGCAAGTACAAGCGTCTTCACCTGATGCTGAAAATGTCAGACAAGTCACTCGGACAGCAGAATTTCACGAGCAGGGTGCCACCACAAAATGGACCCTTTCTTTGTTTTCCATCTACCTCACTTCTGAGAACGGCATCCAGAGGAAGGCTGAGAAGAGGATCTCGGCACTGGGGCTGGTTCAGGTGGGGGAAGTCCCTGCTTTAGAGAACCAGACCACAGCTATCCATAATTGTGAATGCTCGCTTGTGCTCAGAGTGAATTGAAGTTGTGCTTTGGTGCTGCACAACACACTTGAAAAAGGCGAGTGTTCCAAGCACCGCTGGCCCTGGGCACCTCCTGGTATACAAAGCCTGGGGAGGGGAAGTGCTTGGCTCAGAGGATGGTATCGGGCATGTACAAATGCTGCGAGAAGGGGAACACAACTCACCGAACAAAGGAAGTGGCGCAGGGACACACCATTCCACTGAGCCACCAGTGGAGCCCAGAGTGTGCTTGAGCGAGGATGGAACAGTCCAGATCCAAATGCCTCCATTTAGAAAGGGCACTGACGAGCTAGACATGGAGAGTGAGACAGGAGCGTATGAAGCTGCTGTATATGAATAAGGCCAGTGGCCTATGTAGCCCAGGACTATTGCCACTGTCTGGCTGCAGTTCTTCACGGATGCAAGCAGGATTCCTTCCTAGCTCTACCTGGACAAGCCAGGGACCTTCTGGGACCTTCCACATGCAAAGCATGCACTCTGTCACTGAGCTACTGCCACTCAAGAATGGTGTAGGAACTGGAAACTAAATCCTGTGAGGAAGAGCGAGGTATGTATGGGCTGAAGAAAATAAGTGGAGACAAGATAGCTAGCTATCTTCAAATATCTAAAGGACTGTTATGCAGAAGTCAGAGCAGACTTGTTCTCTGTTGCTCCAGAGGGCAGGATTTGAACAAAGGGTTGAAAATTGCAGGGAAGCAGATTTCTGGTAAAAAAGAGAAACTTCCTAACTTATTGGATATATTGAGCTCTTGGTCATTGCACATATTTAAGCAGAGGCTGGGTGGTCATCTACCAGGGATATTTTTGCTGCAGTTTTCTCCACCAAGTAGGTGGTTGATCACCTCTAAGGGGTCTTCTAACACTAGCAATCTATGATTCAAAAGCATCAAAACTAATCCAGATTTATTAGAGATTAGACCTTCTGGAACAGTTTTGCTGGAGTAGCTGCAGAAGCAACATTTAAAAAGAACCTTGCAGGGTGCAGGACCTCCTTGGATTCATTTAGGAAGCACACTCAGGGCACACTTTGAGGCATCTGCTTCCATCTCCCCCATAGCATGGATGTACCTGACACGTTTTGACTGTGCTTTGACCCATAGCTAGAACCACAGGCACACACAGTTGGTTTGCCCTTGCAATTCGAGGTTGCCCATTTCTGCTGAATGATGCAGGGAGTGGGGTGGTCTTTGTATCTCACCCTGTTTCCAATTAACAGGCAGGTGCAGTGGCTGCTATTTGGAAATACCCCAATGTCCCCAAGGGCCGGTGTTTTCCAGCCATTCTGGTTAACTTGGGGTGGGGAGAGAATATGGAGCAGGTGTCAAGGGGGGAAGGGAGGTGCCATGTATTGGCAGGGGGAGGAGAGAACATGAAATCTGAGCCTTTGGGCCTGCCTGAAGACAAGAACAAAGCACTGTAGAAGAGACTTCCTCTTTATTATGTCTAAATCAGCCTTCCCCAACTTGCTGTGCTCCAGATGTGCTGAGTTACGACCCCCAGCGTCCCCCCCACCTGGCTGGTCCAAATCCTGTCCCCTGCTCTCCATCTAGTGCATTTCTTTCCTGGCTCCAAAGCTCTGTTCAGCTTGCAGAGTAAGTCCATAACATCTTACAATCTATATAAAAGATAAGCAACTATAAAATCTAAAGACTAACAAAGATTTAATCTTGCTTTTACTCTGATCTCCAGGATGCTCCCGGTCAACCAACATAATGCTGTATACCTCAACCATTTTATCTCAAGGAAAAGTACAAATTTAAAAACAGAAATTATGTTAAGACTGTTTCCCCAGTCAAAAGAGCAAAACACTGTTAGACTGGATTTTAGATTTAGATTAGATTTTCCATCTTGATCAAGTTTTGGAAACTTCTTGTCTGGATTCTCTCTTCAAATGAATTACAGTACATTAGATTGCTGGCATGCTAAGATGGATAGCGTTCCTTCCATAGTTTATGGCTGCTAGGGACATGTAGCAGATAATACATATTTTCAATCATATTTTCATCTAATTTCACATACTAAATTGATTTACAGTGAAATCCAGACTTAACCTGAGAAGAAAATACTTTTGAGGCAGACTTGGACATGTAAGTTAGTTTTTAGGGTAGCTCAATTAGTCAGGGCT